TGCCATCACGGCCTTACACCATTTCTGACAAAGGGCAGTCCAGTCTCTTCTTGAAAGCCTCCAGTTGTTAAGCGTCCTTTTGGGGGAGGTGAAATATATACCCTCCCACCCCCTCAAGATTTGCAAGGCACATTAGCGGCAATATCTCAACAACAGGTCAGATACCGTGGGAGCCATGCGAAAGAGAGAGAAACAACACCTCTCACGCAGACGGTAAAATTAGCAATAGCTAATGATGAGATTGTCCAGCTTTCTGCTTTGTTTTTTTTTTTGTTTTTTTTTTTGTTTTTTTCCATCCTTCCTTTAGTTCTTCAATCCATACTTCCATGCTGAGTTCGGCCACCAACATAATAGCAATAGCCCTTAGACTTATATACCGCTTTCACAGTGCTTCACAGCCCTTTCTAAGCGGTTTACAGAGTCAGCATATATTGCCCCCAACAATCTGGGTCCTCGTTTGACCCACTTTGGAAGGGATGGGAGGCTGAGTCAACCTTGAGCCAGTCGGTCAGGATCGAACTGCTGGCAGCGGGCAGAGTTAGCCTGCAATGCTGCATTCTAACCACTGGTAAGGAAGGAAGGAAGGAAGCAAGCAAGCAATAGCATTTAGACTTTTATACCGCTTCGCAGTGCTTTTACAGCCCTCTCTAAGCGGTTTACAGAGTCAGCCTATGGCCCCCAACAATCTGGGTCCTCGTTTTACCGACCTCGGAAGGACGGAAGGCTGAGTCAACCTTGAGCCAGTCGGTCAGAATTGAACTACTGGTAGTGGGCAGAGTTAGCCTGCAATACTGCATTCTAACCACTGGGAGGGAGGGAGGGAAGGAAGGAAGGAATATCCATCTTGTCCAGTTCCAAGCCAGGAAAAAGACACTGGAACAATAGCCCTGAAAAAAGGCGACTTTATGACCCTGTTTCAAAGTTACGACTATAACAACATCCTCACGCTTGCGCTTGGCAACTGGTTTGTATTTATGACCTGGGGCTCATCCGATCCCGTTTTGTGACTCTTCTACCAAACCAAGCCAATGGGGAAACCAGATTCACTTAATAACTACATTACTAATTTAATAATTGCGGTGATTCGCTTAACCACTGGGACAAGAAAGATCCTAAGATGGGGCAAAATTGACTTCACCAATGTTTCACTTAACTGCAGAGATTTTAGGCTCAATTTTGATTGTACGTTAAGGACTACTCTATTTCCCCCAAAATAAGACCCAACCGGAAAATAAGTCCTAGCATGATTTTTCAGGATGCTCGTAATATAAGCCCTACCCCCAAAATAAGCCCCAGTTAAGATTGTCGGCCGCGTGGGTGCATTTAGTACCGTATTTCCCCAAAAATAAGACCCAACCAGAAAGTAAGTCCTAGCATGATTTTTCAGGATGCTCGTAATATAAGCCCTACCCCTAAAATAAGCCCCAGTTAAAATTGTCAACCGGATGGGTGCATTTAGTACCGTATTTCCCCCAAAATAAGCCCTAATGCATCTTTTGGAGCAAAAATTAATATAAGACCTGGCCTTATTTTTGGGAAAACACGGTATTAATACTTCAGCCTGGAGCTCAAGAGGTGATGATGGAAAGCACCTTGTGATCTGGTGCCGAACAAAAATAAATTTGAAGAATAGCTTGAGTTATTCTTTTCCCAATACTTCTCCCTGCCTTACAGCACCCACTGACTCAGCACGGGGGGGGGGGGGAGAGAAAGGATGCAAATTTGAAAAGGTGTGGAAACGCTAGTGAAGTGTGAATGCAGAAGCTAAAGCTAGGCAGGAGTTTTAGTACTTGGGAGTTTTTATCGCAAGAAAGTACAAGATCAAACAGGTAGAGGCGTGTAGCCTAGGGCTTAATGGGGCTGAATATAAATTTTGGTATCCTGCATCCGGGAAAGATCCCCTGGATAGCTGAATGTCTGCTATTTTGAGGTGGCAAGTCTGTTGTTTTTTAGGTTTGCCTTACCTGGCTTCCCTTCCACCCCATTCTCCTTCCCTCCACCTCCAAAATTTAAAAAAAGAACAGCCATCACCTCTGCTTCATTTGCAATGTAAATGGGAAAGTAGTCTATGCCAGATTAGCTGATTACATGATCAAGAGAATGGTGCATCTGTTATTAGGGAACAAACAAGCCTGCATTACACACGCACGCACACAAAGAGAGAGAGAGAGAGAGAGAGAGAGAAAGAAAGAAAGAAAGAAAGGGAGGGAGGAAGGGAGAGAAAAGAGAAACAGAGAAACAGAGAAAGGAAGGGGAAGGGAGGGAGAGAGAGAGAGGAAGAATCAGAGAAAGAAAGAGAGGGAGGAAGGGAGAGAGAAGAGAAACAGAAACAGAAAGAAAGAGGGAGGAAGGGAGGGAGAGAGAGAGAGAGAGGGGAAGAATCAGAGAAAGAAAGGAAGGAAGGGAGAGGGAGGAAGAGAAACAGAAACAGAAAGAAAGGGAGGAAGGGAGAGGGGAAGGAGAGAAAGAGAAAAAGAGAAGGAGGAAGAGAGAGAGAGGAAGGGGAGAGAGAAAGAAACAGAAAGAAAGAGACGGAGGAAGTGAGAGAGGAAGCGAAAGAGAAACAGGAAAGAAAGAGTGGGAGGAAGGGAGAGAGAGGGGAAGAGAAAGAGAAACAGAGAGGGAGGAAGGGAGAGGCGGAAGGGGAGAGAGAAAGAAAGAAAGAGAGAAAGAAAGAAAGACACGGAGGAAAGGAGAGAGAGAAAAAGAGAAACAGACAGAGAGAAAAAGAGAGAAAGAGGAAAGGAGAGAGAGAAAGAGAGAAAGAAGAAACAGAAAGAAAGAGCGGGAGGAAGGGGGAGAGAAAGAGAAACAGAGAGAGAGAGGTAGGAAGGAAGGGAGAGAGAGAGAGGAAGAGAAACAGAAAGAGAGAGAATGAGAGAGAGAAAGAAAGAGAGAGAGAAAGCTCACAGAATCTTATATATATAGAATTATGGTCAGGTTATGTAGGTAAAAAGGACAACTTCAGAGTGGTTTGTACGAAAGTTTTTTTCATTTGAGCTGGCCCTGCCCTTTTGGTCGAACTACTCCTCCCAGCACCCCTCACCTCCTGGCCTTCTGCCTTAGGGGGGTTGCTGGGAATTGTATCGTTGTTCATTTTTGTGTGTGGGTGTGGGGGAGATCTGTGAGGCTGCAGGCTGGGCAAACTGGGCCTTCCCTCCCTCCTTTTGAAAATCAGATTTATGAGTTCATTACATGTATTCCTCCCTTCCTCATTAATTCATGTGGTCTCTGGACAAAAGGGCCGTGGGGAAGCACAGATCTGTTGGAGACAAGCTTGGTTATCAAAACAGACTAGGTTATAAGGCTTCGGCCTTATTCCTGTATGAACCCAGGTGATGGATTCACACATTACATGGAATTCTAGCTTCCCTGGAGAATCACCTTCTACTACCCTGTTTCCCCGAAAATAAGACCTCCCCTGATAATAAGCCCAATCAGGCTTTTGAGTGCATGCACTAAAATAAGCTTCCCCCTGAAAATAAGCCCTCCCCGAAAATATTTAAACGCAGAGCTGGAAATCAAGAGGAGCCCCATCTTGCTCCGTACGCCCCAAAATAATAAGACCTCCCTGAAAATAAGGCCAAGTGCTTATTTTGGGGTTCAAAAAATATATAAGACAGTGTCTTATTTTCGGGGAAACATGGTAATTTCCCCAAAACGGGTGAAATCTACTTACCTTCCTTATCGGTTCGGAAGTGTGGGGGGGGAGCTTCGCTCCGCCATCGCTACCGGATCGCCGAACCACCTGGCACAATCGCTACCGGATCACCTGATCTGGTCCAAACCAGGAGGATTTCACCCCTGCCCCAAAATAGCCAAGCGTAACATTTGTAGCAATAATACCCTGTTCCCTGAAAATAAGACCCTGTCTTATATTTTTTTTGAACCCCGAAATAAGCACTTGGCCTTATTTTCGGGGAGGTCTTATTATTTTGGGGCGCGTGGAGCAAGATGGGGCTCCTCTTGCCATCTTACCTGACTTCCAGCTCTGTCTCCCTAACCCTAACCAGAGGAAATGGTGGGGACTGACTGCACATGCATTTAAATATTTTCGGGTAGGGCTTATTTTCAGGGGGGAGACTTATATAATTCTTTTTTTAAAAAATTAAATTTTGTATTGGTATGTGTTTTAGTTCTGGCTGTGCACCGCCCTGAGTCCACTTGGAGAAGGGCGGGATATAAATTGAATAAAACAAAACAAACAAACTTATTTTAGTGCAGGCGCTCAAAAGCCCAATTGGTCTTATTATCAGGGGATGTCTTATTTTCGGGGAAAACACAGTAATAATAATAATATCAACAACAACAGACAGATCGTCATTTGGAACACAGCACGCCAGATATCACAGCTGTCAAAAAATGACGCATGCAATTTATTAACATCGCGGTACCAGGAGATGCCGGAGTCGGAAAAAAAGAACTGGAAAAAAAATCACGAAATATCGCGACCTGGCCATCGAAACTACACGGCTATGGATGAAACATGTGACAGTGATACCCGTTGTCATCGGGACACTTGGTACCATGTCCAAGAATTTTATAAGATACATCAACAAATTGCAGCTTGCTGCAATAACACCAGCGGAACTGCAAAAAACTGTGCTACTCGGAGCATCGTACATCTTAAGAAAGTACTTGGTTGATCCCTAGGACGCTGGCAGCAACTCCTATCAACCATTAGCGCCCGTCAATGGTATTTGTGACGCATTTTTAAATGTTCACTTGATTGAGTCTCATGTTTAATGAATAAAAGATAATGATGAATGATGATGGTAGGATACAAATAAATAAATGAATTATAAATACCAAGTTGTGTGAACTGGATCCGAGACTGAATTCATTGAGGTAGGGTTACTGCACTCCGTTTTATCTACATGGCACAATTTCCAACTTTTCTTCCTATGGACTAGAAACCTGAGCCCGTTTTTTTGTGTTTTTTTAAAAAATGCTTCCGCCCGTGCAGAGCCTAACTCTCTTTTTATCCTTTCCACCCACAGTTTGTCGAGGGATGCTGTGTGGCTTCGGGGCCGCCTGCGAGAAGAACCCCACGGACCCTTCCCAAGGTGTTTGCATTTGTAAAAAGGCCACCTGCCCTTCGGTGGTGGCCCCGGTGTGCGGATCGGATTACTCGACCTACAGTAACGAGTGTGAGCTGGAGAAAGCTCAGTGCAACCAGCAGCGTCGCATTAAAGTCATGAGTAAGGGAGCTTGTGGTAAGTGTGGTTTGGTCTCGTCATTTCATCCATCCCACCTCGGATCTCAAAAGCTGCTTTTTTTTCTTCTTCTTCTTCTTCTTCTTCTTCTTCTTCTTCTTCTTCTTCTTCTTCTTCTTCTTCTTCTTCTTCTTCTCCTTCGCCTCCTCCTTCTCCTCCTCCTCCTCTCTTTCTCCTTCTTCCTCCTCTCCTCTCCTCTCCTCTCCTTTCTTTTCCTTTCCTCCCCCTCCCCCTCCCCTTCTTCTTCTCCTTCTCCTCCTCCTTCTCCTCTTCCTCCTCCTTCTTCCTCTCCTGCTCCTCCTTCTTCTCCTTCTTCTCATCCTGCTTCTCCTCCTCCTCCTTCTTCTTCTCTTGCTCCTCCTTCTTCTCCTTCTTCTCATCCTGCTTCTCCTCCTCCTCCTTCTTCTTCTCTTGCTTCTCCTCCTCCTCCTCCTCCTCCTCCTTCTCTTTCCTTTTCCTCCTCCTGATGTATTGATCATTTTTAATGGATTCATAACTGGCTGACCAAACGCACTCAGCGTGTAGTCCTCAATGGAACTGCATCTACATGGAGGGAAATATGCAGTGGGGGAACCCCAAAGCTCTGTTTTAAGCCCCCGGATTCTTCAACACCCCTCCTGCGCGAGCTGCATTGACTTCCGGTGGTCTCCCGGGTGCGCTTCAAGGTGTTGGTTACCACCTTTAAAGCGCTCCATAGCATACGGCCTGGGTACTTACGGGACCTCCTTCTGCCGCCGATAGCCTCCCACCGGCCAGTTTGCTCCCATAGAGAGGGACTCCTCAGGGTCCCATCAGCCAGGCAATGTTGGCAACTTAGAACTAAGGAGAAATTTCCTGACAGTTGGAACAATTAACCCATGGAACAACTTGCCTCCAGAAGTTGTGAAGTTTTTAAGAGGATGTTGGATAACCATTTGTCTGAAGTGGTATAGAGTTTCCTGCCTGAGCAGGAAACCCTACACCACCAAGGTCCCTTCCAACTCTGTTACCCTATCTTTTTTTTTTCTATCAAAAGAAAAAGTGCAACTGAACAAGCAAAAGAGAGAGAAAAAAAGGAAAATAAAATAAAATCAGCGGTGCAGAATATCAGTAAGTGGACAAAGCAGTGACCAAGATCCCTAACAAAACCAGAAGCACATCAAGTTATTTTCACAAGGATCTTAGAAATAGTTTTGAGTGGCTCGGAGTCAAAAAAAAAAAAAGAACATTTCGTTGTTTGTTAGCCTCCCACCCAAAAACAGGAGGGGAAAAAAAAATAGAACCGAACATTTTAAGTTTCTAACTTCCCCTTCGCGGTACTCCGAGGGGTGTATAACGTCAGCCCTTCTCGGTGAGAAATAAGCTGGTTGGCTTAATCACCTCTTCATCGCACCCTCACAAGTTGCAGGCTGTGATTTTCCCAAGTCCACTTCTGCACTCCGAGTGGGTGATTTTTCCGGAGAAGGCCTCATAAACGAGGCTAATGAACCCTCCGTGTTAGCAAGGCACATACCGCCCGAAAGCAAGGAACTGTGCAAATGAAAACGCCCCTCTCTGCTTTTTTTCCAAGTAAATTAACTTGACCTTTCCCCCCCCCCCACTTTCCCTCTCTGATGGAGAAGTTCCTGCTTTTAGTGATAAATCTTTGCTTTCTGGACTCCTGTAGAGAGCTCGGTAGGAGAGAGGGAGGGTGGAGGGGAGGACGGGAGAGAGAGGGAGAAACACAGAGAGAGAAAGAGAGAGGGAGGGAGGAAGGGAGAGAGATGGAGAGGGAGCCTGGATAGCTCAGCAGACTAATGCATTGTAATTTAACTCCAGCTGTCTGCAATTAAAGTAAGTTCGAATCTTGCTAGGCTCAAGGTTGACTCAGCCTTCCATCCTTTCTAAGGTAGGTAAATTGAGGACCCAGTTTGTGGGGGCAATAAGCTGACTTTGTAAAACTATACAAAAGGATGAAGGCATATAAATCAAATTAAAAGAGAGGGGGGGAGCGAAAGAGAGGGGGGAGAAACAGAGTGAGAAACAGAGAAAGAGAAAGACAGAGGGAGGAAGGGAGAGAGAGAGAGAAACAGAGGGAGAAACAGAGAGGGAGGAAGGGAGAGAGAGGAAGAGAGGCAGAGAGAGAAACAGACAGAGAGAGGGGAAGAGAGAGGGAGGGAGGAAGGGAGAGAGAGGAAGAGAGAGACGGAAACAGACAGAGAGGGAGGAAGAGAAAGAGCGGGAGAGGGAGAAACAAAGAGAGAAACAGGCAGGAAGGGAGAGAGAGGAAGAGAGACAGAGAGGGAGGAAGAGAAAGGGAGAGAAACAGAGGGAGAAACGGGGGAAGGGAGAAAAGAGAAGAAGAGAGATGGAGGGAGGAAAAGAGAGAGGAAGAGAAAGAGGGAGAGAGAGAAACCGGGAGGAAGGGAGAGAGAGAAAGAGAGAGAATCAGAGAGGGAAGAAGGGAGAGAAACAGAGAGAGAAACAGAGAGGGAGGAAGAGAAAGAGAGGGAGAAACTGAGAGGCAGAAACAGAGAGGGAGAGGGAGACGAATGTGTCATCCTGATTTATTTAAAATAATGACAATGGGTTATGGGTTTGTGGGGGTGGGGGAAATGTCTAATGAAGGAGGGGGGGTCATTAAATAAATAAAGGACCTTATAAATAAGATACTGTCCCCATCTCAGAACAGCCGGCAGCCTCTTTAATGTCTGTCTCTAATTACATTTTGCTTATGGCAACATTAAGGCCATCTCCTTGTTGCCATTCCAATCTCATTCACTCTTTGCTTGATGAATTCGACGGGTGAAACAATCCCAGGAGTTTCCGCAGAAAGGAAAACTTAATCATACGGGGCGGGGGGGCGTGCTTCAAATAGTGGAGGCTTTCCTGCGTGCTTTTTTGTGGCTCGGGGTTGAATTTACGGGGTCCTTGGTGGTCTCGGAGCTTGGAAGACGTCTCATGACCCAACTAAATAACATCATCCATGCTGCAAGGGAGCCATGTTTGCAGAAAGAAAGAGGAGGAGGAGGAGTGTGGGGTCCTTGGTCTCCCTGAGCTCAATTGTTTTCTTACAGACATTTCATTACCCAGCAAGGTAACGTCATCAGTGCTAGAATGGGGTGTGTGGGTATGGGTGGAAGGTTGTCTCTGTTTATATACAAGTAGCATGCCCTATCAGTTTTAATGGGAGGGCAAGCCATTTGCACTGTGTATAAATTTGGTATTTATATTTTATTGATATATATATACAGGGAGCGAACCCTTCCACCTTCTAGCACTGATGATGCTATCTAGTTTGGTAATGAAATGCCTGCAAGAAAGCAACCAAGCTCAGACAGCATATAAATCTAAGGGCTATTGCTATTTTCCTTCCTTCCTTCCTTCCTTCCTTCCTTCCTTCCTTCCTTCCTTCCTTCCTTCCTCCCTCCCTCCCTCCCTCCCTCCCTCCCTCCCTCCCGCTTAGAATGCAATATTGCAGGCTAACTCTGCCCAATGTCAGGAGTTTGATCCTGACTGACTGGCTCAAGGTTGACTCAGCCTTCCCTCCTTCCAAGGTCGGTAAAATGAGGACCCAGATTGTTGGGGGCCATAAAAGTGACTCTGTAAACCGCTTAGAGAGGGCTGTAAAGCACCATGAAGCGGTATATAAGTCTTAAGTACTATTGCTATCTTCCTTCCTTCCTTCCCAGGGGTTAGAATGCAGTATTGCAGGCTAACTCTGCCCACTGTCAGGAGTTCGATCCTGACCGACTCTGTAAACTGCTTAGAGAAGACTGTAAAGCACCGTGAAGCGGTATATAAGTCTTAAGTACTATTGCTATCTTCCTTCTTTCCTTCCTTCCTTCCTTCCCAGTGGTTAGAATGCAGTATTTATTATTTTATTTTATTTTATTTATTAAATTTTTATACCGCCCTTCTCCCGAAGGACTCAGGGCGGTCTACAGTCATATTAAAACAACATATACCCACACAAAATTTAAAAAACAGTTTAAAATATATTAAAAATTTGGCCCTATATTAGAGTTAGTATTGCAGGCTAACTCTGCCCACTGTCAGGAGTTCGATCCTGACCGACTCTGTAAACCGCTTAGAGAAGGCTGTAAAGCACCGTGAAGCAGTATATAAGTCTTAAGTACTATTGCTTCCTTCCTTCCTTCCTTCCTTCCCAGTGGTTAGAATGCAGTATTTATTTATTATTTTATTTATTAAATTTTTATACCACCCTTCTCCCGAAGGACTCAGGGCGGTGTACAACCATATTAAAGCAACATATACCCCCAAAATTTAAAAAACAGTTTAAAATACATTAAAAATTTGGCCCTATATTAGAGTTAGTATTGCAGGCTAACTCTGCCCACTGTCAGGAGTTCGATCCTGACCGACTGGCTCAAGGTTGACTCAGCTTTCCGTCCTTCCAAGGTCGGTAAAACGAGGACCCAGATTGTTGGGGGCCATAAAAGTGAGTCTGTAAACCGCTTAGAGAGGGCTGTAAAAGCACTGTAAAGCGGTATATAAGTCTCAGGGCTATTGCTATTCTTCACTCTGACATGATAGTGGGTGAATGGAAGGATTTATATTCCTTGCAGACAGCTGGTCCTTGGCATGCTTTTAGAGCAGGGGTCTCCAAGCTTGGCATCTTCAAGACCTGTGGACTTCAACTCCCAGAATTCTTTGCTGGGAGATGCTTTGCTGGCTGAGGAATTCTGGGAGTCTGCAATTTTTTTTCCCCCTCTGGGAATCAATTCCTGCTCCCACCCCATTCCAAGGGGGCCCATCCCAAATTGCATAGCTAAAAGTCTGCAGAGATTCTCCGTCATCCAGGTCACGCTTTTTTTTTTTTTTCACGACTTTCTGGTTTTTTCTTTTGAAGACATTTTTGTTTTGGTTTTTTTTTTTGCTTCTCATCCAGTTTTGCCTGCCTTTCGATCCCAGGATTCCCGTTCCCCGGAATCTTATCGGATTTTCTTCCCCCCCTCCCCTTCTACAGGTTCGAAAGACCCCTGCGCAGAGGTAGTCTGCAGCTTCGGCAGCACGTGCGTCCGATCCACGGATGGGCAGTCGGCCAAATGCATCTGCATGTCCTTTTGCAGCGGCCTCCCCGAAAACACCGTCTGCGGCAGCGACGGCAAGGACTACCGCAGCGAGTGCCACCTGAACCGACACGCCTGCGACAAGCAGGAAAACATCTTCAAGAAGTTCGATGGGCCGTGCGGTAAGAATCCCGTCTGCAGGGCCGCTGGGGGTTCGGGAGAACCTCTAGCTAAGATTCTGTGCAGTTCGGACAACCCCCAAATCCCACTCCTGGCTGGCCCCGCCCACCCTGCCCCGCCCCTCCCAGAAGTCCCGACGTGGCCTGTTTTGGATGCAGGGAAGTGCAGGGCATGCACGGAGGCTCAGGGAGGGTGAAAAACAGGCCAGAATTTCTACCAGAAATTCAGGAAGGCTGGAAACAGGCCTGTTTCCAGCCTCCAGAGGGCCTCCGGAGCCTGGGGAGGCCATTTTTGCCTTCCCGGTGGCTGGAGAAAAGCCTCCGGAGCCCAGAGAGGGCAAACACAATACCACCACGCCCGCCGTGGTGCAGGAGGCCAACTAGGCCACACCCACCCAGCAACCAGGCAGAGAACCCCTTGCTAAAATTTTTGAAGCCCACCCCTGATCTTGAGCTCTTGAGGGGGGAGGGGGTTTCTCTGATTTTGGTGGTTTTGCTGTAGACGTTTCATCACCTATCTGGGTAACTTCACCAGTGTGTGGGGGAAGTGTTAAATCCATTCAAGGCACGATGAAGCTGTTAGGGCTTGTCCTTGCATTTCACGTGGCTTAACAACTCCAGCGTGGTTGTCCTCGCATTACACACAAGCTTAACAACTGTGGCAAGGACGGTCGTAAAACGGGGCACTGAAATGCCTCGCTTAGGGTGCCATAAAACCAGATTTTTTATCAAGTCACCGCTTTCTGCCCAGTCACCAAAGCTCTCAAGATTGCAGCGAACTCACAAATTTTGAGATTTTGTGAAACGGCTGCATTCTCCTCCCCCTTTTCTTTTCTTTTGTTCTTTCTGTCTACCTTTCTTTCTGTCTTTTCCTTTTCCTTCCTCCTCCCTCCCTTCCTCCTTTCTTTCTTTCTTTCTTTCTTTCTTTCTTTCTTTCTTTCTTTTCCTTCCTTCCTTCCTTCCTATTCAGGAATATATATATTGTGGGAATTTCCTTCCCTCCCTCCCTCCCTCCCTTCTTTCTTCCTTCCTTCCTTCCTTCCCTCCCTCCCTCCTTTCTTTCTTCCTTCCTTCTTTCCTTCCCTCCCTCCCTCCTCTTTTCTTTCTTTCTTTCTTCCTTCCTTCCTTTCTTCCCTCCCTCTTTTCCTTCCTTCCTTCCTTCCTTCCTTCCATCCTTCCTTCCTTCCTTCCTTCCTTCCTTCCTATTCAGGAATATATATATTGTGGGGATTTCCTTCCCTCCCTCCCCTTTCCTTCCTTCCTTCCTTCCGTCCCTCCCTCCCTCCCTCCCTCCCTCCTCCCTTCCCTTCCCTTCCCTTCCCTTCCCTTCCCTTCCTTCCTTCCTTCCTTCCTTCCCTCCCTTCTTCTTCCTTCCTTCCTTCGTTCCTTCCTTCCTTCCTCCTTCCTTCCTTCCTTCCCTCCCTCTTTCCTTCCTTCCTTCCTATTTAGGAATATATATATTGTGGGATTTCCTTCCTCCCTCCCCCTTCCTTCCTTCCTTCCTTCCTTCCTTCCTTTCTGCAAAAGCCCACTGGAATCCGAGGGCACGCCTCTGATCTCGTTCTTCACGTTGTCGGCAGGGGTTAAGGTGTGATTTGTTTCCTGATTTTCCGCCACCCACCCCCAAACACACACACACACACACACACAGGGTTCTTCGGTCTCCATGGTGACATGTTAATCTATTGTCCCTCTTGGTCTCATATAGAGATGTAGGTCTTTCACAGCACCACATGGGGCTGCCTTTAATGGGGTGGCGGAGCGGGGGACACAGACCAAACATACATTTTTGCATTTGGGTTATTAAGGGAGCCCGAAACCTGCCGCTTCTCCTGGTATTATCAGCCGGGGTGTTGAAAACGCCCCTGTGGAGAAGCTGAGAAGGGGATTAGCCGGCTCCTGTATCAGGATGATCCCGAGCCTGGCGTCTTTTGCGTTCTGATACAGTCTCTCCAAGCATTGAAACTAATGATGATCTGCTTAAGCCGAGATTCAAGAGGTTCAATCCTGGCTGGGACATTTCCATCCCGGCTGTTTGCGCTCATTTGCTCACAAGGAACTCGTGCATCCATCCGTACAGCGAGTCCTTGACTTATGGCCACAGCTGAGCCCAAAACGTCCGTTGCTAGTTAAGCAAAGCATTTCTTAAGGGCCCCGTTTTACGACCATCCTTGCCACAGTTGTTAAGCGAAATCGCTGGAGTTGTTAAGGGAACCACCCGGTCGTTGAGCGAATCCGACTTCCCAGATTGGATTCCAAATCATCGTTGACAGGGTTCCCAAGTAATAGACCCATAGCAAGCAAAACTCCAAGGCGGGTAGATTCCTCGAAGAATGGCTTTATTGGATATATCCTATTGGCACAAATCTGGTGGAAACCGACTCTGAAGATTCCCGCGGTTTGCACCTAATTAGAAGTAAAAGCTTGTCACTTTCTCAAAACAAGTCAGTCGCGTTGTCCAATCAGGGCACCGTTCTGGTTGCCTGGTGACATCACTCCTCCTTCCTCTGACCAGGTGTGAGAATGACCTTGGTTCCCAAGAGAAAAGTATTTTGTTTCGGCTACAAAATCTCAGCGATCTAAAATCCCCCCCCACCTATCCCGCCGCTCCAGTGTGGCAACACTGAAGCTTCCAAAACGGCTTTGGTCAGGTCAGCTTCAGGGTTGACAGTCGTTCTTTTTTTCCCCCCACACCCACCTCTCAGATCCTTGCAAAAACACCCACAACGACATGAATAGAGTTTGCCGGGTCAGCCCTCGCTCGCGACGGGCCGAGTTGCTGCCCAGGCCTGAAAGCTGCCCCTTGAAAAAAGACCCGGTGTGTGGGGATGATGGAGTGACATACGAGAACGAGTGCGTCTTGCAGAGGACGGGCGCCATCCGGGGCATCGAGATCCAGAAGTTGCGTTCAGGACAGTGCCAGGTTCAAGGTAAATTTTTTAATTTTTAATCCATCCTTTTTTATTTTTTTATAAATAACTCAAGGTGGGAAACGTAACCAATATTCTTTCCTTCTCCTATTTTCCCTACAATAACCACCATGTGAGGTGGAGACTGAAAGAGAGAGGGACTGGCTCAAAGTCACCCAGCGAACTTTTATGTCTAAGACAGGACTAGAACTCACCATCTCCTAGTGATTGACTCAAAGTCACCCAGTCTGCTTTCATGCCTAAGGTGGGACTAGAACTCACCATCTTCTAGTGATTGACTCAAAGTCACCCAGCCAACTTTTATGTCTAAGACAGGACTAGAACTCACCATCTCCTAGTGATTGACCCAAAGTCACCCAGTCTGCTTTCATGCCTAAAGTGGGACTAGAACTCACCATCTCCTAGTGATTGACTCAAAGTCACCCAGTCTGCTTTCATGCCTAAGGTGGGACTAGAACTCACCATCTCCTAGTGATTGACTCAAAGTCACCCAGTTTGCTTTCATGCCTAAGGTGGGACTAGAACTCACCGTCTCCTAGTGATTGATCCAAAGTCACCCAGCTGGCTTTCGTGTCTAAGGCAGAACTAGAACTCCCAAGTCTGCTGGCTTTTAGCCTAGTTATCTCCCTCCCTCCCTCCCTCCCTCTCTCTCTCTGACACACACAACCCCCTGCCTTTTTGGAACCACTGACGCTCCTCCCCCTTTCTCCCCTTGGCATCTCCAGACAGATGCCGGGACGAGTGCCGTTTCAACGCCGTGTGCCTGATCCGCCGGGGCCTCGCCCGCTGCTCCTGCGAACGGGTGATCTGTGACGGCGCCTACCAGCCTCTCTGCGGCAGAGACAGCCGGACCTACTTCAACGACTGCGAGCGCCAGAAGGCGGAGTGCCAACAGAAAGCCGCCATTCCGGTCAAGCACCATGGACCTTGTGGTAAGTGAGGCCGGACGGGGCTCCAAAACTCACCCATTTCTCGGCTTCCCACCCAGTGGGCGCAGCAGCTGAAAGAGGTAAGTCTGACCCTCCCCCCAAACCTTGGGATGAAACACAGCCCATCCTGCTCTCTTCTTTTCCTCTCGGTCCTTCGTTCCCTGCTCTCCTGTGGTGTCCTCTGTCTCTGTTTGTCATCCTTTTTGTCCTTCGGGGGAATTTTGAAGAAGAGTGTTCAGTCCTGTCCATTCTCCATCTTTTCATCTCTCTCTCTCTCTCTCTCGTTCCTGTCTTTCCCTGCTTGCTGATTCCTTTCTCAGCTTGGGCATCACACGCGCTAACCTCTTGCACCATTCGAAGTTGGGTTCTTTAACACACCTTTCCATTCTCCCAAATCTTTCTTAAGTTTGCAGGGCTGAATCTTGGCGGCGTCTCTTCTCCCAGGGTGTCAGAAGCGGAGGGACGCAAGGCAAGGCCGTGCTTTCCCTAAAAGAGCTCAAAACAGGCAGATTGTTAAGGAATTCGCAGAGTTCCTTAACAATCACCCTTGAATAGCAAGGGTGTGTACATGAAAGCGATTGAGAGAGATACGAATAAACACAGTCAACACACAGATACACTGAGTTGTGTTTACTTTCAGGAAATAGTAAGGCACAGTCCAATAAACACTCCAGGTCATACACATATAAAGCAGGAGATAGCAAAACGACAGTCCAGGGATAATCCAATAACAAAGTCTTCTTACCAGTCGTCGTAGTCATTCACAATAAACAGTTCTTCTGGATCTGCAAACGGTAGCATACAGAGATATCAGAGAGCAAGAACAACAAAGAGAAACAAACCATGTTTCTAGCTCCCTCTTAAGGAGATTGGCTACAGAGCTAACCAATCAGGACACAGTATGATGCAATACAGCAGTCTTAAAGCTACATTGACGGTTTATATATTGCCAATCCAACAAGGTAGGTAATACTCATTTCCTAACACAGATCATTAGGCCAAACACAGGAAGGAAACAAAGAGGCTATCCAGCTACTTCACTTCATTCTGTTTATTTGATGCCCGCTTTCCCGTTCACTGTTGCCCCCTTTACAAATCCAGGACCGATAACAAAACATTCAGAATAAATTTGCAAATTGTTAACCCGGTACATCACCTCTCTTGCCCCCACACCCCACAGTGTGGAATTTTTAACTTTAGACTCCCGGAACCAGGAATCTGGATTTTCTTTCTACAGGTAGTCCTCGACTTACGACAGTTCAGTTTAGCGTTCAAAGTTACGACAGCATTGGAAAAAGGGAATATTACGACTGTTTTTCATGCTTGTAAACTGCTTAGAGAAGGCTGTAAAGCAGTATATAAGTCTAAGGGCTATTGCTATCTTCCTTCCTTCCTTCCTTCCTTCCTTCCTTCCTTCCTTCCTTCCTTCCCTCCCAGTGGTTAGAATGCAGTATTACAGGTTAACTGTGCCCACTACCAGGAGTTCGACCCTGACCAATTGGCTGAAGCCTTCCATCTTTCCGAAGGACCCAGATTGTTGGGGGCAATAGGCTGACTTTCATCCACTTAGAGAGGGCTGTAAAAGCACTGTAAAGCGGTATGTAAGTCTTAAGGGCTATTGCTATTAATAACCGCAGTGATTCACTTAGCAACGGGTCAAGAAAAGTCATAAGATTGGGGCAAAACGCAGTCCACAGAAGCAAGCAGAAATGTTAGGCTCAATTGTAAAGTCGAGGACTACCTGTAATAACTTACGGGAACATGTGTGTCTCAAGGAAATTCCATGCAGATAATCCATTGCCGAAGAGGCTTTCGTTTTAATACGGACTCAATTCGCAAGCATGTCAAAAGAAGAGTTAGCAACTTCATTTCTACCACATGCAAATTTGATTACTAATAACCCTTGTCAGGCTTTCCTGGTGGGGATTTAGTCCGTGATTCCGTTGTACGATGCGAACCCACAAAAACGAGTTAAATCAGTAACTGAATTAAATTCACTAGCTAAACCATGGTAATACGTTTTTCCACCTCCTCTGAAAATTCACAGGGGGAAAGATAACGATATTATCTCTCTCAGGAGCATCCAGGAAAAAAAAAAAAGATAAAAGATAAAAACTCTTGTTTTTCTGGCTGGCTTAAAAAAAAACGAAAAAAAACCCCACACTGGGTGCGAAAAGAAGGAAGAAAATTAATCTCGGCTGTCTGGTGTGCAGAAGCAAAGCGGATTACATATCACACCGCACACCCGAAACCAGTCAAACATTTGCATCGAGGCAAATAATTCACTAATTTTTCCGCCACGATAACATCTTTTTAATCTTCCAATCGCCCCCGAGATTCTGAGATGGAAAACGTGAAATAATCACAGGTTGGATTTCACGAACCGTCGTTCGCTGAAGTATTTCTTACAGCAGTGCTTTTTCTCTCTTATCTCGCTTCGTTCTGCCCTGTCAGCAGTTCCCAAATGCTACCCTGTTTCCCTGAAAATAAGACCCAACAGGAAAATAAGCCCTAGCATGATTTTTCAGGATTCTCGTAATATAAGCCCTACCCCCAAAATAAGCCCCAGTTAAGATTGTCAGCCAGATGGATGCATTTAGTACCGTATTTCCCCCAACATAAGACCCAACCAGAAAATAAGCCCTAGAGTGATTTTTCAGGATGCTTGTAATATAAGCCCTACCCCCAAAATAAGCCTGTTAAAATTGTCAGCCAGATGGATGAATTTAGTACCATATTTCCCCCAAAATAAGACCCAACCAGAAAATAAGCCCTAGCATGATTTTTCAGGATGCTCGTAATATAAGCCCTACCCCCAAAATAAGCCCCAGTTAAGATTGTCAGCCAGATGGGTGCATTTAGTATTGTATTTCCCCAAAAATAAGACCTAACCAGAAAATAAGCCCTAATGCATCTTTTGGAGCAAAAATTAATATAAGACCCAGTCTTATTTTCAGGGAAACACGGTATTAATACTTCAGACCAGAGCTCACTCTAACCCTAACCCTAACCCTTATTTTCAGGGGGAACATGGTAGTTTTGGGGGTGGGGAACATCCAATTTTAAACCTGTCCCTTCACGAGGCATAATATCTGCGTGGAATTGAAGATGTGGAGTCTCTAGAAAGAGTGCAGAGAAGAGCAACAAAGGTGATTAGGGGACTGGCGGCTAAAATATACGAAGAACGGTTGCAGGAACTGGGTATGTCTACTTTAATGAAAAGAAGGACTAGGGGAGACATGATAGCAGGGTTCCAATATCTCAGGGGCTGCCCCAAAGAAGAGGGAGTCAAGCTATTCTCCAAAGCCCCTGAAGGCAGGACAAGAAGCAATGGGTGGAAACTAATCAAGGAGAGAAGCAGCTTAGAAATAAGGAGAAATTTCCTGACAGTGAGAACAATTAACCAGTGGAACAACTTGCCACCAGAAGTTGTGAATGCTCCAACACTGGAAGTTTTTAAGAAGAGGTTGGATAACCATTTGTCTGAAGTGGTGTAGGGTTTCCTGCCTAAGCAGGAAACAATTACAAAATTGTCATTTTGTAAGCCGCCTTGAGTCCCCAGGGAGAAAGGCAGCATATAAATTGCAATAATAGATAGATAGATAGATAGATAGATAGATAGATAGATAGATAGATAGATAGATAGATAGATTAGATAGATAGATAGATAGATAGATAGATAGATAGATAGATAGATAGATAGATAGATAAGCAGGGGGTTGGACTAGAAGACCTCCAAGGTCCCTTCCAATTCTGTTATTCTATTCTATTCTAATTGAGAGAAATTCCGAAGAAGCTGCCAAGGAAAGCTGGACGCCTTTTTTTAAAAAAAATGCCAATTTTCTTGCCAGGGGAAATTAAATTGGGGTGTGCCTGGAAACCTGGGGAAGCAGTCCATAGCTGTGTCTGTCTCTCTCTTTCCCCCATCCTCCTCCTTTCTGTCTCTCCTTCCTCTTTCTCTCTTTCTCTCTGTTGTCTTGTGTCTTCTAGCGTTACCTGTTCGGAGAAAGGAAGTGCGCCTGCCCAGTTCTCCGGATCACACTACCAGGAGAATTCTGCTGCGAGGTTCGCGTCTTTCCTCGACCATACGCTCTTCGCTTCCATTTGGCATCGCCTGTTTCCCTGCGTTTTGCAGAGGGAGGGAGGGAGGAAATCCCATTTTTTGCTCTTGCTTTCAAAGCCTTTCCCCTTGCCCGTCGATGCCCGGTTGGCACGAGAGCTGGTGGCTAGCATTTCCCCCCGTCCCCTTTGTAGGGGTCGCAAAGGCTGCACCCTTCTCCTTTACACATGCACGATGCATTCCCACAACATTTTGAGCCCAGGGACTGAATTAGCTCATCTTCTGGGCTTGGGTAGTATCTGTGCTTGAGAATCTGTGCTTGAGTATCATGCTTGAGACTCTAGAAAGAGTGCAGAGAAGAGCAACAAAGATGATTATAGGGGACTCGAGGCTAAAGCATAGGAAGAACTCATCGCATGAAATTTCGGACTTTAGAAGAACGATGGCTGCTTCCTCCTGCTCATTCTGTCTCAGTGTTTTTCCCCCACCTTCCCCTCTTCCTCTCTCGCTTCCCTCCCTTGGTGAAATGCTCGCTTGCGATGAACACCCCCCACCCCACCCCAGCCTGCCTTCCGTGTCTTTCCTTTGAGCCACTTGGCACTGTGTTCAGAAGTGGGTTTCACAGAATTTTACCACCGGTTCGCCGTGCGCTGAAAATGTGACGCCTTCTGCGCATGTGCTCCGCTAGCACGCATACGCGCGGCTAAATAGGACGGCATAGCTCTCGGAGGTTGGCAGCCGGAGGTTGCCGCACACCAGATTGCACCAAGATCTGCAGGCCAAATAATGACACTCCTGGCTCCTCAAGTTCCTCCTAATTCTCATCCCCAATAGGATGACATAGAGCCGGGGCGAGTGGGTGCTACCAGTTCGGCTGAACTGATCTGAACCGACTGAATATCACCTCTGGCCATGACCCAATAAGCAGAAGTAGCAATTTGGAAAAGGGCCACCTCTGATGCGGGCATCCCAGTTATGTGGAGGGATGCATAACGGAGTGGATTTTTTTGAGGGGGGGAAACGCTGATCCCTTCCCTCCTGTGTGAAAGGGGCAGTTAATCAGGAAATGCCAAGGGAACCCCTTGCCTTGAAAGGTGCCTCACCCGTTTGGGTTGATAGAGCGGGCTGCGTATGCCTCTGTTCCTTATCAAACGAGAAAGAGAGGTGGAGGTAGAGTACTCTGTCCACCTCCACTAGGGACGGGTCGGCAACCTGTGGCTCTGGAGCTGCGTGTGGCTCTTTCATCCCTCTGCTGCGGCTCCCTGTTGCCGGTCGGCTCCACAATTGATAGGGCTTTCAGTTAGGACAGGTAGAGGAAAAAGGACGCCGCGCTAGGAGGAGACTCTATGGTGGGGGAACCGGACTTCCGGTTGGCTCCAGACTGTTGAGTGTTTTAAGGTTGCCGACCCCTGCGCTAGGGTGTCCCCCCCTTCTCTAACCATTCTACCTGCTTTCCTGCTCTTCTGATGCAGATCTTGGCAAGCCGAGCCCCTGTTTGAGCGTTGAGTGCCAGTACGGTGCCACCTGCGTGGTGAAGAACCAGGAGGCCGTGTGCGAGTGTCAGCAAGTGTGCCAGAGCGTCTACGATCCGGTCTGCGGCAGCGACAACCTCACCTACAGTAACCCTTGCGAGCTGGACGCCATGGCGTGTGCCCTCCGGAAGGAGATCCGGGTGAAACACAAGGGCCCATGTGGTGAGTGGTTAGATCCCCCGCTGCCTGAAATAGAAAAGAGAAATGGAAAAAAATAGAAAAGAATGAACAATTATCCTTGGGGAGGGGGCTCCGAAAGCAAGATCCTAGCTTTTAGCCTGATTTCATTCTTACTTCTGAGAGTTTTAGAAGGGAAACGCAGTGACATTCCAAACTCAGTTAAAAATTCGGATAGCTGCTCCTATTGTTGGAAGCTCTGCTATCTGAGTGGGATCAGAAGAGTGATGAGTGAAGGAAGCCCAGCCAGGGCAAAATTGGCAGACCCCCTGTTGTGGCCTGTCGGCCATTGGCCCTTCCGACAACCGAACCAAAGGAGGAGGAAGTGTAGGAGTCAGGATCAGCATCAAGGCAACTTGAGAGCTCCGAGGGGGAAGAGGGAATGGAGCCGGCAGAGAGACAGAGGCGGAGCCTGGACCGTCCATCAGCTGTCAGATGGAGAGTCAACAGCCCCCAGGTCTGGAGGTGGCTGATGAGGACGAGGAGGAACAGCTTGGTCCAGTGTCTGATGCGCGGATGCACAGAAGGCAGAGGAGAGGAGAGCAGTGGAAATCAATGGGCCGGTCCTTGGGACAGAAGAGACACTGCTACTAATGAAGCCCTTCACTAACTCTGGGGATAAAAGGCAGGAGGAGGAGATGAGTAGATGTGGCAGACAACTATTTGTCTCCTGGACGGACAGACTTGTTAGCCTGCGGTAAGAGAGAAACTTTGTGCCGGGGCTGCTGGCGCTTCCAATAAAGGAATAATTGATTTAACCAAAACACTTGCCACAACGCGGCACTGAATACAATCCCAGCATTCCAAGCGGATGGCCTCTATTTTTCAATAAAGCAGCTGTTCTTTCGGGGAGCCCGCGAAAGCCAAATCGAGAAATATTTAAACATCCCTCCGTTTTAATGTCTCGTGCAGTAAATATTTGGTAGATCTAATCCACCTCAACCTGAGCTCTTCGGGTCCGTTTTTCCCGAACATCCCAAACTGTTTGAGGATTGCTGCAGTCTAAAGAAAATATTGGCCGAGATGCCGTAGCTGTTAACCCGAATTCACAACCCATTGTGGGGGTCAGGCCTCTGTTGCTGCCGGGGCAGTGCTGTCGATTTTGAGGGTCACATCTGGACCCCAAAGCCCCGGTTTCAAATCCCCGCTCATCTAGCAGCCACAGTCGGCCTCCCCCGAGTTCCGGAGGCCCTCTGGAGGCCGGAAATGAGCCTGTTTCCGGACTTCTGGAACTTCCGGGAGGCCTGTTTTTGGCCCTCCCCAGGTTCCGGAGGCTTTCCTCGAGCCTCAGGGAGGGTGAAAACGGCCTCCCCCAGGCTCCGAAGGCCCTCTGGAAGCCAGGCCCATTTCCAGACTTCCGGAACTTCCGGAGGCCTGTTTTTTGCCCTCCCCAGGCTCCGGAGGCTTTCCTCGAGCCTCAGGAAGGGTGAAAATGGCCTCCCCCAGGCTCCGAAGGCCCACTGGAAGCCAGGCCCATTTCCAGACTTCCGGAACTTCCGGGAGGCCTGTTTTTGCCCTCCCCAGGCTCCGTGCAGGCGCTGCTGTCACCTGGCATCCAAAACGGGCTGCGTGGAGACTCCTGGGATGGGGTGGGCGGGGCCAGCAACTACCGGTTCGGCGAACCAGGTGTAAAATTAGCATCCGGTTTTCCCAAACCGGCTGAATCCCACAGCCTTTTCCTACCCCTATCTCCAGGCCTTCTCTGGCGCCAGCGTAAACCTCCGCTTCATAAAATTATTATGAGCGATTAAACCGAGCATCGGAGATCGAGGTCGCCGGTCCCACCGGCTGTATGACACCCAGAGATGGACGTGTAAGCAATTAGCTCAGGAAGCCGAGTGCCCCCCCCAAAAATCCCCTGCTATCTAAAGGAGCTTCGAGCCTTGAATCCAATGTATTGAGTGGGGGGGGGACCGACGAGGTTACGGGGAGGGAGGGGAGAACCCAGAGGTAAGGGCGAGAGGTTCATTTCGGTTTCTTGTTCTTATTCGCCTGCTCAGCGGAGAATGTGGGGGCTTCCCCCGAGAAGGTGGGTTCATTTGGCATGCGGCACTTCCTTCCTCCCCTTCCTTTGTGGCGAGCGGTCTTGAGGACTAGAAACCCGCTGCTTCCTTCAGGGCGCTGATTTTTTTTCCCCTGCGCATGTCTTCCCTGTGGAACGAAGGCAGAGTGGATGTGGAGGGGGGGCGCGACGGGGGGTAGAAATGACGGCTCAACAGGAACGCGTCGCTCTCCAGACTTGTCAAGTCAGACAATCTGGAACCTCGGCACTGGGAAGGTCTTCCCCAGCGAGAAGTTTTTTTTTAAGAAAAATAAAAAGATATAAAAATCCAAGCACGTCCTTCCCGTCGGAAGGGGAGTTAGCTGGGCTTGCTTTTAGCAGGTTGCCGAAGGGTTTTCTTTTTTTTTTAAAAAAAAAACTCTTTTGCCTAACGCTCGGCTGTGCTTTCAAATTGCTGGGATTTATTTTTAGTGGGTTTATTTTTTTTTTTTACTCGTTTTATTGCACTTCATACTCTTGTTGTTGTTGTTATTATGAATTGCCTCGGGACCCGGAATTGACAGATTGAATAGGAGAGAAATTCTTTTTTCTCTCCCCCGTCCTGTATACGGTAATTTTTAAAATCTTCCTCGGTCCTTTCTTCTTCCCTCACTCCCTCCTCCCTCTGTTTCTTTCTTTCTTTCTTTCTTTTTTCTTTCTTTCTTTCTTTCTTTTCTTTCTTTCTTTCTTTCTTTCTCCCTCCCTCCCTCCCTCCCTCCCTCCTCCTTCTTTCCCTTCATCTTCCTTCTTTCTTTTTCTCTTTTTCTTTTTCTTTCTTTCTTTTTCCCTCCCTCCCTCCCTCTCTTTCTTTCTTTCTCTCCTTCCTTCCTTCTCTCTCTCTCCTTCCTTCTCTCTCCCTCTGTCTTTCTTTCTGTCTGTCTGTCTTCCTCCCTCCCTCCCTCCCTCCCTTCATCTTTCTTCCTCCCTCCCTCCTTCCCTTCATCTCCTTTTCTTTCTTTCTTTCTTTCTTTCTTTCTTTCTTTCTTTCTTTTTTTTTCTTTCTTTCTTTTTCCCTCCTTTCCTCTCTCCTTTGTTTGTTTGTTTATTTCTCTCCTTTCTTCCTTCTCTCTCTCTCCATCCTTCTCTCTCCCTCTGTCTTTCTTTCTGCCTGTCTGTGTCTTCCTCCCTCCCTCCTTCCCTTCATTTTCCTCCTTCCCTTCTCCCTCCCTCCCTCCTTCCTTCCCTTCATCTCCTTTTCTTTCTTTCTCTTTCTTTTTCCCTCCCTCCCTCCTTTCCTCTCTTCCTTCCTTCCTTCCTTCCTTCCTTCCTTCCTTCTCTTTCTTTCTTTCTTTCTTTCTTTCTTTTCTTTCTTTCTTTCTTTCTTTCTTTCCCCACCCATCTTTAAAAGGGAACGATCTTAAAGGGCTCTGACCTCTTTCTCTCCAAAGGAAAAACAAAGCTTCTTATTTAGGCAAACCATGTCAAAGAAGGACGCCTTAACCCTTGGGAATCAAAACCTCCTTCCTGATCGTTTCTGTCCTTGCCACTTAACCGTAAATTTACGATTGTAAATTTTGGGGACTCCCTTGCTTCAGAAAGCCGGACTGGCTGCCCACTGGTGTGTGAAAATTAATCGTGTCTCTCCAATTGACTGTGGGTTTGAACCATTCGGCTGCCCGAAAAGATCCGAAATAGCCTTCCTCTTGGCTTAAACCCCCTTTTCCGTTTTATCTCCTGGCGGGGAAGGGGCAAAGGAGCGTCCGAGAGAACCAAGCCGGCTTGCCACGCACAGTTTGATTTTGGCCGGTTTGGGGTGCGGGGTGGGGGAGTCAAATATTGGACCAGCCTCCTGGCGGGGGGGTCGTTCGGGATGGGCTGACTCCTCATTTCCCAACGAAGCTTTCTCCGCCGAGCGTGAACGGAAAGGTTGAGTTAGAGAAGCAGAGCAAACACGCTCAAAAGTTGCCCCAGGATGACGGAACGTAGCAGCTGGCGAGTCGTTCGGCGGTAATTAAATTGGCTGGCATCGTGAAGCGGGCAGGGTCACGCCTCTCGCACAAAACCCTCCTGCGGGGGAACGTGCCAGAGGGATTGTCAGGGTTGCCAGGTCTGACCTGTGTGTCTCTCTCTGTGTGTGTAAGAGTAACAGAGTTGGAAGGGACCCTGGAGGCCATCGAGTCCAACCCCCTGCTCCCGCAGGAGACCTGGACTAGGGACTCGAACCGCCAAACTGCCGACTTTTCTGATTGACGAGCTCAATGTCTTAGCCGCTGAGCCACCTAGTCAGGCTCTGTGTGGGGGGGTCTGAACTAAACTCCGCCTCACAGGCACCCTGAAAATAAGGTTGATTTTCGGAATGTAAGAAAGGCAGAGCCGTCTTGCCCTTGCGGAGGGGACTCTGGAGCCCCCAAAAGTGTGGCTGCGCACCCCGTGTTAGCACCTCGCAGCCTCCCCATTGGAGAACTCACATCTTTGCCTCCTCCCCATTGGGTAGGTGGGAGATGCCCCCTTCTGCTTCCCCCCCCCACCTCCCCCAGGTCTGAGCCATCTTCCAGAATGGAATGGAATGGAATGGAATGGAATGGAATGGAATGGAATGGAATAGAATAGAATAGAATAGAATAGAATAGAATAGAATAGAATAGAATAGAATAGAATAGAATAGAATAGAATAAATAAATGGAATGGAATGGAATGGAATGGAATGGAATGGAATAGAATAGAATAGAATAGAATAGAATAGAATAGAATAGAATAGAATAGAATAGAATAGAATAGAATAGAATAAATGGAATGGAATGGAATGGAATAGAATAAATGGAATGGAATGGAATGGAATGGAATGGAATGGAATAGAATAGAATAGAATAGAATAGAATAGAATAGAATAGAATAGGAATGGAATGGAATGGAATGGAATGGAATGGAATGGAATGGAATGGAATAGAATAGAATAAATGGAATGGAATGGAATGGAATGGAATGGAATGGAATAGAATAGAATAGAATAGAATAGAATAGAATAGAATAAATGGAATGGAATGGAATGGAATGGAATAGAATAAATGGAATGGAATGGAATGGAATGGAATGGAATGGAATGGAATGGAATAGAATAGAATAGAATAGAATAAATGGAATGGAATGGAATGGAATGGAATGGAATGGAATAGAATAGAATAGAATAGAATAGAATAGAATAGAATAGGTCACCCAGTCAGCTTTCATGGCTAAGGCAGGACTAGAATTCAGTCTCCTGGTGACTGGCCTAATGTCATCCAGCCTGCTTTCATTCTTAAGGTGGGACTAGAACTCACCGTCTCCTGGTACTTGGCCCAAAGTCATACAGTCAGCTTTCATGCCTAAAGTGAGACTAGAACTCACCGTCTCCTGGTGATTGGCCCAAAGTCACCCAGCGGGCTTTCATGCCTAGAACTCACAGCCTCTTCAGCTTCCTAAGCCAGCATCTAACCACTATATCCACTCTCTTCCCTGCCTTGCCGCTGAAGTCCTGGGCTTATTGTCTGTTTTATTCCCCGTTGATTGACAGGGGAATGGGTCCTGCCTGTTTCTTGACATATCCTGAGGCTCTTAGAGCAAACAGTCTCTCTGCTTTCCGATAGATAAGCCCTGCCAGAATCCCCAACTGTAAAACCGAAAGCTGTTTTTTGGGGGAATCTTCCCCGCTCTCGCGGCCGACCTCTTCCTCCCCTTGCAGGCTGCCTGCCAAAGATACCTTATCCAAGGTCAGATTTCTTCTTGACCTGCTTAGGAAATGGCTTTTTTTTCCCCCCTCTGGCAAAGTCTTCTGCAGCTTCCTGATCTTTTGCGCTGTTCTGCTTGCAACCAAGGCGTCCGTTCGAACTCCGGTGCCCATCATCCCCCTCAGTGGCGAGGGAGCAGGGGTGGGGCTTCAAAAATTTTAGCAAGGGGTTCTCTGCCCAGTTGCTGGGTGAGCGTGGCCTAGTTGGCCTCCTGTACCACGGCAGGGGAGGTCATGTTTGCCCTCCCCGGGCTTCAGAGGCTTTCCTCGAGCTTCCGGGAGGGTGAAAACGGCCTCCCCAGGCTCTGGAGGCCCTCCGGAGGCCAGAAACGGGCCATTTCCGGCCTTCCCGATCTTCCGGTAGGCCCGTTTTTTGCCCTCCCCGAGCCTCTGCGCACCTCCTTCCACTTATCTGCATCCAAAACAGGCCGCGTGGGGACTCCTGGGAGGGGAGGGGAGGAGTGGGATTTGGGGATTCTCCGAACTGCACGGAATCTTAGCTAGAGGTTCGTCCCGAACCCCTGCGAACCCCCAGCAGCCTCACCCCTGCAAGGGACTCCCGCAGCCTTATGCTTATCCGCAAACTCACCACCCCCCCATCGTAAGAAAAATGCTAGGTTAACATCCTTCGTGGGGGGGGCGAAAGAAGGAGAGTTTAAAAGGATTTTCATCGAAATCCTCATTAATCAAGATTTCTCCGCCTGCTTTCCAGACCGCTGTCGGAAGTGCCAGTTTGGTGCCATCTGCGAGGCCGAGACGGGCAGGTGCGTGTGCCCCACCGAATGTGTCGCCTCCTCTCAGCTGGTTTGCGGAACCGACGGGAACACCTACGGGAGCGAGTGCGAACTCCACGTTCAGTCCTGCATCCAACAGGTTTCCATCGAGGTGGCAGCCCAAGGCAGCTGTAGTAAGTCCAAGGGGTTTTTTCTCTGTCTCTGTGTCTCTCTCTCTGTCTCTGTCTCTCCCTCTCTCTCTCTCTGTCTCTCTCTCTCTCTGTGTCTCTGTCTTTCTGTCTCTCTCTCTCTGTCTGTCCCTCTCTCTCTCTGTCTCTCTCTCTCTGTCTCTCTCTCTGTGTGTCTCTCTGTCTCTGTCTCTCCCTCTCTCTCTGTCTCTCTCTCTCTCTGTCTCTCCCTCTCTCTCTCTGTCTCGCTCTCTCTGTCTCTCTCTCTGTGTGTCTCTCTGTCTCTGTCTCTCCCTCTCTCTCTGTCTCTCTCTCTCTGTCTCTCTCTGTGTGTCTGTCTGTCTGTCTCTCTCTCTCTCTGTCTCTCTCTCTGTCTCTCCCTCTCTCTCTCTGTCTCTCTCGCTTTGTCTCTCTCTCTCTCTCTCTGTCTCTCTGTGTGTGTGTCTCTCTCTCTCTCTCTGTGTCTCTGGAATGGAATGGCTTTTAGACTTATATACCGCTTCACAGTGCTTTACAGCCCTCTCTCTAAGAGGTTTACAGAGTCAGCCTCTTGCCCCCAACAATCTGGATCCTCATTTTATTGACCTTGGAAGGATGGAAGGCTGAGTCATCCTGAAACTCCAGGCAGTGGGCAGAGTCAGCCTGCAATACTGCATTCTAACCACTGTGAAGGGAGGGAGGGAAGGGACAGGGAAGGGAAGAAGGGAAGGGAAGGGAAGGGAAGGGAAGGGAAGGAAGGAAGGAAGGAAGGAAGGAAGGAAGGAAGGAAGGAAGGAATAGCCCTTAGACTTATACGTTGAGTCAGTTGGGATCGAACTCCTGACAGCGAGCAGTGAGTTCGCCTGCAGTACTGCCTTCTAACCACTACGCCACCATGGCTCTATATTAGTGTACATTAGTGCGCTCTGTGCACACTAACATGCCCTACGCTTGATGAGGTACCTAATTCGGTAATGAAACATCTGCAAGAAAAAAAAAACCCCACGTAACTCAAGAGAGCAACTCAAGGACCCCGACAATTCAACCCCGAGTTACAAAATATTCTACGGAAATAACTTCCTGGGCCTCTTAACTCTTCCTCCTTTCTCGCCCGTTCTCCGCAGAAGCCTGTGGGGCCACCGTGTGTTCCTTCGGGGCAAAGTGCGTGGACGGGCAGTGCCTCTGCCCCCGTTGCGAGCAACAGCCCTCGTCCCGCGTCTGCGGAAGCAACGGCATCACGTACAACAACGAGTGCGAGCTGCGCCTGGCGGCTTGCCAGCAGAAGGAAGAGCTGGAGGTTGCGAAGAGGGGCCCGTGCGAAGACGGTGAGTCTCAGTGCTGGTTCGCGGGCAGGTCCTCGACTTACGAGCCTGTTGTGACCTAGGCGCTCTTCCTCGTTACAAGACACAAGCCCTTCAGAAGAAGTCTGGGCAGGTCAAAATTCCTCTCCTTCCTCCTGGGTTCGAATCACGCATCTTTAGATTCCTAGCCTTTGACCTGAATTGGCAAACATTGGAGACGGGAGGGGGGGATGTCACCAGGATTGTAGGGGGGGGCTCTACATGGGGAGGAGGAAGGAGGGTGGGTGGGTGGGTGAAGTAGGCGCTGCCTCCCTCCTTGAGTCCCTCCTTCCCTGCTATGTCTGGGGCCGTCTCCCCTCCCTCCCCTCCCCTCCCCTTCGCTTTCCATCCTGGCCCCGGCTCTCCTTCCTTCCCATTGTCTCTTCAGCTGCCAATAATGAAAAGCCGTGGTCGGTAATAGGGCTCCACGAGGAGAGCTTTTCTGTGCTTTAATTTCACACTTCAGAAGCATTGAGGGAGGTGAGGGAAAGGCAGGCCCTCAGTGTTCTTTTTTCTTTGTTTCCTTCCCTCCCTCCCTTCTCTCTCCTTTCTTCCTTTCCTTCTTTCCTCCTTCCCTTCTTCCTTTCCTTCTGTCCTTCCTTTCTCTTCTCTCCCTTTCTCCCTCCTTTCCCCTCTAACTCTTCCCTCCCTCTTCCTTCCTCCCTGCCTTTCTTCCATCCATCCATCTTTCCTCCCTTCTTCCTTTCTTCCTTCTTTCCTTCCTTTCCTTCTATCCTTTCTCCCTCCCTTTTCTCTCTTCTTCCTTCCTCCTTCTCTTCTCTCCTTCCTTTCTCCTCTTCCTTTCTCCCTCCTTTCCTCTCTAATTCCCCTTTCCTTCCCTCCTCCTTCCCTTCCTTCTTTCCTCTTTCTTCCTCCTTTCTTCCTTCTTTCCTTCTTTTCCTTCTATCCTTTCTCCCTTTTCTCTCTTCTTCCTTCCTTCTTCTCTCCTTCCTTTCTCTTCTCTCCCTCCCTCCCTCCTTTCCCTTCTTACTCCCCTTCTCTTCCATCCCTCTTTTCCTTCCTCCCTGCCTTCCTTCCTTCCATCCATCCATCCTCTTTCCTCCCTTCCTCCTTTCCTTCCTTCTATCCTTTCTCTCTCCCTTTTCTCCTTCCTTCCTTCTTCTCTCCTTCCTTTCTCCTCTCCCTTTCTCCCTCCTTTCCCCTCTAACTTTCCTCCCTCCCTCCCTCCCTCCTTCCCTATTCTATTCTATTCCTTCCTTCCTTCTTCCCTCCCTTCCTCCATCTACCTCCCTTCCTCCCTCTTTCCTTCCTTCTCTCCCTCCCTCACTGGTTAATACCTGGATGAGAGAAACCACCATAAAACCCCAGAGATGTTGCGAGACCGAGACATCAGGCCAGGAAAAGACAATGTTTCCTTCCACACTCTTAACACGAAAGCCACACATGAGAGATCATACCAAGATAGAAAGAGAAGAAAGGGTATTTCCTTCATAGAAGGCACGGCTGGGTTCACTTACCCTTATCACTGATTTGCCCCATGCGCTGTCTGTGCATGCGCCCAGCCTTCCACATATGCGTTCGCTCGCTTGCGCGCCTTCTGCAACTTCTGCTGACTTGGAGCCAGGGCAGACAGACCTGCCGGTGATCGCCGCTACCAGTTCGTCTGAATCTGTGCGAACCGGCTGAATACCACATTTGATAGAAGGCCTTATCTCTATCCTCAAGATTCTGTAAATTTGCCGCCTGAAAGTTCATTAAAAGACACTTTTATGGTTTCTGTGGGGCATCTTCTGAGATGCATCTCTGTAGCTGCCAGGAATTTTGAACCCAACTCGGAGAGAGTCCCCCAAAATGTCGATCATCAGGTCTAGAAACTTGACTCTTTTTTTCCCCCCCCAGCAAGGGTTAGACTATCTCAACGTTGGTCTAGGGGATACACAACCCTGGTTGTTCTTCTCTCGTGCAGAGTGCGGCTCGGGCGATGGGTCTGGCTCCGGAGATGCCATCGAGTGCGAGAGAGATAGCTGCCGGAAGTACGGGGGTTCATGGGACGAGGATATGGAAGATGACCGTTGCGTGTGTGATTATACCTGTGGGACCGTACCACAGAACTTGGTAAGGGGGGATTTCCCTAGGAGTATCTGCCTAAATTAGATATTTATTTTTTTTTTTTGCACAGAGCAAGAAGTTGGTCTAGACCAGGGGTCTGCAAACTTAAACACAGAACCTGTTTCCCACAGAAAAGAAAACACCGGGAGCCACAAAAACCTTCCCGTGCCTGACTAATTCTTGAGAGGCCACAAAACTAGCATATATAGTGAATTAAACATTCTGTTTTCTTCCGAAACTCTTCTTTTCTTGGATTTATCCATGGTTGGCCTACCGGGGGTTGAAAAGCTCAATAAATCACGTGCCGGTGGGTGTCGCACATTGGCGGTTGTGATGCATATTTTGAGTGACAGGGAGCCGCAGCAGAGGGGTGAAAGAGCCACATGCAGCTCCAGAGACACAGGTTGCTGACTCCTCCTCTAGACCAGAGGTGTCCAACTTTAATTTAACTGGGGAATGCTGGGAGTTGAAGTCCACAAGTTTTTTTTTTAAAGTTGCCAAAGTTGAACTCTCCTGGATTTGATGCTTTCCAGAATGCCTCCTGATTTTGTGTGGCTGCAAAGCTTTTTGCAAAGCGACACTTCGGAGAGCCGAGTTAAATTCTCCGTTGTGTCTCTAATGCTTCTCTGCCCTCCGGGTTTTTTTATTTTTTTTTTCCCTCTGTTTCTCATTAATTTCCCTGGCATGCATTTGCATATTTTATGGACGGGAAAGTGGAAAGCGGAGGAACTCCGTGCATGTATGACATCCTGGATGCCAGCAGATGTGTTCTCCGAACCAGGGAAGATGGGAATGAAGGCTTCTGTTTATTTTTATTTATTTATTTATTTTCTCCCCCTCTGATGCCAAGAGATCACAGGCAGAATTCTCTAGGACTCCGTCCAACCGGCTTATTTACTTGCCAGGCTTAACCTAAATCTAAACCTCAAATCTGCAAGAATGATTTTTTTTCTCTCCCTGAAATAGCCTTTAAGACGCCAGCTTGGATGGCTATCAGCCTTTTAAGTATGTAAAACGGTGCAGTTTAGATGCTCCCTTTGGAGTAGAACTGCACTGAAGCCTGGACTCTGCTGGTCCTCGGGGTTTACACCGAGGCTCTTACCCGTGAGTAGGCCTGCTCCCAAATGAGGCACTGACCCAGGGGTGAAATGCTACTGGTTTGGATCGGTTCGCCTGAACCGATAATAAAAATACTACCGGTTCGGGCGAACCGATAATTTAAAGAATGCTAACATGAACCGGTATTTCTGACGATCAGCTGTTCTCCCCACCCCCTTCGCTGTTCTATTTACCTTTGCAGACTCAGAAAAGGCTTCTTAATCCTCATTTTTCAGTGCTGCACAGTAGCGCCTGCGGTGCACCTGCGCGCAAAGTGCACATTTGGCACACACGCACGCGCGAAGCAAACCGGTAGCGAAGCGAACCGATAGCAGATTTCAGAGCATTTCACCTCTGCACTGACTGTCCAAGGCTCTGTATCAGAACTGCCATCCTAACCTTCGGCCTTGCTTTGCTAGATGCCAGCCTGCCATAGACTATTGCAAGGGTCTGAAACCTTAAACACTCAAAGAGACCCGTTCCCCACAGAAAAGAAAACACCGGGAGCCACAAAATCCTTCCCGTGCCTGACTATTTCTTGAGTGGCCACAAAACTAGCATATGTAGTTTGAATTAAACGTTCTGTTTTCTTCTGAAATGTTTCTTTTCTTGGATTTATCCATGGTTGGCCTACCGGGGGTTGAAAATCTCAATAAATCGCGTGCCAGCAGGTGTCGCACATTGGCGGTTGTGATGCATATTTTGAGTGACAGGGAACCACAGCAGAGTGGTGAAAGGGCCACATGCGGCTCCAGAGCCGCAGGTTGCTGACCCTTGGACTATTGGAAGGAGGGGGTGGGAGCTACTAAGAATAGAGAAACTGAAAATACTCACCAAGCCGGAATAATTGTCCCACGGACAATTTTAACAATTCCATTTAATTATTTTCATCTTTGCCATTCACATTCTGTCCCTCCTATGGCATCCTTTCTTTAATGATTCCACTCCGCTACTTCTTCGATATTTGTGTAAGTCTTTTTGTCCTACGGCAAGTTTTCCCACGGCGAGGTGGCTGTGGCGAATTGTTCTGTGGTGAATTGTTGTAGACCCTTCCCAGAAGACATCAGCATGCAGGGAACGTTACCAAAACAATTCTTTTGAATGAGACAAGACAGTAGGGAGATAACGGGAGGTGCGGTGGCCTAGAGGTGGAGCTCTCGGCACACGATCAGGAGGCTGTGAGTTCGATCCTAGGTAGAGGCTGATATTTCTCTCTCTGGGCACACTGAGAATATATCTGCTGAACAAAACTCCGCATTGGCGACAGGGAAGGGCATCCGGCCATTAAAATACTCTGCTAGCTCTATTCAGTACACCCTGCAAGGGGTCGTTAAATGGCAAACAACATAGGGAGATAACAGGAGAGGAACAGGAAAGGGAAAGTTAACTGGGGAAACTTCAGGCACAAACCTTTAGTTCTGGCTTTAATTCCCTGCAATTCACTTCTAACAAAACTATTCCTTTTGCAACAAATGGAGCCCAGGATTGTTTCTACTTGGGGGTCCAAGGTGAGGTGGATCTGACATTCCAATTCTTTCTCTAACAAGACCCTCTCCTTTTTCTCCCTGACATAGGTGTGTGGGTCGGACGGGGTAGTCTACACAAATGAATGTGAACTTAAAAAATCCCGCTGCGAGAAACGCCAGGACATTTACGTGGCAAGCCACGGACCCTGCCAAGGTAATTTCAGGCTGGTGGGAAATAAAAGACTTTGGGGAGGTCTTCCGGACATCCTTACAACCAGAAGCTGCCAGCCCCGTGGAGGTCTTCTTCTTGGCTCAAAGGAAGAAAATCAAGCTTGACCGTTCTCTGGAAGGTGAAGCTCAAAACACTTGGGCCACCTAACGAGAAGAGAAAACACCTTGGAGATGTTGGGAAAGATGGAAGGTGAAAGGAGAAGGGGACAGCAGAAGATGGGATACCATGTTCCCCCGAAAATAAGACCTCCCCAAAAATATTTAAACGCAGGTGCAGCCAGTCGCCACCATTTCCTCTGATTAAGGTTAGGGAGACAGAGCTGGAAATCAGGTAAGACGGCAAGAGGATCCCCGTCTTGCTCCATGGGCCCCAAAATAATAAGACCTCCCCGAAAATAAGGCCAAGCGCTTATTTCAGGGCTCAAAAAAAATATAAGACAGGATCTTATTTTTGGGGAAACATGGTAGTTCAGTGGTGTCGTTGACGCAGTGGATATGAGATTGGGCAGTCTCCGGGAGGTGGTAGAAGACCAGGGGAGGGGGCTGGCATAATCCACGGGGTCGCGAAACGATTTTAACAACTGAACCAACAGCACCTCGAAGGGCTGAAGCTACCGTGTTTCCCCGAAAATAAAGACTCTGTCTTATTTTATTTATTTTTTTTGAACCCTGAAATAAGCGCTTGGGCCTTATTTTTGGGGAGGTCTTATTATTTTGGGGCGTGTGGAGCAAGACGGGGCTCCTTTTGCCGTCTTACTTGATTTCCCGCTCCATCACGTTTCTTGCCGTTGTATGCAGGGAAACAAGTTGTATCGTTAAAAAAAAAAAAAAAACTTCTCCCGAGTTCAATCAATTAATTCCAACTTCTCAAACGCCCACCCCTTCACTAGGTCTTATTTTCGGGGGAGGGCTTATTTTAGCAGATTGCGCTCAAAAGCCCCGATTGGGCTTATTATCCAGGGAGGTCTTATTTTGGGGGGAGGGCTTATTTATCCAGTGAAGTCTTATTTTTGGGAAAAACACAGTACTTGCTGGTGGCCTTGTCATTAAAAAAAAGAGATTTTTTAAAAAAAATTTCCTTTTCCAGGGGTCCCAACGCTTCCGTCTTCTTCGCCAGAACTCCTTCACTGTAGTAAAACCGTTTACGGCTGCTGCCCAGACAATGTGACGTTGGCGCTCGGAGTTGGGTCGGCTGGATGCCCCAGTAAGTCGATGCCACTCTTTGGGCACTCTGCAATGAGGCTTTTAAAAGGGGGGCTCAGGGTGGAGGGAAGCCCTTCCCCCGGCGCTCTTCGGGGTGACCTGGGAGAAAGCACACACCCCCTACCTCCAATCTCTTCTGCCTTTTCCCTTGCCGCCCCCACGCCGCCCACCCATGCAGACTTTATTAAATTTTTATGGAATAATTAGCCAAAGCCATCTTGTTCACCTAACGAGATGGGGGGAAAGAGTCGGTGGCATTTTAAGCAGCTGAGGCCGAGGGCCAGCTGGTTAGCGGGCATCCATTAGAGGAGCCGGCGGGAATGCGACAGCCTTGTTTGCGGTTCGGTAGAAGCGTTTCTTGCACCGGGTCATTTATTCCGCGGTGGCCGTGATCCAAAAGCGATTTTAATGGCTCCAGAGCTCTTGACCCAAAGAGCTGTAGAATCCGCAGAAATGGCAGATTCTCCCTCCCGGGGTCGCATTGATAATTGATGCCATGAAGTCACTCAGATGCTCAGCTGGAAATTAAAATCTCACGTCTGCCTAGGAGCGCTCGTGGGGGCAGGGGAAGGGCTTGGGGGGGCATCTCACTCAGCCTGAAGACCCCCCACCTTCCTTCCCAATCAGGCCTGGGGCAATTCTTTTATTTTTTCACTGCCGTGGCAGTTTGTTTATTCAGTTCATTTTGGAGGAGGGTGCCTCACCCACATCTGTGGAAATCCCTTTAAAGCTAAATGTTGGCTGTGTGTACTTGAGAAGGGTCACCCTAGACAACCCCCCCTCTCCTCCCAGAGATTATTCTTTTGGAAGTTTCCAAAAGGTCCCACTTAGGCTGTTGTGTTGGAACCGATCGCATCACCCAACGGAAACTTAAGCATCTTCTTCTACCACGTAATTACTGAGGACTAGAAACCTGAGCTATGCTGTTTTGCAGGCAGAGTTCATAATCACTGGCGCTAGATGGGCAATTAATCAATGGAAGAGCTTGTAGGTTCTCCCATCATTGGAAGTTTTCAATAACAACAAAAATAGACGGGATGGCTTATGATCTGCCTTGAGCAGGATGTTAGATTCTCAGTTATTCAGATCATGGTCAAAGAGGCCATCTACATTTAAACTGAACAGCCCTTTCTCTACAGAGGGGGAGGAATACCATGCCACCTGTTCCCTGTTTATACCACAATACTTTCAGCAGTTCCAAGAAGGTTCCACACCCATTTGCACTCTTCAAATGACCCTGAGGGCACAGATAAACCTCCCAAAGTGGCCTCGATGACTCACAGAGGGAGTGCTAACGATCAGAGGATTGCAAGGAATATAAAGCCTTCCATTTAGCCAGAATCGAAGAAGTTCTTGGACGAGAAGCGAAACATCTTCAAGGAAAAATAAAGGAAGTCCAGTTTCCTCTTAGAAAAGCACCTTTGGGTTAGACTAGAAGACCTTCAGCCCTAGGATTCTCTGTTCTGCCCTGTTTCCCTGAAAATAAGCCCCAACTGGAAAATAAGCCCTAGCATGATTTTTCCAGGATGCTCGTAATATAAGCCCTATCCCCAAAATAAGCCCCAGTTAAGATTGTCAGCCAGATGGATGTATTTAGTACCGTATTTCCCCCCAAAATAAGACCCAACCAGAAAATAAGCCCTAGCATGATTTTTCAGGATGCTTATAAGATAAGCCCTACCCCACAAAATAAGCCCCAGTTAAGATTGTCAGCCAGATGGATGCATTTAGTGCCGTATTTCCCCCAAAATAAGACCCAACCAGAAAATAAGCCCTAGCATGATTTTTGTAATATAAGCTCTACCTCCCAAAATAAACCCCAGTTAAGATTGTCAGCCAGATGGATGCATTTAGTACCGTATTTAATAGTACCGTATTTCCCCAAAAGTAAGATCTAACCAGAAAATAAGCCCAAATGTATCTTTTGGAGCAAAAATTAATATAAGACCCGGTCTTATTTTCAGGGAAACACGGTATGTAGCTCTCCTTTGAAGAAGCTTCTCTGCCTCCATCAGGAAACCTGTCGGAGGGGCTGCGGGCTCTTCTACCAAACCAATTTGAGAGCTAACCCTTCCCTGCCTCCTGTCTCGTAGGCACTTGCCACTGTAACCCCTACGGCTCCTACGGAGGGAGCTGTGATCCCAGCACGGGCCAGTGCTCCTGCAAACCCGGCGTCGGGGGGCTGAAGTGCGACCGCTGCGAACCCGGTTTCTGGAACTTCCGCGGCATCGTGACGGACAGGAAGAGCGGCTGTACCCGTGAGTACCCCTGGTGGCCATTTGGGTGGAAAAATATTGGCGTTGAGCCTGTTTCATCTCTCCCATTCAGTGTAGAAGGGCAAGCAGAGTGAGAGGTGGTGGAGTCAAGCGAGTATCCAGCCTAGAATCTTTAAATTCTCACAAACGTTCTGAGTCCAGCTTCTCTTGAGCTCCATTGATTCTTATCTAGGGCCAAGTATGGCCTAACTCCCTCTTTTAAATTCTTAAATTTTAAATTTTTTAATTCGTGATTTTATAAATTGGGTGTTTTAATCTGTGTTTCGGCCGAAATATTTAATAATTTTAAGGGATTTTTAATATTTGTATTGTCTGTATTTTATCTTGGCTGTTCACCGCCCTGAGTCCTTCGGGAGTAGGGCGGTATAGAAATTTGATTAATAAATAAATAAATAAATAAATAAGTATGGGCTTGAGCAACGATTCTTCACGCCTGACATTTCAGTCCCTAATTCTCCTGAGAGGCTGCAAACGTGGAAGGGGTGCCTTCAAAGACAGCCCCCACCCCCCAAAAAAGCAGATCTGTTTTTGAAACCATCCACAAAGTGACTCTAACCATCATGAAAGCTACATAGATTGTCATTCTGGACTTTAGAGCTAAGTGGGCCAGTTGTCAGAACGTCTTAGCAGGGTTACTGCCATGTTCCTAGCCAGGATACACAAGCCAGGAAATCTAGCTAGTTCAATGGAGTTCAATGGAGGTTTTGTTGCCCCCAGTCGTATTATGTACAGGTCCCCTCCCCCCCTACCGGGCTCCGTTTTCACTGGCAAAGGACTGCAGGAGGTTGTCCTGGCCGAAAATGGGGCCTGGCGGGGGGGGGTGCACCCACCCCCAGCCGAAACCCCCAGCCGTCCCGAGGTCAAACACAACCCTCAATGAAATCGAGTTTGACACCTCTGTTCTAAACAAAGTTTTTTTGGGGGGAGGGTGGAGGGAGGGAGTCCAGACCCCAGTTTAAGGAAAGCCATTCAGAGTCTCAGCTGAGGTGAGCTTTGATTTTTATTTTATTTTTTTTTATTATTTCTTCCTTGGGCTGATAGCAGACCAAATAAGGCTCCCATTTTCTCATTGTCTCAGCCTTGCCTGTGGGGCAGAGAGCACGGATGGAGGCGTGCGATGTGGAAATGAGTTCTCACCCTCCATCCTCCAGTCGCTTCGATCTCCAGAGCGGGAGGTCAGCTCACACCCAGCACCTGCCAGAGAAGTCATTATCAAACAGATGATAACCAGGAGCCCATTTTCAAAAAGATCAGACTCGGGGGGGGAGGGCGGGGGCCTTGAATATCGGTGTGCACGTTTTTAATTGAAAGCCGCAGCAAAGTAAAGTTTATAAAAAAAACGGAGAGCTGGCCCGCGACCAGAGAAATCTCAAAACTCTGGTATAAAATCGGCAGAGAAATCCAATCAGATTCCACCCCGGTTTAGTTTGTGAGAGATTTTTTTACTCCGGATCATCATCATCTACTTTTAGTAAAGGTAAAGGTTCCCCTCGCACACTAACTTCACCTGACTCGTATTTTTGATGCGTTAAAAAAGATATACAGGAATTCTTCAGATCGAGAGCTAGTCCAATCGTCCCTCAACTGACATTTTTCTTCCTTTCTCTTATCTTCTTATTTCACTCCTTTTCTTTTTCTGCATCTGGTGCCTCACATCGTAGCTTCTCTATCTCGATCATTGGAACAGCTTGCGTCCGAGAATGGAGGACCCAGATTGTTGGGGTCATAAAAGTGACTCTGTAAACCACTTAGAGAGGGCTGTAAAACATGTGAAAGCGGTATATAAGTCTAAGTGCCATTGCGATAGATAGATAGATAGATAGATAGATAGATAGATAGATAGATAGATGGATGGATGGATGGATGGATGGATGGATGGATGGATGGATGGAGGATAGATAGGATGGATGGATCCATGGATGGATGGATGGATGGATGGATGGATGGATGGATGGATGGAAGATCAATAGATGATAATGATAGAAAGAGATGATGGATGGATGAAAGGGTGAGAGGGAAGGAGGACGGATTGATGGATGGATATAGATAGGTAGATATTATGGAGGGAGGGAGAAATGAAGGAATGGATGAAGGATCACTGGTATGATGGATGGATGGATAGTAGAGGATGGATGGATGGATGGATGCAAGAATGGGTGGGTGGGTGGGTGGAGGATAGATAGGATGGATGGATGCATGTATGGATGGGTGGATGGATGGATGGAGGATCGATAGATAATAGATAATAGAGAGAAAGAGATGATAGATGGATGAAAGGGTGAGAGGGAAGGAGGATGGATGTGATGGATGGATATAGATAGGTAGATATTATGGAGGGGAGGATGAAGGAATGGATGAAGGATTGCTGGGTATGATGGATGGATGGATAATAGATGATGGATGGATGGATGGATGGATGGATAGATAGATAGATAGATAGATAGATAGATAGATAGATAGATTAGATAGCAGTGGTTAGAATGCGGTATTGCAGGTGAACTCTGCCGACTGCCAGGAGTTCGATCCTGACAGGCTCAAGGTTGACTCAGCCTTCCATCCTTCCGAAGTGGGTAAAATGGAGACCCAGATTGTTGGGGGCAAGAGGCTGACTCTGTAAACCGCTGAAGAGAGGGCTCTAAAGCACCGTGAAGCAGTATAAAAGTCTTTTAAGTGTTGCCCCATCGTTGGAAGCTTTCAAGAAAAGATTGGACAACCGTTTGTCTGGGCTGGAATAAGGACTCCTCCCTTAGGCAAGGGGTTGGACTAGAAGACCTCCAGGGTCCCTTCCTGCCTTTCTGTGATTCTTGGGGGGGACGGGGCGGGAAACAGGAACCAAATTACAGTTCAGCGAGCAGGGGAATTGATCAGATTTATGTCAGTTGCTCCCGATTTGTATTGACAAGCTATTCGTTGAGCAAACAAGAAAATGAAAGGAGGGAAGGAAGGAGGGGAGGGGGACAGAGGGAGGAAGGATAGGGAGGGGGGGGAGCCTGTCTTAATTTCAAGGTCCATTGGCGATCAAAGCAGAGAAATCAATAAAGTGGCAAATGGGGGGGAAAAAAGGGAGGGGAGGAGGGAGAAGAAAAAAAAGAGAATTATTTGGAAGCGACAACAAACTGCCGAGTGTACGAGAATACGTGCTCGCCTATGTGGGTATGAGCATCCGCACGAACACACGGCGAGTGTGAAATTATCGCAGGCGCATCTTTTTCTCTCTCTGGAGGGTCGGGGTTGTTCTGCAGTAGACAATCCTGAAACGGAGACCCTCTGGAGCAGAGGTGTCAAACTCAAAGTATGGAAAGAAGCAAACAACCAGCCTGCGGTGTCTCTCCCAGCGAAAACGGAGCTCGGTTTTTGCTGGCAGAGAGCTGCAGGAGGGCGTCACGGTCCAAAAACGGGGCACCCAGGGAGGGCCCTACACAGGCCCCACCCCGGGCTCCATTTTCTCCGGCAGCGGGCTATCGAAACCAACTTAAAAAACAAAACAAAAGGAGAAATGTTTCTTCCCCTTTTGCTTTGGAGCGTGCAAGAAGGGAGAGGAAAGGAGAAAGGGAAAGAGGAAAGACAAAGAAGGGAAGATGGGAAGAGAGCCAGGAAGGAAAAGATCAGGAAAGAGGGGCAGGAGGAAGAAAGGAGAATGAAGAGGGAAGGAAAAAGAAGAAAAGGGAGGGAGGGAGGGAGGAAGAAGAGACAAGGTAGGTAGATAGGAAGGAAAGGAAGGAAGGAGAGAGAGAGAGGGAGGGAGGGAGGAAGGAAAGGAAGGAAGAGACAAGGTAGGTAGGAAGAAAGGAAGGAAGATAGGAAGGAGGGAAGGAGGGAGATTGGATTGAAATGAAAAGGAAGGAAGAAGGAAGGGAGGAAGGAAGGAAAAGGAAGGAGATGGAAATAGGAAGGAAGAAAGGAGGAAATAGAAAGGAAGGAGATTGAAATGAAAAGGAAGGAAGGAAGGAAGAAGATGGAAATAGGAAGGAGGAAATAGGAAGGAAGGAAGGAAGGAGAGTGAAATGAGAAGGAAGGAAGAAGATGGAAATAGGAAGGAAGGAGATGGAAATAGGAAGGAGAAAATAGGAAGGAAGGAAGGAGATTGAAATGAAAAGGAAGGAAGGAAGAAGATGGAAATAGGTAGGAAGGAGATGGAAATGAAAAGGAATGATGGAAGAAGATGGAAATAGGAAGGAAGGAGATGGAAATAGGAAGGAAGGGGATGGAAATGAAAAGGAAGGAAGGAAGAAGATAGAAATAGGAAGGAAGGAAGGAGATGGAAATGAAAAGAAGGAAAGAAAGAAGGAGATGGAAATAGGAAGGAAGGAAGGAAGATTATAATGAGAGTGAGGCGAGGGTGTGTGGGAAGTCCTGCCTTAGCACTTGGCCACCATAAGTGCCTCCGACATGAGTGACATCAAGCTGGCCACACACCCCCAGCCCCACCCCACCCCCTCCACGTCAAACACAACCCTGATGCGGCCCTCAATGAAATCGAGTTTGACACCCATACTCTGGAGGTAGCCAGAGGGAGGAAGGGGGGAGAGAGAGGGGGGGAATTCTGAGTGAAGCACCTGGTGGAAAATTAAACCACACGCTCCCGGTTTGAGTTGCCTGGGAGCCAGCGCTGCCCCTCGATGCTTATCAAATGTGTCTTCAGGGTGCGCGATGCGACACACGCCGGCGTGTGTGCACACACAAGACAAGGGAGGTAATTAGATGCCAGAGAAGCTACTGGGGAGGGGGAGAATTTTGCATGCGAGCTGTCTAATCGCATCCCCATTAACCGTTGGAACCGCTGGCTGAAACCGGAGCGAGGCCAGTTGGAAAGATACTCGCTGTCATCAAGCATCCTTGGCGAGGATTAGAAGAGCCTTGGTGGCGCAGCTGACTAAAGTGCTGTTAAAGTAGCACCAGCTGCCTGCAATTACTGCGAGTTCGAATCTCACCAGGCTCAAGGTTGACTCAGCCTTCCATCCTTTCGAGGTAGGTAAAATGAGGACCCGGATTGTGGGGGCAATAAGCTGACTTTGTATAAATATACAAAAAGTATGAAGGCTATTGCTTAACGCATTGTAAGCTGCCCTGAGTCTCCGGAGAAGGGCGGCATATAAATCAAATTTAAAAAAAAAAAGAAAAGAAAGAGAAAGAAGGAAGGAAGGAAGGAAAGAAAGAAAGAAAGAAAGAAAGAAAGAAAGAAAGAAAGAAAGAAAGAAAGAAAGAAAAGCTGACTTTGTATAAAATATACAAAAGTATGAAGGCTATTGCTTAACACATTGTAAGCCGCCCTGAGTCTCCGGAGAAGGGCAAAGAAAGAGAAAGAAAGAGAAAGAAGGAAGGAAGGAAGGAAGGAAGGAAAGGAAGGAAGGAAGGAAGGAAGGAAGGAAGGAGAGAGAGAGAGAGAGAGAGAGAGAGAGAGAAGCTGACTTTGTATAAATATACAAAAGTAGGAAGGCTATTGCTTAACGCATTGTAAGCCGCTCTGAGTCTCCGGAGAAGGGCGGCATATAAATCGAACCAATAAATAAATAAATCCGAATCAGAAGAGAGCTGGAAGGGACCTCGGGAGGTCTTCTAGTCCAGCCCCCTGTTCAAGCACCATTTCAGACAGGTGGCTGTCCACTCTTTTCTTTAAAAAAACAAACAAACCCTTTTTCTTTTCCCTTTTCCTCCATATCATCAAAGTTCATTTGCTTCTCCCTGGAATCACGATTTAAATCAGGACTTAAATCACGAGTTAAATCACGATTTAAACCACTAGTAAAAAGGCTTGATTTAAATCACCTCGACTGAAATCATAATTTTTAAAGAGCAGCCTTCATCTCTGTCCCGCAGCAGCTCCTCCTCAGACCCGCTATTGACTTGCCGACGGTCCCAATATTGCAGAATACACATCCAGCCTCATGCTACCTAACTAAGCTCCGTTTCATGCTGAATAAACTAAATGATTAATGTGTCTTAAATAGAAAACTATACTTAGATAGATTTTTTTACTCCAAAAGCGTTTTATTAAAATAAATTTGATTAAAAAAAAAACAACCCAAAAAAATCCGATTTAAATTTTAAAAAATCCGATTTAAATTATTAAAAATCAGATTTAAATTTTTTAAAAATCCATTTAAAAAAAAAAAAGCAACGATTTTTATCCACACTGGTCTCCAAAGATGTGTCTGGGTAGTTTTCAAAATGATGTCCCCTCTTCTATGCACCAAGGTTGTTTTATTGCACTATTTGGGGGCAAAGTGGGGGGGGTCCCAAATCCCTAACTCTGGCTCACCGTATCAGAGCCGCGAAGTTATCCGGGCCCCGGTTCTGCTTGAGCTCCGGCGGGCTTTAGCAGCTTAGCCCAAGCAGCCTGCTTTAAATGCAGGAAGGTATTATGTTCAGCCTCCAGTTAGCGAAGGAACAGACAGACAGTAATAGAAAAGTCGGCTTTAATTTCATAGATTTATGGTCTGCTTTTCAGAAGGAAAAAAAACACACACCTAGTAATCAAAATACGGGCGTTTAAAACACAAATGATGAAACCGGTAAGGTAACCAGAGATAAGCTAGTGGTAGGATAAGAAACAAAAAAAAAAACTGAACTCAATGTGGGACAGAGTTTATTCTACGTTCTCCCCAGTGAACGTCCAGGGAAAAGGGGTCCATATAGACTTCTGGGGAAGGGGGTCTTTTTTCCAGGGATGTGGGGCAGAGGTGGCTTGGTGGGCACGGCAGGGGAAGGTTACTGCAAAATCCCCATTTCCTCCCGATCAGCTGGGAATTGGGAGGCAGAGAATAGATGGGGGTGAGGTCAGTCAGAATTTTTACTACCGGTTCTCCGAACTACTCAAAATTTCCGCTACCGGTTCTCCAGAACTGGTCAGAACCTGCTACAACCCCACCTCTGGGCCACACCTAGATTATTGCTTCCAGTTTTGGCCGCCATGTTATAAAACAAGATGTGGAGACTCTAGAAAAAGTGCAGAGAAGAGCAACCAGGATGATTAGGGGACTGGAGACTAAAACATACGACGAACGGTTGCAGGAACTGGGTATGTCTCGTTTAATGAAGAGAAGGACCAAGGGAGACAGGATAGCAGTCTTCCAATATTGGAGGGGCTGCCCCAGAGAGGAGGGGGATCCAGCTATTTTCCAAAGCACCCGAAAGCCAGACAAGGAATAATGGATGGAAACTGACCAAGGAGAGATTCAACCTGCAAATAAGGAGACATTTCCGACTCTGTTAATCTGTTAAACCTGCTTGTTTCTTCCCGAACCCTCCTTGGCAATTCTGAGCAGCCTGCCACTGCGATCCTGTGGGATCCGTCCGGGATGACTGCGAACAGATGACCGGCTTGTGTTCGTGTAAAACCGGGATTACGGGCACCAAATGCAAACAGTGTCCCAGCGGAAGCAAGCTGGGAATGTCCGGTTGTGAGAAAGGTAAAGGGACTTTCGTACGCAACAGCTTTAAGGGGTTTTTTTTTTTGTGAAGTTTTGAGACGCTTTCTCTGCTGGAGAGCCGAATAAATCATTTATTCCTGGGAAGGAATAAAAATTGGAAGCTGGGATCTGCTTACGTTTGCATTGAATGTCGTGCGTGATCCCCCAGATCTCTCGGCCCCCTCATCCTGCGCCGAAATGACCTGTGAATTCGGGGCGTCGTGTGTGGAAGTTAACGGCCTTCCCCAGTGTGAGTGTCCGTCATTGCTTTGCACGGAAGCTGACACCTCCAAGGTGAGCAGAGCGTTCTGAGCTAGGCTTCCCAAGAGCACGAAACGGACTCCTTGTCCCGACCAAAAAAAACACTCCTTTTTATTAAGTGACTGTGAATTCCTCTCGTTCACATCCAGCAAAGTCTTTCAAGGGAGAATTGACAGTCGCAGACCTCATCTGGCTTGGAGAGCTGCCAGGCCGATATCTTTAAAACTTGGCAAGGAGTCTCAAGAGTCACGAACCAATTAAGCAAATTAATTGTCTCCTGCAAACTCCACTCCCCTTTTGCTCCTCTTTTATTTCCCTCTGGGAGGGGGTCCTTCATCATCCACCTGTGGCTTTACTCCTGAGTCGACCCTTGTTCTTTAGCTGTTCCCTTCTCCTGGCAGCTCACATTGGGAACAGGCTCCAGTTGTTCATCTGCCCCACTGATGTCTGACTCCGAAGGCAGCTGTCAGACGGCCCTGTCCCCATCTCTGCCTCTGACGCAGAGCCCTCATCAGAGCTTTCCCCAGACTCCAGGACTGGCCCATGTTCCTCCCCAACCTCCTCACTGTCCGAATCTGCTACCAGCTCCGCTGGCCACTGGCGGGCTACAACACTACCTCCCCTACCCCCCAAGACTCTGCAGCCCGTCAGAAGCTTCACCTTCTCCCTGCCTGACTAACCACTTTTTCTTCTTCTCTTCCCGCCTCTCCCAATATCTCGCCTTTTAGGTCTGTGGCTCTGACGGAGTGACCTATGGCGACCAGTGCCAGTTAAGGACCATTGCTTGCCGGCAGGGAAAGATCATAGAGGTGAAGCATTTGGGCCAGTGCACAGGTGAGTCCCCATTTGCACACCTGAGTGCTTAGACCCGTGATGGCGAACCTATGGCACGCGTGCCCGAAGTGGCACACACGGAGCCAGGTCGCCTGGGAGGCGCGGCGTCGCCCATTCCTCGTCCGGGTTTCTGGCGCGCAGGTGCATGCGATGATCAGTGGGCCTTTATGCACGTGGCAGAGCTGGTCTTCCGTTTTCCGGAATGAGCATCCGGCCAGCTGCGTGCCCATGCACAGCAGTAACCAGAAGACTTGCTTGCTGGCACGCGTGCGTGCGCCGGAAACCGGAAGTGCCTTATCCCGTCCCTTCTAGCACTGATGATGTTACCGAGTTGGGCAATGAAACGTCTACCAGGAAACCACCAAGCTCAGAGAGCATCAGGGACCCCACAATCTACTTCCACTTCTTCCTCTCTTCTTCCTCCTCCTCCTCTCCTCTCCTCCTCCTCGTAGCGCTGATGAAGTTACCTAGTTGGGCAGTAAAACATCTGCCAGGAAACCAACAAGCTCAGAGAATACCAGGGACCCCACAATCCACTTCCACTTCTTCCTCTTCCTCTCTTCTTCCTCCTCCTCCTCCTCTCTTCCTCCTCCTCCTCGTAGCACTGATGAAGTTACCTAGTTGGGCAATGAAACGTCTACAAGGAAACCACCAAGCTCAGAGAGCATCAGGGACCCCACAATCTACTTCCACTTCTTCCTCCTCCTCCTCCTCCTCCTCTCCTCCTCCTCGTAGCACTGATGAAGTTACCTAGTTGGGCAATAAAACGTCTGCCAGGAAACCAACAAGCTCAGAGAGCATCAGGGACCCCACAATCTACTTCCACTTCTTCCTCCTCCTCCTCCTCCTCCTCCTCCTCGCTTCCTCCTCCTCCTCGTAGCACTGATGAAGTTACCTAGTTGGGCAATGAAACATCTGCCAGGAAACCAACAAGCTCAGAGAGCATCAGGGATCCTCCACCGTTTAACCCTGAGCTCCAAATATTCTCTTCTATCCTTTTAACAACGGGTTGAAACCCCCCCCCCAAGTTAATAATTCCAGGAATCCAGCTGGTTGATTTTGGAAAGCGGCTCAATTTAACGAACTCACCTGGGGCAAAAGTTTTCACTGTGTGGAGGAAAAAAACAACAACAACCCACATCGCCTGAGCTTTCAAACTCTTCTGGAGTTTGTGAAGAGTGAGCTAAATCCACAGTCGGACGAGAAGAGGGCAAATGTTTGTGTGTGTTTGTGTGTGTGTGTGTTTGCCGAGCTTCGGAGACCGAGCTTCACGTTGTGATCTCGTAATTGCGGAAAATCAGGTATCAGATGCGTTTTGAACCTGGCTTGCTCTTCGGAGCCTTGTTCTTTGATGAGGACTTATTGATTTTGGCGTGTGATATGCAAGGCAATCTGAAGTATTTGCCGGAGCTAAAATTAAAAGCGGTGGAAGGGGAAAAACCCAGGAGAAAAGGGGAGCCCGCTTTCAAAGAAGCTTTCGAAACGGTAGGTTGCATCTCCTCTAATTGGTTGGATGAAACCTTCCTCTAAATCGCCAGGCGCCAAGCAACAGTTCATTTTTCCAAGCCCCTTTCTTCTTCTTTCCCGCCCCTCCCCAAAGACAACTATACAAGAGTTGCATTTTCATATACCCGTTCACCAACCCATCTCTTTGGTGGACGGGGGAATAACGAGATAAAATTGATTTGGAGAACTTTTAGCATTCTCCACTTTTTTAAGGCGCTGACAGAGCCGTGGCCCAGATCAAGCCAAAAAAAAAAACCAAACAAACAAAAAAACGATTGGAAGTTCGCAGCAAAGCAACAGAGAAACTCACCGGAAGGCGAGGCAGATTTCGCTTTATTGCAGAGTTATAGTTATAGTTATAGTTTATTATATTTATATACCGCCCTTCTCCCGAGGGACTCGGGGTGGTGAACAGCCAGCAAATAAAATACACAGATACAAAATTTAAAACAATATTTGTTTTAAATTGAATTGAGCTTTCAGTTGGAAGGAAGTTAACAGAATCACAGAGCTGATTCTGGAAGGGACCTCGGAGGTCTTCTAGTCCAACCCCCTGCTTAGGCAGGAAACCCTACACCACTTCAGACAAAGGGTTATCCAACCTCTTCTTAAAAACTTCCAATGTTGGAGCATTCGCAACTTCTGGAGGCAAGTTGTTTCACTGGTTAATTGTTCTCACTGTCAGGAAATTTCTCCTTAGTTCTAGGTTGCTTCTCTCCTTGATTGGTTTCCATCCATTGCTAGTCCTCGATTTATGACCACAATTGAGCCCAAAATATCTGTTGCTAAGTAAGACGTTTGTTAAGTGAGCCACTGCAGCCTTCAGAGAATGGCTTTAATCCCCAAGGTGGCTGTAAGACTGTGGAAGAGCGTTTAGGTCTCAAAGTTTCAATCAGGGTAGAATGGATGGATGAATGGATGGATGGATGGAATGGGATGGATGGATGGATGGATGGATGGAATGGATGGATGGATGGATGGATGGAATGGGAGGGATGGATGGATGGATGGATGGATGGATGGATGGATGGAATGGGAGGGATGGATGAATGGATGGATGGAATGGGAGGGAGGGATGGATGGATGGATGGATGGATGGATGGATGGAATGGGAGGGAGGGAGGGAGGGATGGATGGAATGGGAGGGAGGGATGGGATGGGATGGGATGGATGGATGGGGTGCATGCATGCATGGATGAATGGGATGGATAGATGGAATGGGGAGGGAGGGATGGGATGGATGGATAGATGGATGGGATGTATGCATGCATGCATGCATGGGATGGAATAGGATAGATGGATGGGATGGAATGGAATGGAATAGATGGATGGGATGGATGCATGCATGCATGGATGAAATGGGATGGATGGATGGATGGATGGATGGAATGAGATGGATGGAATAGGGTCTGATGGATGGGTGGATAGAATGGATGCATGGATGCATGGATTGACTGGCTGATTATGGGCCATCAACTCAGTGTCAACTCTAGGAAACACCTGCTAGACCTCCTACAAAGAGGATCCCTCCCCAACGTGGTCCTTCAAGCCCTCCCATGGTGCATTGGAACGGAGTCCACCCCGCTGACTGCTGGTCATCCCTATCCTCTCTTTTCCTTCTGTATTTCTCAGCACAGGAATCTTCTCAAAGGAGCCCGTACTATGCATCATAGGCAGTATTTGGGCCTCGCGTGTGAACATTCGATTGATTTATTCTGAGGTCCATTCAGTCGTTTTCTTGGCTACCCCTTCAAGGCAAGATGTGCCTTGAGAAGTTTCTCTCTTCCCGGCACCTGATGCTGCATTGTCTCGTTTTGGTTCTCTTTCAGAATCTCATGCCGGCCACCCCACCCCGCCTGCAACCCAACGGCCTTTGGACTCTGTTCCCCCTCTGGCACCCCAAATCACGACTCTGGCTCCCGAGCTGACCAGGACATCCTCCTCTCCTTGGCATTCAGAAGACTACGTTTCCCGCCAGAGCCAGCCGGTCACCCGAAGGATAACCAAGCCTGCTATCCTCTCCACTCTTCCCTGGACGACTCAGGGCATCCGCCAGACCACTGCCAGACCCCTCCTGACAGCCCCCGTGGTCCCTGCTGCCACTCAGACGGCTTACATTGAATCGGGCAGCGCGGAAGGCAGCGGAGATCCAGAACTGGGCACCAGTGGTGATCAGGAAGGCAGCGGGACCAGCTCGGCAGGTATGTTGCACACCCTAGCTCTGTGTGTCAGTGCCTGGCCTTTTTAAGGGACACCGGGGTCGCTCCATTAGTTCTGACGAACGACTCAAAATTCAGCTGTTGGTCTGAGCTCCGAGCTTGGCAGTTTGGTTGGCAAATGTTTCATCACCATTCAAGGAGACATCATCGATGTGCTTTGAAGTGGGCTCGTTTGCATGCACAGAAGCGTTTTGATGATGTCGGGGTCGGTGGGCGGAGCCTCCCGCCAGTTTTACTATTGGTTCTATAGAACCGGTGCGAACCGGGAGCAACCCACCACTGTTTCAGAGGCTGAAAAAAGCATCAGAAACGAAGCTTCAGAAAAAAAAAGCCTCCAAACAGAGCTTCAGAAAAAAAGCCTCCAAACAGAGCTTCAGAAAAAAAGCCTCCAAACAGAGCTTCAGAAAAAAAAAGCCTCCAAACAGAGCTTCAGAAAAAAAGCCTCCAAACAGAGCTTCAGAAAAAAAGCCTCCAAACAGAGCTTCAGAGGCTTTTTTTCTGAAGCTCTGTTTCGGAGGCTTTCAGAGGCAGGAAAAAAGGTTTTTTCTGAAACAGAGTTTCAGAAGTTTCAGTGGCAGAAAAAAAAGCAAAAAAAAAAGCAAGGCACAGAGCTCACAACCAAGGAACCTGTTGCTAAAATTTACCTCTGGGAACAGCTGATTGGGGGTATTCCGGGAGGCCGATCCACCTGCCAATCAGCTTTTTTTCTTATTTTCCTGCCCAAAAACTAAGGTGCATCTTACACTCTGAAAAATATGGTACATATGCTAGTTTGCGGTGTACTTTGCACCCGTCATTTTGTCCTCTTTTACGATAGTAACTGGAAAACGGCATGGAGATCGAGCCGTGATTTTTTAAAAGCGGAGATTTTAAAAAGACCCAAGTGATGGTAACCTTCTGTTCTGTCCCCGTCTCACACACGCCCACAAACAGACAGCTGGGGGTTAAATAAACTGGCAGACAACCAATTCTTCCGATAAGAAGCTTGGCAGCAACCCAGTAGCTGCTTGCCAAGAACTTTACTCAATAAACAAAATACACACAGTCAAGAATTGTCCAGTTCGTAAAATAAATCCAAGGCCGATAATGTTGTTTCCAAAGATGCAATGTGACTCGATAGTAGTTAGTTTTGTCCGTCACAGAGTCTGAATGGCCACCTCACCCCCTTTTATACCCTGTGGGGTGTGGTCCGCCTTTTCTTCTGTTGTGCGCGTTTATCTCTGCGACGCTGCCGAGGATCCAGCCAAGACTCATTTCCCTCATCGCTGTCCACCTGTGGCTGCGTGGACGTGCTTGGCCCCGGCTCTATCTCTTGCCCTTCGGCGGACACCGAAGGCATTGCCAGAGAGGAGGGTCCTGGAGAGGGAGGCCTTGCCAACTCCTCTCCTTCACTCTCGGAGTCCTCTCCTGCCGATGACACAGGCTCAGGTAACGGAGCCACAACACCTTCTTCCTGTGGCCGAACAGGTGAGGAAGAAATTGAAGACCCAAAGGAGCCAAGTACCCACCTGATCGAGAGAGCCACCTGTTACAACACCCCTCTGGGATGCTGCTCGGACGGCAAGACTCCGGCCGCTGACGCCGAAGGAAGTAATTGCCCAGGTAAACCACTTCCTTTCTTTCGCGGATGCTCGGCTTCACCTGGGAACAAAACTCTAGGAAAAGCATCCTCAAGAAATAAGCCAAACCGTGTCCCCCTGTGGGTTTAGGGGAAGGTGATGATTAAATTTTGGGGTCCATCCCTCAGTTTCTTTGCCCAGCTGCAATTCTTGGGGTGTCTTTGATAAAACTCAAATGGCCCCCAGTGCATTTCAAATGAGTTTATAGGGGGCAGCCGAGCTGATTGGACCGTGATTTTCAGATCGTTCTGTTGCTGATTTCTTTGTTAATTCTTTATTCGTTTATTCTTGATTGGCCAAGTGTGATTGGACACACAAGGAATTTGTGTGCCTTCAGTGCATACGCTCTCAGTGTACATTAAAAAAAACTACATTCATCAAGAATCGTAAGAGCGGCTTTTGCTTCCCAAACTCTGTGAATTTTCTAACCCAGATCAGCCTCAACCCTGTAGGGAAATGATAGCGGGAGGGTCCTTTCTCCTTCCCTTTCTCTTTTCCTTCCTTCCCTTTCTCTTTTCCTCCTTACTTCTTTCTTTCCCCCTTCCCTTTCTCTTTCCTCCTTCCCTTCCCTTCCCTTTCTCTTTTCTCTTCCCTTTCCTTTCTCTTTTTCCTTCCCTTTCTCTTTCCTTTCCTTCCTCTTTCCTCCTTCCCTTTCTCTTTTCTTCTTCTCTTTCTTTTTTCCCTTTCTCTTTCCCCCTTCCCTTTCTCTTTCCTCCTTCCCTTTCTCTCTCCTTCCCTTTCTCTTTTCCTCCTTCCCTTTCTCTCTCCTTCCCTTTCTCTTTTTCCTTCCCTTTCTCTTTCCTTTCCTTCCTCTTTCCTCCTTCCCTTTCTCTTTTCTTCTTCTCTTTCTTTCTTCCCTTTCTCTTTCCCCCTTCCCTTTCTCTTTCCCCCTTCCCTTTCTCTTTTCCTCCTTCCCTTTCTCTCTCCTTCCCTTTCTCTTTTCCTCCTTCCCTTTCTCTCTCCTTCTCTTTCTCTTTCCTCCTTCCTTTCTTTTCTTTTCTTCCCTTTCTCTTTTCTCTTCCCTTTCCTTTCTCTTTTTCCTTCCCTTTCTCTTTCCTCCTTCCCTTTCTCTCTCCTTCCCTTTCTCTCTCCTCCTCTTTCTCTTTCCTCCTTCCCTTTCTCTTTTTCCTTCCCTTCCTCTTTCCTCCTTCCCTTTTCTTTCTTTCTTATCTTCCTTCCTTCCTTCCCTTTCTCTGATTCCTCCTCCCCTTCTTTCTCCCTCATTTGTTCCGGTGTTTGCATGCTAGTAATCCCTCCCCTCTTCCTCTTTTTTTTTTTTCAGTAGTCAATGTGTGTTTTCTCTCTCTCTGTCTCTCTCTCTCTCTCTCTGTCTCTCTCGGCCCCAGCTAACCCTCTTTCTCTCGTTACCCAGCCGGTCCAGGAGGGTCCCCACCCAGGCTGCAACTTGGAGGAACTTGTTATGGTAAACTCTTTGCCAGTTCTCACAACCCGGGCTTTCGGCTACCCGGGTCTGTCCCCCTTCAAAGTACTAACCCTCCCCCATAAACCTCCTTCTGATCCATTCCGACTAACCCTGAGCCCGCAGCTCTGTTCATCAGCCGCCATCTTGTCGCTTCTCCCTTGCTGACGAGGGACTGAACACTCTTTTTTAACGGGTTTCGAACACTCGATATATCAACCGTGATTCCTGGGTTGGTTTTCACAGTCAACGTTAACCCAACTGTTTCTTCCTGGCTTTGTCCACCCCACCCCCCCCCACGGCCCCCTCCCCATGCCCTTTTTCTTCTCCCCTGCAGCCACCAAAGTCTTCCAAGGGGTCCTGATTTTGGAAGAGGTGGAAGGCCAGGAGCTCTTTTACACCCCGGAAATGGCCGATCCCAAATCGGAGCTTTTTGGGGAGACGGCCCGAAGCATCGAAAGTGTGGTAAGCAAGGACAGGAAGGGGAAAAAGAAAAAAAACCAAGGCCACAGCGGCTTTTCCCCCACTTGTGGTGGGGGGGGAGTCGTGGCTCTCTTTTGCCACGGGGATCGGCATCCCTGTCGGTCCACCTGACTAAAATCCAGCTCTTGCACGAGAAGAGAATTATTTATTTATTTATTTATTTATTTATTTATTTATTTATTTATTTATTATTTATTTATTTATTTATTTATTTATTTATTTATTTATTTATTTATTTCATGTATTTATATGCCGCCCTTCTCCAGAAGAACTCAGGGCGGCGAACACAAGTTAAAAACATGTACAACAAAATCCCATTTTTTAAACCAAATTAACTAATAAATAATAAAACCCAGAATCAGAGTCAGCCTATTTGCTTCAACAGCCAAGTCTTCAGGTTAATTAGGATTAGATTAGATTAGATTAGATTAGATTAGATTAGAATAGAATAGAATAGAATAGAATAGAATAGAATAGAATAGAATAGAATAGAATAGAATAGAATAAGAAAAATAGAATGGAATGGAATGAATTAGAATTAGAAGAATGGAATGGAATAGAATAGAATAGAATAGAATAGAATAGAATAGAATAGAATAGAATAGAATAGAATGAATTAGAATTAGAAAAATGAAATAGAATAGAATAGAATAGAATAGAATAGAATAGAATAGAATAGAATAGAATAGAATGAATTAGAATTAGAATTAGAAAAATGAAATAGAATAGAATAGTATAGAATAGAATAGAATACAATAGATTAAGAAAAATAGAATGGAACGGAATGAATTAGAATTAGAATTAGAAAAATGGAATAGAATAGAATAGAATAGAATAGAATAGAATAGAATAGAATAGAATAGAATAGAATAGAAATAGAATGACAGAGTTGGAAGGGACCTTGGAGGTCTTCTAGTCCAACCCCCTGCTTAGGCAGGAAACCCTACACCACTTCAGACAAATGGTTATCCAACATCCTCTTAAAAACTTCCAGTGTTGGAGCATTCACAACTTCTGGAGGCAAGTTGTTCCACGGATTAATTGTTCTCCCTGTCAGGAAATTTCTTCTTAGTTCTCAGTTGCTTCTCTCCTTGATTAGTTTCCACCCATTGCTTCTTTTCCTATCCTCAGGTGCTTTGGAGAATAGCTTGACTCCTTCTTCTTTGGGGCAGCCCCTGAGATATATCAGAAGACTGCTGGTCCCTAAACTTTTTGTTGTTGTTTCGTTTCATTTTCTTGACAGCTGGATGAGCTTTTCCGCAACTCGGAGGTGAAGAGGGATTTCAGGAGTGTCCAGGTGCGACATCTGGGCCAAAGCAGCGCCGTCAGGGTCATTGTGGAGTCTCATTTTGACCCAGGTGAGTCCACATCTGGTTCCCACAAGCGTTTTGAGATGCAGGCGCATCTCTTGGTTATTAGAAGAGGACAGATGTGTTGGTCGGTTTGAATTCGATCAATGAACAGGCCCCTTTACGGTCTGTGGACTTCAACTCCCAGAATTCCTGAGCCAGCTCCGTCTAAACCCTCCTCTGCCACAACAACCCTGCAAGGTAGTCCAGGTTGAAAGGGAGAAGGAAGCTTTTTCCTAGTCTTTGTCCCATTCTTTCGCTTCAATTTCACTGGGTCTGCTGGGAACCTTAAAACTCCCATCCTCTCTCGGCCAGGTTGGACAATTGGGGGGGTCAAGGATGATGGAAATTGAAAGCCTAAGCAGTGGTGGATTTCTAATATTTTTACTACCGGTTCTGTGGGCGTGGCTTGGTGGGTGTGGCAAGGGAAGGATACTGTAAAATCTCCATTCCCTCCCCAATCCAGGGGAAGGTTACTGCAAAATCCCCGTTTCCTCCCGATTAGCTGGGACTCAGGAGGCAGAGAATAGATGGGGGCGGAGGCCAGTCAGAATTTTTACTACCGGTTCTCCGAACTAACTCAAAATTTCCGCTACCAGTTCGCCAGAACTTGCTGAAACCCACCTCTGAGCCTAAGTATTTGTATTGTCCTATTGCGATTATTCTCTCCATTTTTAAAGCTGAAGGATTCGGGGCAGGGGGAGATTAGAATAAACTCTGCTTTTCCTCCCCTCCCCCCGATGAATGTTGGTTTGTTTGATGTTTGTTTGCTGGGAATTTCTGGGCAGGCAAAACGATGCCAACAGAATCCGGTCCCCGATTTTCTGCTTTTTTTTTTTTTTTAATAATGCGGGATCAACGTTCAAAATCCCTCTCCCTCTTTTTTCCCCCCCTTCTTCTTCTTCTTCTTCTTTCTTTTGAGCCAAAAGACCTGTTCTTAGTTCAAAGCCTTTTTACCAGCCGGTGGGCACACATACAAAAAATATAGCGGTCTTTTGCTTTTTCATTTTGAAACCCCTTTTAAGGCGTGTCTTTTGGCTTAGCGAAACGAAAAGGATGGGAAGCTGAGCCCGGTTGGGGGGGGGACTCTGTCTGTGTGTGTGGGGGGGGTTGGCTTCAAGGTAAAGGATGCCCCGTCAAGGCTCCTGTTTCTTCTTTTTCCTTGATGTTTGCAGCGACTTCTTACACGGCTGCTGACATCCAGAGGGCACTTTTGAAGCAGATCAAAGCCTCTAAGAAGAAAACAATCTTGGTGAAGAGACCCCAGCAAGAGAACATCAAGTTCATGGACTTTGGTATCTTTTTTTCTTTCCTCTTTTCCCTTTTTTCCCCTTTACTTTCTCCTTCTTTCCTTCCTTCCTTCCTTCCTTCCTTCCTTCCTTCCTTCCTTCCTTCCTTCCTTCCTCCCTCCTCCCTCCCTCCCTCCTTTCTTTCCTTCCTTCCTTCCTTCCTTTCTCCCTCTCTCCCATCCCCTCCCTCCCTTCCTCCACATTCCCATCTCACCATCCACTTGTGACTTTACTCCTGAGTCGACCCTTGTTCTTTAGCTGTTCCCTTCTCCTGGCAGCTCTGTGCATGCGCACATTGGAAACAGGCTCCAGCTGTTCCTCTGCCTCACTGATGTCCGACTCCAAAGGCAGCTGACAACTGTCAGACAGCCCTGGCCCCATCTCTGCCTCCGGTGCAGAGCCCTCACCAGAGCCTTCCCCAGACTCCAGGACTGGCCCATGTTCCTCCCCAACCTCCTCACTGTCTGAGTCTGCCACCATCTTGTGTCTTGTGGCAGCTTTCCAACCCTCTCCGCTTCCTCTTCCTCTCGTTCTAGACTGGATCCCCCAGCTCTTCACCACGACCACCACGACCACGATCGCCACCACGATGGCTCCTACGGCCGCCAGCTCCCAGAGGTTCCCCAACATCACGACACCCCGGAACTTCAATCCAGGACGGATGAATGGGAAATCCTCTGGAGGAGCCACCACCAAAAAGCCCAGCACCACCCTTCCAACCTCTACAGACCGGAAGAAACCCATGCGCCCTATACCCACCACCAAGAAGCCCCTGCGGCCCTGTGACTCTCACCCATGCTTGCATGGTGGCACCTGCGAGGACGACGGCCGAGACTTCACTTGCAGCTGCCCTGCAGGAAAAGGAGGAGCGGTTTGTGAGAAATGTAAGTTCGAAGATGAAATTTCCTGAGGGTGAGAACAATTCATGAATGGAATAATTGGCGCTGTGGCCTGACGGCCGCCGGCCCCTCCAGCAGTCGAATCCGAGGAGGAGGAGGAGGAGGAGGCGTGGGAGTCAGGGTCAGCCTCAAGGCAACCTGAGATCTCCGAGGGGGAAGAGGGAATGGATCTGGCAGAGAAAGAGAGACAGAGATGGAGCCTGAGCTGTCCGCCAGCCCTCAGATGGAGAGTCAACAACCCCCAGGTCTGGAGGTGGCTGATGAGGAAGAGGAGGAACAGCTGGGTCCAGTGCCTGACGTGCAGTTGCGCAGAAGGCAGAGGAGAGGAGAGCAGTGGAAATCAATGGGCCGGTCCTTGGGACAGAAGAGTCACCACTGCTAGCGAAGCCCCACCCTAGATCTGGGGATAAAAGGCAGGGGGCGGAGATGAACAGATGTGGCAGACAACAATTCATCTTCCGGCTGGATGGACTTGTTAGTCCTGAGAGAGAAACTTCTTTACGGGGGCTGCCGGCATTTTCCTAATAAAGGAATCTTTTGAGTTCACTTCAGAGGGTTTGTCGTGTTTGGGGTGCTGAGTCAGGACACCATCAGGGGAGGTTTTTAAGACGAGAATAGACATGGCCATTTGTCCGGAATGGTACAGGGACTCCTGCCTGAGCAGGAATAAGCCTCCAGCACTGTTATTCTATGTTCTAAAACTGGGGTGAAGCACCCCATTTCTGCTTCTCAGCTCAGGCATCACAAACTTGCATGTTTCTTTTGATTTATTTACAGCTGATGTTTCGGCCTCCCACCCCACCCCCCACTCCCCAAATGGCTCTAAGCGCCAGGCAGCCCCAGAACAAAGAGACAGCATTATACGGCCAAGTGATCTCGCAGGAGGGGGCCCCCGCTATTGAGAAGGCTCTGAGTGCATTCCTGCTTTTCGGATGAATGGGGCATTCGAAGCTGAAAGAGGGGGAGTGGGTGGGTAAATGCAGCACACCTACGTTTTTGTAAAGAAAGGGTCTCTTTTTTTAAAATCCCGCAACACGCTCATGGGAAAAAGATTTGCAGATGTAAAGCACATGGTGAGAGTTCATTAAAAAAACAAGAAAGGTGCTTTTAGCCCCATGGATATAAAAGCTCTTGCTTGAATAATGGAATAATGCAGGATCCCTGGGGAAATCCCCCCTCCCTCCCCACAACCCAGGGGTGGGGCTGTTGGGGGTTTGCAGGGGTTCGGAAGAACCTCTAGCTAAGATTCTGTGCAGTTTGGAGAACCCCCAAATCCCACTCCTGGCTGGCCCCATCCACCCCGCCCCTCCCCTCCCAGGAGTCCCCATGTGTCCCATTTTGGGTGCAGGGTACACGCGGAGGCTCAAGAAGGGCAAAAAACAGACCTATTGGAAGTTAGGACCAGAGGGCCTCCGGAGCCTGGGGAGGCCTTTTTCGCCCTCCCGTATGCTTGAGGAAAGCCTCCGGAGCCCGGGGAGGGCAAAATTACCCCCCACACACACACCACATAATGCAGGAGGCCAGCTAGGCCATCCTCACCATGGCCACGCCTACCCAGCAACCAGGCAGAGAACCCCTTGCTAAAATTTTTGAAGCCCACCCCCTGTTTTCTTCCTCCTGATCCTAACACGACCTTTCCATGTGAATTCTCTGCCCGTCGCAGCCGTCCGATACTTCATCCCCAGCTTTGGTGGGAAGTCCTACCTGGCGTTCAAAATGATGAAGGCCTATCACACCGTACGTATCGCCATGGAATTCCGGGCCTCCGAGCTGAGCGGGCTGCTCCTGTACAACGGGCAGAACCGTGGGAAGGACTTCCTCTCCCTGGCGCTGGTGAACGGATTCGTGGAGCTCAGGTGAGGGATGGCCTGACGGGCTGCAGAGTCTTGGGGGGTAGGGGAGGTAGTGTAGTAGCCCGCCAGTGGCCAGCAGAGCTGGTAGCAGATTCGGACAGTGAGGAGGTTGGGGAGGAACATGGGCCAGTCCTGGAGTCTGGGGAAGGCTCCGATGAGGGCTCTGCGTCAAAGGCAGAGAGGGTGCCAGGGCCGTCTGACAGTTGTCAGCTGCCTTCGGAGTCAGACATCAGTGAGGCAGATGAACAACTGGAGCCTGTTCCCAGTGTGAGCTGCCAGGAGAAGGGAACAGCTAAGGAACAAGGGGCGACTCAGGAGTAAAGCCACAGGTGGATGATGAAGGACCCCTCCCAGAGGGAATAAAAGAGGAGCAAAAGGGGAGTTTGCAGGAGACAATTAGTTCGCCTAATTGGTTCTTGACTCTCCTGAGACTCCCTGCCAAGTTTTGAAGATATCGGCCTGGCAGCTCTCCAAGCCAGATAAGGTCTGGGACTGTCAATTCTCCCTTGAAAGACTTGATGTCCAAAAACTTGGGTGCCACTGAACTAGACAGCAGGGTGTGGGTGACTGTTCAGTAACTATCATGTCAAAACTTGTGACAATCTCTCCCAGGTTCAACACCGGCTCGGGGACAGGCGTGATCACCAGCAAGGTGCCCGTTGAGCCTGGCCAGTGGCATGCGCTTGTGGTCAATCGGAACCGGAGGAACGGCGTGCTGTCCGTGGACGGGGAGCCCCACGTGCATGGCGAGAGCCCAAGTGGAACCGACGGGCTGAATCTCGACACTGATCTCTTTGTCGGAGGGGCTCCGGAGGACCAAATTGCTGTGTGAGTCATTTTAGAATTAGAATAACAGAGTTGGAAGGGAGCTTGGGAGGTCTTCTAGTCCAACCCCCTGCTCAGGCAGGAAACCCTACACCACTTCAGACAAAATGCATCTAAATGCACCCATCTGGCTGACAATCTTAACTGGGGCTTATTTTTGGGGTATGGCTTATATTATGAGCATCCTGAAAAATCATGGTAGGGCTTATTTTCCGGTTGGGACTTATTTTCGCGAAAACAGGGTATGCAGTCAGAAAGGAAATGAATATGCATCACAGTAATTAAAGCAATTTAAAAAAAAAAAAAAACAGGCGTCCACATCATATGAATACAGAACTAGGACAAATCTGTTAGCATCTCATCAAATCAAGAAATTACCAACCCAAAACAAAAATTGCTGCATTTGCTCATTTTTGCAATCTTAACGAGCTTTTGAAAATCAACAGGGAGATTGCAAGGGGTTTTTTTCCCAGCCGTTCTCCCATTCAGACGCCCCTGATTTACTTTGCTTCCCCAAAGGGGCTGGATGTTGTGTCTTCACACCCCTTAGGGCAGTTGAGAATGACACAGGCAGAAGTCCAACTAGTGTTTTGCCCCTGTCCCATATAGATGTCAGCACTTCAACCTGCATTTACTCTAGTGCTGACATAAGAAGGAGAAGAGGGGGGCAGCTGGCAAGAGGACGCTTGACATTTCACCTACTTATTTTCCTTGAAGATAATATCCCCTAGGAGATGAGAGGGAGGGGGGACATTCCTGGGAGCTTAAGTAGTAGACATGGGGAGAGTGATTTGGAAGAAGGCCAATGAGACGCAGAGATTTGGGGAACGGAAAGGGAGGGTTTGGGTCAGGAAGTCAGAGTTGGCTACGCCACGATCGGGGGCAGATTGTCGTGCTTAATAAAATGAAAGATTTCTTCAAAGACTATCTGTTTGGAAATGCAATTTATTTTATTTGAGACGATATCGAACCCTGACAATAGGTGGCCCTCCACTTACGGCCATAAATTACTGTTATTTTTCGGAGTATAAGACATACTTTCCCCCCCCTAAAAGAGGGTGAAAATTTGGGTGCGTCTTATACACCGAATGTAGCCCCGCCCACCGGCCAGCCCCCACCGTTTGGCCTCTGCCTCCCAGCAATTTACCTCCGTGCAGCAAACAGCTCATTTTAGTGTCAGCTTCAGCAGAGCCTAATTAGCACAAGCAGCTGATTGTCGGTTGGATCGGCCTCCCGACCATCAGCTGTTTCAGGCTGCAGGGATTGCCATGGCCTATAGCCGCCTCCACGCCCCATTTGCTTCAAGGAGGCAAATTGCTGGAAGGCAGAGGCAGATTTTTTTTTTCTTGTTTTCCTCCCCAAAAAAGGTAGGTGCGTCTTATACTCCGAAAAATACGGTAAGCCCAAAATTTCAGCTGGGACTCGGGAGGCAGAGAATAGATGGGGGCGGTGCCAGTCAGAATTTTTACGACTGGTTCTCTGAACTACTCAAAATTTCCGCTACCGGCTCTCCAGAACTGGTCAGAACCTGCTGAAACCCACTTCTGGTCCCATTCCTTGGCTGAGATTCCATACCCAGCTGGAGAGTTTTAAGTCTAGAAGCGGGATTTTAGACAATCCTGAGCCAATAGTGAGACTCGGGTTTAAGGCTCCTTTGGGAAACCCAACTTCTGAAAGTCGAAATCTTGGGATAATTTCCTTGTCTGTCCTCCTTCCTAGGATGGCCGAGCGCACGTCGGTCACTGCTGGTCTGAAGGGCTGCATCCGTCTGTTGGATGTCAACAACCAGATGTACGACCTGCGAGAGAAAGGCGACGATGTGCTGTACGGCAGCGGAGTGGGGGAGTGTGGCAACAACCCTTGCCAGCCCAATCCGTGCCACCACGGCGGGCTCTGCCATACCATGGAAGCCGAGATGTTTCACTGCGAGTGTCTGAATGGTTATACAGGTAGGCAGAACCTCTCTCTCTCCCTCTCTCTCTCTCTCTCTCTCTCTCTCTCTCTCTCTCTCTCCCTCTCCCTCTCCCTCTCCCTCCCCCTCTCTCTTCCTCTCACTTTCTCTTCCTCTCTCCCTCTCTCTCCCTCCCTCCCTCTCTCTCTCTCTCTCTCTCCCTCTCTCTTTTGGGAAAAGTGTATTTTCTAAAATGAGCTAATAACACCATTTTTGGGGGGTGGGGAATAGTACCATAAGATTATATATCAATAGAATAGAATTGACAAAAACAGAGACGAGTGAATAGAATAGAGAAGAGAAGAGAAGAGTGAATAGAATAGAATAAAATAGAATAGAATAGAATAGAGTAGAATAGAATAGAACAGAGAAGAGAAGAGTGAATAGAATAAAGAAGAATGAATAGAATAGAATAGAAAAGAACAGAGAAGAGTGAATAGAATAGAGAAGAAAGAATAGAATAGAATAGAATAGAATAGAATAGAATAGAATAGAATAGAATAGAATAGAATGCAGATGTTTTATTACCCAACTAGATAACATCATCAGTGCTATTGGTATTGATGGTATTCAGCCGGTTCGGATCGGTTCGCCCGAACTGGTAGCGGAAATCGCGGGTGGGCCTGCCCACTCGCCCTGGCTCTATGCCATCCTATTTAGGCTTGTGCGGAAGATATGTGTGCAAGCAAAGTGCCTGCGCGGAAGGCCGGGCACATACACGGAAGGCAGGCGCGCACGTGAACCAGCCATGTGCGTTACAAAGAGAGCGTGCATGCGTGTGGTGAACAGGTAGTAACCTAACCTGAAACCCATCGCTGCCTAGGACCCACCTGTGCCGATGAGAGGAACCCCTGCGACCCCAACCCCTGCCACCTCTCCGCCACCTGCTTGGTGTTGCCGGAAGGCGGATCGAAATGCGAATGCCCCATGGGACGAGGAGGCGAATTCTGCGAATCAGGTAAGCGGGACCCAGGAAAGACGAGATGAGGACGCGGCTGCGATAAATCATCCAAGTTGCTGAAATCAGAATTGCAAGCAAGGAAGGATCCTTGGCAACCTTGGCATGGTTGCCGAGGTGCTAAGACGCTGAGCTTGTCGTTCGAAAGGTCGGCAGTTCAGCGGTTCGAATCCCGGGTGCCGTGGAACGGGGTGAGCTCCCGTGACTTGTCCCAGCTTCTGCCAACCTAGCAGTTTGAAAGCACGTAAAAAAAAAAAATGCGAGTAGAAAAATAGGGACCACCTTTGGTGGGAAGGGAACAGCATTCTGTGCGCCTTTGGCATTGAGTCATGCCGGCCACATGACCAAAAACACGTCTTCGGACAGTGCTGGCTCTTTGGCTTTGAAACGGAAATGAGCACCGCCCCCTAGAGTCAGGAACAACTAGCACATGCATGTGATGGGAACCTTTACCTTTGCTTTACCTTAAAGACACAAACCCAATTTATTCAATCAAACAGCACTTAGCACACATCCAGTAAGTGACTTTTGTTATTTTATCCGCATCACTTCTTCTCCTTCCCTCTCTTAGTTGCAGAAATGGATCAGACCGTGCCTTTCCTGCCGGAATTCAACGGATTCTCATACCTGGAGCTGAACGGTCTCCAAACATTTGTGCCAGATCTACAGTACGTTTTTTTTTTCTTCTTCTTCTCCTTTTCCTTGTCTCTTCCTTTCCCTTCCTCGCTGCTTCAAGAAAATTAGACCCTTGAGGGCTCCTTGGTGCTCTCTGAGCTGGCTTGTTTTCTTACAGACAGTTTCATTACCCAACTAGGTAACATTATCAGGGCTAGTACGGACGGAAGGAAGGAAGGAAGGAAGGAAGGAAGGAAGGAAGGAAGAAAGAAAGAAAGAAAGAAAGAAAGAAACGGATGGAATGGAGGGAGAGAGAGAAAGAAAGAGAGAGAGAAAAAGAAAGAAAGAAAGGGATGGGAGGGAGGGAGGGAGAGAGAGAGAAAGAAGGAAGGAAGAAAGGAAGAAAGAAAGAAAGAAAGAAAGAAAGAAAGAAAGAAAGAAAGAAAGGAAGGAAGGAAGGAAGGAAGGGATGGAATGGAGAGAGGGAGGGAGGGAGAAAGAAATAGAGGGAGAAAGAAAAAGAAAGAAAAGAAAGAAAGAAGAAAGAAAGAAGAAAGAAAGAGAGAGAGAGAGAGAAAGAAAGAAAAAGAAAGAAAGAAAGAAAGAAAGAAAGAAAGAAAGAAAGAAAGAAAGAAAGAAAGGAAGGAGAATATTTGTACCTCAGGGTTGACATGAGGGATCCTTGGTGATCTCTGAGCTGGCTTGTTTTCTTACAGACAGTTTCATTACCCAACTAGGTAACATAATCAGTGCTAGAAAGAGTGGGGTTTGCTCTCAGTTTATATTCTAGTGGGTTGCCCTGTCAATGTTGATGGAGATGGTCTTAACCCTAAGTGAAGTCATGCCCGATTTTATAACCTGTTTTGCCATGGTCATTGAGCGAACGACTGCAGTTGTTAAGTGAATCATGTGGCCATTAAACGAATCCAGATTTCCCCCCAGAAGCCAGCTGGGAAAATTACGATCACAAGACCTTTATAACGCTGCCACATAAAGTACATTCCCATTGCCAATTTGGATCACGTGATCGTGAGGAATGCAGCCACAGTCGTAAGTGCGAGGACTGGCCTTTCTTCAGCGCCCTTGTAAACTTTGAACAGTTGGTAAACAAATGGTCGTAAGCCGAGGACTCCCTGTAGAGCCTTTATTTTCCTTCTTATGTGGTGGCTCAGTGGCTAAGATGCTGAGCTTGTCGATCGAAAGATCAGCAGTTCAGCGGTTCGAATCCCTAGTGCTGCGTAACGTGGTGAGCTCCCGTGACTTGTCCCATCTTCTGCCAACCTAGCAGTTCGAAAGCATGTAAAAAATGCAAAGTAGAAAAATAGGGACCACCTTTGGTGGGAAGGGAACAGTGTTCCGTGTGCCCTTGGCGTTGAGTCATGCCGGCCACATGACCACGGAGACGTCTTCGGACAGCGCTGGCTCTTTGGCTTTGAAACGGAGATGAACACCGCCCCCTAGAGTCGGGAACGACTAGCACAAATGTGCCAGGGGAACCTTTACCTTTATCCACTCTTTTTTCCCCCCTCTTTCATTCCTTTTTTTTTCTCTCTCTCTCTCTCTCCAGGGATGTGTGAATTGGGTCAAAATGGGATTTTAGATCATCGGTTTGTTTTGAACTCTCGCCCTGGTATTTTCAGAGAGGATGGCCTCGCTTTGATTCAGCAGCTGAATCGATTCATTCCACCGAATTTCTTTCTTTCTTTTTTTTTTTAAACGCGGTTCACGGGAAAAGACCATTATCTTCTCTTATCGAACCGATTTGAGGGGGCTTTGACAAGCAGAGAAGTTGCCGAAATCTGTTTGGAGGCCTCTTTAATTCATTTCGAGAACTCAAAATCCTCTCGGGCTTGATTCCCTATCGGATACAGACAGGAATCAGGTCAAATTTCCAGATGAAATATTCATACGCCCTATTTCTTTTTTTTCTTTCATTTTTTTAAACCTTTTCTTCTTCTTCTTTTGCAACGTGGGAAAATTATTTTTCCCAGTTAAAACGATGGTTAAATCTTCTCTATACATGTTGTGAAATCCAACGCTCTCTGGAATGCCATTTTTTCTCCCCGTGTGGCTGATGCACCTCTGTTCAATCCCGCAGGGATAAGATGACCATGGAAGTTGCGTTCCTGAGCAGAAACCCCAACGGTTTAATTTTCTACAATGGACAGAAGACGGATGGCAAAGGCGATTTTATCTCCTTGGCCCTTCACAATGGATACCTGGAGTACAGATACGATCTGGGCAAAGGAGCTGCCGTCATCAAGTAAGGAAAAATAGCAATAGCCCTTAAGACTTCTTCTTTTTTTTTTTTAAAAGAAACTTTATTGAGTTTAAAAGCATAAATATATTAACATTTCCATTAATATGAGATGTGCAGTGGTTATAACTATATACAAAATATATAGCCCTTAAGACTTCTATACCGCTTCACAGTGCTTTTAAAACGAACTAAAACCAAAAACGAAAGGAGAAATGTTTCTTCCCCTTTTGCATTTGAGCATGCAAGAAGGGAGAGGAAAGGAGAAAGGGAAAGAGGAAAGACAAAGAAAAAAGAAGGGAAGGTGGGAAGAGAGCCAGGAAGGAAAGCTAAGGAAAAAAGGGGAAGGAAGAAGAAAGGAGATGAAGAGGGAAGGAAGGAAAAAGGAAGGAAAGGAAGGAAGAAGAGACAAGGTAGGTAGACAGGAAGAAATGAAGGAAGATAGGAAGGAGGGAAGGAAGGAAATGAAAAGAAAGGAAAGGAAGGAGATGGAAATAGGAAGGAAGGAAGGAGATGGAAATGAAAAGGAAGGAAGGAAGGAGATGGAAATAAAAGGAAGGAAGGAGATGGAAATGAAAAGGAAGGAAGGAGATGGAAATGAAAAGGAAGGAAGGAAGGAGATGGAAATAGGAAGGAAGGAAGGAGATGGAAATAAGGAAGGAATAGAAATGAAAAGGAAGGAAGGAAGGAGATGGAAATGAGAAGGAAAGAAGGAAGGAAAGAGATAAAATAGGAAGGAAGGAGATGGAAATGAAAAGGAAGGAAGGAGATGGAAATGAGAAGGAAGGAAGGAAGGAGATGGACATGAAAAGGAAGGAAGGAGATGGAAATGAAAAGGAAGGAAGGAAGGAAGGAGGTGGAAATAGGAAGGAAGGAAGGAGATGGAAATGAAAAGGAAGGAAGGAGATGGAAATGAGAAGGAAGGAAGGAGATGGAAATGAAAAGGAAGGAAGGAAGGAAGGAAGGAGGTGGAAATAGGAAGGAAGGAAGGAGATGGAAATGAAAAGGAAGGAAGGAAGGAGATAAAATAGGAAGAAAGGAAGGAAGGTGATTATAATGAGAGTGAGGGAGGGTGTGTGTGGGAAATCCTGCCTTAGCACGTGGCCACCACAGGTGCCCCACCCACCCACCCTGGACACGAGTGACGTCGAGCTGGCCACCCCCCAGCCCTCCGAGGTCAAACACAGCCCTCAATGAAATCAAGTTTGACACCCCTGGAATAGAACGCGTCTTGTTCTGGTTTGTTTTGTTTTTTCTCTCTTGTGTGTTATATCTTGCCTTCTTTCTTCCCCACCCCTCCAGGAGCAGAGAGCCCATCCCTCTGAATAGCTGGGTCAGTGTTTCGCTGGAGAGGAACGCACGGAAGGGCATCATGAGAATCAACAACGGAGAACGGACCTTGGGTGAATCGCCGGTAAATTTAAGGCCGCTCTCAAAAACATTTGGAACAAGCTTGGGATCCCTTTGCGGGGGGCAGTTCCTTAAATTCAGACAAGGATTGCAATCCGACCCCTTTTTAGCCTCCCGTAGGCTTCCCCAGAGGTACCTTATCATGATCGGAATCAGTGGCGAAATCCAAATTTTTTTACTACCGGTTCTGTGGGCGTGGCTTGGTGGGCGTGGTGTGGCTTGGTGGGCGTGGCAGAGGAAGGATACTGCAAAATCCCCATTCCCACCCCACTCCTGGGGGAAAGATACTGCAAAATCCCCATTCCCACTCCTGGGGGAAGGATACTGCAAAATTTCCATTCACACCCCACTCCAGGGGAAAGATACTGCAAAATCCCCATTCCCACCCCACTCCTGGGGGAAGGATACTGCAAAATCCCCATTCCCTCCCCACTCCAGGGGAAGGACACTGCAAAATCCCCATTCCCTCTCCACTCCAGGGGAAAGACACTGCAAAATCCCCACTCCAGGGGGAAGGATACTGCAAAATCCCCATTCCCACCCCACTTCAGTGGAAGGACACTGCAAAATCCCCATTCCCTCCCCACTCCAGGGGAAGGACACTGCAAAATCCCCATTCCCTCCCCACTCCAGGGGAAGGATACTGCAAAATCCCCATTCCTTCCCCACTTCAGTGGAAGGACACTGCAAAATCCCCATTCCCACCCCACTCCAGGGAAAGGATACTCCAAAATCCCCATTCCCTCCCCACTCCAGGGGAAGGATACTGCAAAATCCCCATTCCTTCCCCACTCCTGGGGGAAGGATATTGCAAAAATCTCCATTCCCTCCCCACTCTGGGGCCAGACAGAGGGGGTATTTGCCGATTCTCCGAACTGCTCAAAATTTCTGCTATCGGTTGCCAAGCCTCTGAATTTGGATCACGTCCAAATTCAATGGAGATGCTCCGACGGTCGTAACTGTGAAAAATGGCCATAAGTCACATGAGTGCCATTGTAACTTTGAAGGGCCACTAAATGAAACATTGTAAGCCGAGAACCGCCTGTACAGTAGTGGCCAAAATTGTGGAAACCTTTTGGGAAAAGTGTATTTTTGAGGTTTGATGGCTAATAACACCACTTTTTTTTTGGAGTTTCAAGATAATCCTCTTCCACTGCTGGAATGACCTGGGAAGAGCCCAGACCTTCACCCCATTGAAAATCTAGGGAGCCGACTAAAGAAACTGGTTAGTCAGAAGCGACCCAGCAATAAAACCCAGTTAATAGAAGCCATCATTCAATCTTGGTTTCACATGATAACAACTACAGAACTAAAAAACTCGATTCACTCCATGGGAAGACATTGGCATCATTCATGCTAAAAGTTACCCAACTGAGTATTAACTGACCATTTTTGATCATTTTTGCATAGCTCGTTTTTTCTATGGGGATCATTTTGATATATCATTTTTTCTACCGTGATAATTTTTGTGTATATCTCGTTTTTTTCTACCTCTTTCACTTTTCTTCTTTAGACCGTCACTGCTATTCTAATAGCAAATCCTTCATCAAAGTTATGGCGTTACATTCTTGATTAAATGATCTTTCCATCGATGTATAATTTTATGGTACCACTCCCCCTCAAAAAATGTGGTGTTATTAGCTAAGTTTTAGAAAATACACTTTTTCCCCAAAAAAAGGTTTCCACAATTTTGGCCACTACTGTATGTTGTCCCCTCCTTACAAGGAGAGTCAGAATCGGCTCTGAAAAGGCAGAGTTTTTATTTATTTTTTTTAACCAATTCTGACCCGCTATCCATTTTGTTCAGCGAAGTCTTCAGGTTTTAAGAGAGCCAATGTTTTCCTTCTTCCCCTTCCCGAAAATACACAAAACCGTTTAATGCCAGGTCGAGCCTTTTCCCTAAAGCCAGATCCTTTTTTTTTTCAAGTTAATTCCACCCATCCCTCTTGGCCTTCCTTCCTTCCTTCTTTCCAAGACCTGGATCATTCCAACAGCCGTTTTCGTTCTCTCTTCCGCCTCTTAATTGGCCCCTTAGAAGCCACCGTGCTGTTTTTGCAACAGGCTTCTCCGAATCCAGGACCCGTTGCAGAAAATTCCCAGGGCTCCTGACACGAGAAATAGAGAGTTTTTCTGTCCTCTACGCAACAATACCCTTAGTAGCAAACGTGCAAACTTTTTTCAGTCTAACGCACAGGTGTCAAACTGGATTTCTTGGGAGGAGCTGGATCAGCATTGTAGTTGTCCTCCGCGAGCCGGCCAGGGATGGTGGTAGGGGAGGAGATGGGACGGACGGCCTCCTGCAGCACCCTGCTGGTCAAAACGGGGCACAGGGGGGCTGCCGCGTGGTCCATTTTCAGGCTGGATGGCCACCCTGCCAGCCAAAACAGCCCCCCCCCACATCCTGTTTTGGCCGGAAGGGTGCTGAAAACGGGTCACTTGGGGGCCGGCCATGCCCCCCCCCTCTCCCCATGGCCCGTTTTCACTAGCAGAGGCACTGCGGGCTGGTCCTTTACTATTTCCAAGCCGGCCCTATGGTAGCTCTGTATATCCTCCCTCTCTCCCTACCTCTGCTTAGGGCAGTTTGATATTGATATGAACCTGGTGTCAACTCGCAAAGCATCCCTGGCCTGGCTCTCGAGTTGCCATAGGCAAGGGGGATGGGAAACCGACGAAGCAGCACGGCAGCTAAAATACAAAAGCACATTCCAGACATATCTCTCTCAAGGCTGTCTCCCGGGGTTACCCACAGCAGCCGGAGGGGAGTGATCTCTACAACCCACGAAATTGCTCCCTTGGCGAATGTGATTGATGACACACCCTGGGGGGAGGGGGGAACCAGGGTCATGATTGGGTTCTAATAAGTAACTGGATTTCTGGATTTCTTTTGAAGCTTGGCTCGAGGCTCATGATTTAGTTAGCGAATCCGTCAGAACCCCTGACACCCGGTCTTCCCCAGTGATCTGTTTCTCCTTCCTGCCTTTTCTGTCTCAGAGGCTGCAAGTGGGGATTTAATGAATCTTGCAACTCTCTGTGTTTGTGGTGGTGTCCATATCGCTGATCTTTTCTCTCTGTTTTCTCTTTTGATTCCCATTTGCGTTTCTCCCTCCTCCTCCTCCTCTTCTCCTCCTCCTCCTCTTCCTTTTCCTTGCTGTCTGGATATCAGAAATCTCGTAAGGTAAAGAGATAAGTATAACCCACTCTCTCATCCTCATCTCATTTCCATTGGGTATTTTTTGGTTTTTTTGCTTTCCCTATCCCAACACCAATAATATTAATAGACTTATCATCTCCCTGTTTTTTTTTCCCCCATTGTATAATCACCTTTTTTTTTAGCATAGACGTTTCCTTTTTCTCGTTAAGAGAATCTCTCCATCCACAATAATTAGTTGTGTGTAAGCCCCTCGAGCCATTTTCCATCATTAATGCTTTTCACAACATTAGATAGTTCCCTTTTTAACACCGTGAATTTGAAGCCGCGACGGTGCCTTTTTGATAAAGGGGGGAAATCGGGGTTCGCTAAACCACGGCTTATGATTTGGGGAAGCTGAAACGGTCCTTTTCCTTCCCTTGCCACAATTCTAGATTTGATGTAGAATATCTCTGGCAGGACTGAACCCCGGTGGGGGAAATGGGGTGAATAGGACCAGATTAAATCTCTTAACAAGCTGTTAATCTTGCAGCCGTAATGAGCTAAACTCCCCCCCCCCTTTAAAACCAACTCTGATTGGCATACTTTTTTTTCCGTGGGTTAACAGAAGATGAAAGGCACCGAAGAAACCGACTAAAAATTGGTTGGGCTGGTTCCTTGCTAAATTGGTTTGCTGAGGACACACGTCCCTCTCTTCCCGCAACAAGGTCTAATCAACCATCAGTTAAATATACTGTATTTTTGGCTCCATAAGACGCACTCCTGTTTTTTGCCTCCGCGCGTCCCGTTTTTGGCCTCTGCGTGCCCTGTTTTCGGCCTCCGTGCGTCCCGTTTTCAGCCTCCGCGCGTCCCATTTTCACCCTGTTTTTGGCCTCCACACGTCCTGTTTTCGGCCTCTGCATGTCCTGTTTTCAGCCTCCGTGCATCCTGTTTTCAGCCTTTCGCCCCGTTTTCAGCCTCTGCACATACCGTTTTCAGCCTCTGTGCGTCCTGTTTTCAGCCTTTAGTCCCGTTTTCACCCTTTTGTCCCGCCCGTTTTTGGCCTCTGCGTGCCCCATTTTCAGCCTCCGTGCATCCTGTTTTCAGCCTTTAATCCTGTTTTCACCCTTTTGCCCTGTTTTGGCCTCCGCACTTCCCATTTTTGGCTTCTACATGTCCCGTTTTCAGCTTCCGCACGTCCTGTTTTCAGCCTTTAGTCCCATTTTCACCCTTTTGCCCCATTTTCGGCCTCTGTACGTCCCATTTTTGGCCTCCGCGTGTCCCGTTTTCGGCCTCCATGTGTCCCGTTTTCGGCGGAGGCCAAAAACAGCCGAAGGGTGAGAGCTGGCGGGTGGGCGGGGCTTTGGCAATATTCGTTCCATAAGACGGACAGTCATTTCCACCCACTTTTGGGAGACAAAAAAGTGCGTCTTACAGAGCAAAACATACAGTAATTATAAAGGTCCTGTCCTCTGCGAAAACAGTATTCCTCTGTAATATTGTACATACGTTCGCCTTCAAGGAGATCCTAAGAAGTTTGATTGTAGTGGCTGGATGCCATTGCTAGATCTTCCAGACTTCCATTCTCAATGAATTTTTTCCCCTCCCCTTTTTATCCAGTTGCCCCACACCTCACTTAATTTAAAGGAACCCCTCTACGTCGGGGGCGCACCGGACTTCAGCCAACTGGCTCGGGCTGCCGCGGTATCTGCTAGCTTTGACGGAGCCATTCAGAAGGTAAGGAACATCTTCCTCGTTATTCTCTAACTCTGTTATTCTAGTCTAGTCTAGTCTAGTCTAATCCTTCCTCTCTTCCTCCTCTTCCGTGGCTTGAAGATTTCCATCAAAGGGACCCCCGTCCTGAAGGAGGAGAACATCCGCAGCGCTGTTGAGATTTCGCCTTTCCGCTCCCATCCCTGCACTCAAAAGCCCAGCCCATGCCAAAACAGAGGGACCTGCAAACCCCGTCTGGAAACTTACGAATGCACCTGCCCCAGAGGCTTCTTCGGGACCCACTGCGAGAAAGGTGAGTCTGGGTGGGCAGAGAAAACCGCTGTGGACCTTGGAAGGAGATCTTGACTTTCTCTTGACCCATAACCAGACTGGTCCTTGATAGTGTAGAAGAGATAGAACCCCCCACCCCCGAGCAGAGCTCAAGGGGCTTCTTTCTATTGAATCAAAATTTGGGTCTAGGGCAAGGGTTCCCAACCTTGGCAACTTTAAGACTTGTGGACTTCAACTCCCAGCTTTGCTGGCTGAGGAATTCTGGGTGTTGAAGTCCACAAGTCTTAAAGTTGCCAGGGTTGGAGACCTCTGGTCTAGGGAACTCCCAAGAGCCGTGGTGGCAGAGTGGTTCGAATGCGGTGTTGCAGGCTGACTCAGCCCACAGCCAGGAGTTCGATCCTGACCGACTGGCTCAAGATTGACTCAGCCTTCCATCCTTCCGAGGTTGGTAAAATGAGGACCCAGATTGTTGTGGGGGCAATATGTTGACTCTGTAAACCGTTTAGAGAGGGGGCTGTAAAAGCACTGCGAAGCGGTATATAAGTCTTAAGTGCTATTTGGATGGATGGATGGATGGATGGATGGATGGATGGATGGATGGATGGATGGATGCGGTGGGGGGAGCGCATGGTTAGAATGTGGTATTGCACTGCAGGCTACTTCCGCTGACTGCAATTTGGCAGTTCGAATCTCACCAGCCTCCAGGTTGACTCAGCCTTCCAATCCTTCCGAGGTGGATAAAACGAGGACCCAGATTGTTGGGGGCAATAGGCTGACTCTGTAAACCTCTTAGTGGGTAAATTGAATCCTTCCTTCCTCCCTCCTTTCCTCCCTCCTTCCCTCTCAGTGGTTAGAATGCAGTATTGCAGGATAACTTTGCCCACTGCCAGCAGTTCGATCCTGACCGGCTCAAGGTTGACTCATCCTTCCGGTAAAATGAGGACCTAGATTGTTGGGGCCAATAGGCTGACTCTGTAAACCGCTTAGAGAGGGCTGCGAAGCACCGCAAAGCGATATATAAGTGCTAAGTGTTCTTACTGTCTTCTCATGACCGGCTGGAAGTGGGATTTTGAGGCAGGATATTTCCCAGCCTGAAATGATCAAAATTCTGGATTTCCTGTCTCCACACCCACCCTGCCCTCTGCATGAGATACAAAGCTTGCTGAGATTCTACTGAGACACAGGACCTCCTGTCGGCCTTGCCGGCTGGGGATTTTCAGGGTCGCAATCAGGCACCGGTGGACTGTTCTCAAGTTTTGCTTCCTTTCCTCCCTCCAGTTCTCACCGAGAAGGCAGCCGGAGACTCGGAAGCCATCGCCTTTGACGGCAGGACCTACATGGAATACCACAACGCCGTTACCAAGAGGTAATGATCAGTGGGGGGGACAGAACAGTAGTGGGATTCAAATCCCGGCGCTACCAGTTCGCTGTTGCAAGCGTGCGGCACTTCTGTGTATGCATAGAAGGTTCTGTGCATGTGCAGAGTGGTTTTGATGATGTCTGGGAGGGTGGGTGGAGCCTCTCACCGCCGCTACCAGTTCGCCTGAACTGGGGCGAACCGGTACCAACCCACCCCTGGGGGAGGGGGAGATTTGGGGAGACCAAAGAGGTTGAAACCAACAGAGGAGCCTGAATTTAAAATCTGGCCATAGGGAAGGAGCCCCGTTTCTTACAGGCCCACCTCCCTTGGGCGGAGCCAAGACCACAAGTCCCACCCACTATCGCAACCTTGGCAATCTGAAGACGGGAGGACTTCAATTCCCAGAATCCCCCAGCCAGAAACATTGCCTTGAAGTGAAAAATCGGAAGTCCTTTCATTCACAAGTTCAGCAAGAGAAATCTGGGAGTGGGGCGATGTTAATCCTTTCTCCCCGCGCCAATGCCTTCAGTCTTCACCACCTTCCCTGTTGTTGTGGCCCGCCGGCAGCCGGCAGAGCTGGCAGCAGAGTCAGACAGTGAGGAGGTTGGGGAGGAACTTGGGCCAGTCCTGGGGGCTGAGGAAAGCTCGGACGAAGGCTCTGCGTTGGAGGCAGAGAGGGAGGTAGACAGCAGTGAGGCAGAGGAACAGCTGGAGCTCGTTCCCAGTGTGAGCATGCGCAGAGCTGCCAGAAGACAAGAGCAACTCAGAAAGCAGGGTCGACTCGGGAGTAAAGCCACACCTTGGAGGTGATTGGCCCCTCCCATAAGAAACAAAAGAGGAGTGAATGGGGAGGGGGCTTTTGCAGGAAACAATTCGTTCGTTCCGTGACTCTGAGAGACTCTGTGCCAAGTTTGGCCTTGTACTGCGGTTGGAAACAAGTTACGTGGCAGCTTGCCAAGCGAGATAAGGTCTGTGTTGAGAAATATTCCTTTGAAAAACTGTTTGGACAAACCTTGCTGACTGTGAATGAACGTAATTCACAGTCGTGTCAGTAAAAGAGATTTTGCCGGGATGAATTCCTGACTCCTGCTTGTTAAGGGAGCCTAAGTCAGAACACCTGTGTCCTAAACAAGGGACCCAGTAGTGGGTTTCACTTACCTTTGCTCACGGTTCGCATGCGCAGAGCATATTTGATAATGTCTGGGCAGAACCTCCCGCCGCCGCTGCTCCCGGTTTGCACGAACCGGGCGAATGGTAGCAACCCACAAGCAGAAGATTCATTCCCAGCTCAAAATCTGGGCCGCAAAAAATTTAGCCTGTAGGATGGGGAAACCTACCTACCTCCAACAACCTTTCGGAAGCTCGTGTGCAGAGCAGAAAGCTGCATTCTTTCTACCGATGCCCATTTTTAGCATAACCAGTCCGCAGATAGACTGCTCCTGTAGAGGGATGCTCCATTCAGCTCATCCAACCTATTGTGTCTGCCTCACTTGTGCGTCTTGTTTGTATGTACGTCTCATTCTTGGCTGATTAATCGTTCTCCGATCCCATCCAGGGATCGCTAACAACCTTCCACTTCCAGAGTCGGGGAGTCCCTTTGGAGAACGTGATATGTTGTTACCGTTTTCTTCCCCTCCTCCTTTCTTTCCTTCTCTCTGTCCTCAACCACACTTTGTATCTTTGTTTCGTTTGCAAGCCAACTGACCAATGAGATACCAGCGTAAGTAAACACCTGCGTTCCCATCACCTTCTCTCACCCGCCATCTTCCTGCTTGCCCATCCATCCTTTAAAAACTCTTCCTCGCAGGGTTGTCTGTCCCCTCTTCCTTGAAATCCGAGACACTTTGAACAAGTCCTTCTTGTCCTTCCTTTGGGCCACAGAGTTAGAGCTATTTTTAAGTATATCGTCTTCTGTGGGGGGTCCTTGAGTTTGGGGGTTTTCCTCGTAAATGTTTCGTTACCGATCAAGGTAACATCATCACTGCTAGGAGGGCAAATGGGGTTTGCTCTCGTTTTATATATCAGTTTTCAGTGACTTGGTTTCCCCACTGGCGAAACGAAATCCAAAGGAATCTGGAGTGGGTGGGGGGAAATGACCATATGGTTCTTTCTCTTGCAAGTGGAGAGGAGGGAGGGGGGAAATCAAGATTTAAGGCAGGGATACTGGCCCCCTCCTCCTGCAAAATGCACATTTCTGTTTAGAGGTGATATACCGTATTTTTCGGACTATAAGATGCACCAAAATTTAGAAGAGGAAAACAACAACAACAAAAAAACGGTTTTGGCCTCCCTTTTTTCAGGCCTTTTCTAGACTTTTTCCAGCCTGTTTCCGGGGGTTTTTCGGCCCATTTTCGAGGCTTTTTTTTTTTTCCAGCCTGTTTTGGGGGCTTTTTTTGGCCTGTTTCTGAGGCTTTTTTCAGCATGTTTTTGAGGCTTTTTTCAGAATGTTTTTGAGGCTTTTTTTGGCCCGTTTTTGAGGATTTTTTGGCCTGTTTTCAGGGCTTTTTGGGCCCATTTTTTGAGGCTTTTTTTGCCTGTTTTTGAGGCTTTTTTCGGCCTGTTTTTGAGGATTTTTCGGCCTGTTTTCAGGGCTTTTTTGGCCCATTTTTGAGGCTTTGTTTGGCCTGTTTTTGAGGCTTTTTTCAGCATGTTTTTGAGGCTTTTTTCGGCCCATTTTTGAGGCTTTTTTTGGCCTGTTTTCAGGGCTTTTTTTGGCCCATTTTTGAGGTTTTTGGGGGGCCGTTTTTGAGGCTTTTTTCAGCCCATATTTTTAGAAAAAACAGGCCAAAAAGCCTCAAAAACAGCCCAAAAAAGCCTCAGAAATGCCCCCCCAAAAGCCTCAAAAATGGCCCCAAGAAAGCTCCCAAAACAGGCTGAAAAAGCCTCCAAAATGAGCCAAAAAAGCGTCAAAAACAGGCCCAAAAAAGCCTCAAAAATGGGCCAAAAAAAGTCCTGAAAAAGGCCGAAAAAAGGCCTGAAAACAGGGCATGGGGAGGCCAAATTATGCCTGGCTGGGCGGGGCTTCGGCAATATTTGGTCTATAAGACAGACAGACATTTTTGCCCCCTTTTGGGAGACAAAAAAGTGCATCTTCCTTCTTTCTCTCTCTCTCCCTTCCTTCCTTCATCTCTCCCTGTCGCCTCCCTCCCTCCCTCCCTCCCTTCTTCCTTCCTCTTTCTTTTCATTCTTCCTTCCAGACCTATCTTTCTTTTTCTTTCTCTCTCTCCCTCTTTCTTTCTTTCATCTTTCTGCCTGCCTTCCCTTTCCTTCCTTCCTTTGTTCCTTCCTTCCTTCTCTCTCTCTCTTCCTTCCTTCATCTCTCCCTGTCTCCTTCCTCCCTCCCTCCTTTCCTCCTCCCTCTTTTTTTTTCATTCTTCCTTCCTGACCTTTCTTTCTCTCTCTCTCCCTCTTTCTTTCACCTTTCTGCCTGCCTTCCCTTTCCTTCCTTCGTTCTTTTGTTCTTTCCTTCCTTCTCTCCCTTCCTTCTCTCTCTCTCTCTTCCTTCATCTCTCCCTCCTTTCTTCCTTTCTCTTTCTTTTCGTTCTTCCTTCCTGACCGTTCTTTCTCCCTCCCTCCCTCCCTCTTTCTTTCTTTCTCTTTCTTTCTTCTTTCTGCCTGCCTTCCCGTTCCTTCCTTCCTTCTTTTGTTCCTTCCTTCCTTCTTTTGTTCCTTCCTTCCTTCTCTCTCTCTCCCTTCCTTCCATCATCTCTCCCTGTCTCCTTCCTTCTTTCTTTCCTCTTTCTTTTCATTCTTCCTTCCTGACCTTTCTGTCTGTTGAGTCTCAATGCCTGAATTCGTTTCAGAGAGAAATCCCAATTTGCATAATTGAAATAACGATGTGAGATATGTGACGGAGGGAAGGCAGGGATGGCTTATTTGACTTTTCTACTTGCTTCCCTTCTCTCTTTCCCCCCCCCACCCCCTTCGTTTAATCCTCATCCATTCTAACCCAAGATTAAAATCACTTCCGGAGTTGTTACCATTCCTAATTTCCCCTTGCTTGTTCTCCTGATTTACGGTCGTTCCCTGAGTGTGTAAATCATACGGAAGGTGCTCCCTGGCGCACATCCATCAGCGCTGTGCCCAAACCGTTCCAGATTTGAACTAGTTTCGAGACGGAACCCTCCATTTCAAAGCCTGAATTGACCGTCCTGCGTTTCAAACATTTCGTTGGGTGCACAGTCTGTCTGGTTTTACCTGCACAAAACGTACGACACACCCTGAATAGACATCACCAGATGTCCTGGATGTATAACTTCTCCCAGATCTGTATCTGGAAAAAGCCACCAGGATGGCCGAGGTTTTCATAGGGACTAGCTGCTTTTTCCGCCTCGGTCAGTCGTTCGGTTCATAATTTTTATCCCCGGTGCTTAATGCATGCCTCCGCTTTCTTTCTGCTTCTAAGTCCCGATGCTTTGGATGATCATTTGGACCTCAGGTGAGTCTCGTTCGAAGGAGGTGTGCTTGCATCTTGTATCCAGATCTCGCCGCTGTTCTCGCTGTTCCCTTTTTGTTTTGTATTTTTTGGTTTCATTTTGACGTTCGGCTTGGTTTACCTGCATGGTCGCCCCAGCCTCACGTTATTTCCTGTTTCTTACAAATTCACCTCTCTGGGCTATTGGTTCTATTTCCTCGGGCGCAGAGAGAGAGAGAGAGAGAGAGGCAGGGAGGGAGGGAGGGAGAGGCCAGGATTAAAATCCAGTCAAATGGGTTGGATTAAAAATCCACTGCTCACCTAGAGCAGAGACTCTCTGCTTCCTGAACAGATTAACAAGAGCTGGAAGGGATCTAGTAGGTCATCTAGTCCAACCCACTCCTATCCACCTCGCCAAAGCAGGAGACCAGTGATGGCTAACCTTTTTGCCGTCGCGTGCCAAAAGCGGTGGGGAGTGTGCGTGTGCCCACACCCATAATTCAATGTGCCCCACCCCTGTGCATGCACACGCAACACCCCCCCCCAGGCTCCCACCGCTTTTGGCCCACGGTGGGCCTGGTAGGCCTGTTTTTTGCCCTCCTCAGGCTCCAGAGGCTTTCTAGGAGCCTGGGGAGGGCCAAAACAGCCTTCCCTACCCTCCCGGAGGCCAGAAACGGCCCGTTTCCCAATTTCCGGTGGGCCCGAAAGGCCCGAAAATCAGCTGGCTGGCGTACGCATGCACACTACAGCTAAACTGGGGCAACACTCCTGTGATCACAGATATGGCTCCGTGCGCCACCTGTAGCACGCTTGCCATAGGTTTGCCACCACGGCCCTACACTATTTCTGACAAACGGCAGTCGGATCTCTTCTCGAAAGCCTCCAGGGATGACGCGTCCACAACTTCCTAAGATTAAGCCCCGTTTGACTAGTCGCGAAACCAGACCTCTAGTCATTCAGATCTTGGTTATTCCTCTCGTTTTTCCAAGCTGGGTCTCGAACGCATAACAAACGTCGAAGGATCCACAGGCTGCCTCAAAAAAAAAAAACCTTGACAAATTTTGATTCCGTTTTTCCTCGTTCTTACGCAGGTCCCTTCCGTTAAACCTGGGTTATTTCATCTAACCACAGAATGTAGGCCTCCGTTTCCCCCAGTTCCAGGGGAATTTGGACGCTGAAATCTTCCCTGCAGAAAGATTCAACACAAAATGTGGATTTTACTGATCTCCCCACACACACACACATATGTAGCCAATACATTATTAATCTGGTCCGTTCATTGTCAATTCCAGACAGATTGGTTTAGTGCAGGGGTCGGCAACCTTAAACACTCAAAAGAGCCACAAAGGTCCTAACCGGAAGTCTCCCCCCCCCCGTACAATTCTGGAGCCAACCGGAAGTCCGGTTCCCCTACCAGAGATTCTCCTCCTACTGTGGCATCCTTTTTCTTCTACCTATCCTAACTAAAAGCCCTATCAATTGGGGAGCTGACTGGAAAGCCCGCGCCTTGCCATAGAGTCTCTTCCTGGCGCGCCATACTTCCCCCTCCCACCCCCCCAAAGCAGAAGCTCCTCTCAAAATTGGGGCACCAACCAGCAACGGGGAGCCGCAGCAGAGGCATGAAAGAGCCACATGCGGCTCCAGAGCTGCGGGTGGCCGATTCCTGGTTTAGTGCTATCATAGGATGTGGGCTACAGTCAGCAAGTTTTGCAGTGTTTGGGGGGGGGGGAAGTGTTGAGATTGATTTCAATAATCTAAATTGCTTTAAGGAGTTAATCCGAAGAGCTGGAGAACAAAATAAAGTTTTTCAAAAGTGCCAACTTGGAGCTGAGGCTGCTATAAAAGGAAGCCATTTCAATTTTAGGGAATTCCTAATTGTGTTTGCAGACGAGATAAAGGAAAGGCACAGCTCTGTCTTAGCCAGAAAACAGACAACAAGGGGGAAAAAAATAAGGAATGTAGTTTATTTATTTTTTTCCACTTATTTGTAGTTGCCAGCTCCAGATTTTTAAATAACCAATTTTCCTTTTTCATCTCAAATTGTTTTTTACACAGAGCGATCCATTTCTCCCCTGGATCCGGGGGTGGGTGGGAAACAGTGTCCTTGTAATCCCGTGTTGTGGTGTGCCTCGTCTTGTGTAGATGTGTGTATTTGTGTGTCTATTGTGCTCTGTGACGGTGAAACGCTTTAAACTCTCTAGCCGGGATGTTGATTTTCTCTGCGGCCATCAATATCTCTCAAGGAGAAGAGATACCTTGGCAGGGAATTAAACCAGATTCTTAAAAGAGAAACGGTTAGTCGGTCGTCTGATTTTGTGCTCCAGACATTACAGTTTGTCCCCAGGATCTAAAATGGCAGAAATCTACAGCGCAGCCTTTTTTCAAACGTAAAATAAAAACGTGGAACGACATCGTGGTCAGTGTTAACTTCCGACCATTTACGGGTAGGGCTCGATTTAACCGCCGCAATTGAGCCCAACATTTCTGTTGCTGAGTGAGACATTCGTTAAGTGGGTTTTGCCCAGGGGTGGGATTGAAAAATTTCAGCAACCAGTTCGCTGCCTGATTGCTGGGTGGCCGTGGCCATGGGGGCGTGGCCTACTTGGCCTCCTGCACCACGAGGGGAGGGGCGTTTTCACCCTCCCCAGGCTCTGGAGGCTTTTCCTGTGCCTCCAGGAGGGCGTAAACAGCCTCCCCCAGGCATCGGAGGCTGGAAACAGGCCCGTTTCTGGACTTTTGGTACTTCCGGTAGGCCCGTTTTCCACCCTCCCGGAGCCTCTGCGCAGGCACTGCACTTACCTGGTATCCAAAACGGGCCGCGTGGAGACTCCTGGGAGGGAGGGGTGGGGTCAGCCAGTGCTTGACACAACCAGTTCGGCAAACCAGATTAAAATTAAAATCCGTTTCGCCTGAACTGGCTGAATCCCACCTCTGGTTTTGCCCCATCTTACGACCTTTCTTGCCACAGCTGTGGTTAAATTAGTAACACAGTTGTTAAATGTGACCCGTTTCTGGAACTCCTGGGAGGCCCATTTTTCGCCCTCCCCAGGCTCCGGAGGCTTTCTTCGAGCCTCCAGGAGGGCGAAAACAGCCTCCCCCAGGCTCCAGAGGCCCTCCAGAGGCTGGAAATGAACCTGTTTCCAGAACTTCCGGGACACCTGTTTTTAGCCCTCCCAGAGCCTCCACGTGGGCGCTGTATTTACCCGGCATCCAAAACGGGTCGTGTGGAAGCTCCGGGGAGGGGTAGGGTGGGTGGGGCCAACCAGTCTTTGCAACTACCGGTTTGACGAACCAGATATAAAATTAGCATCCAGTTCTCCTGAAAAGGCTGAATCCCACCTCTGTCTGGTCTGAATGGAATGGGGCCCTTTGGGTGAGCTCCTAAAGGGGGGGGACACACCCCCTCTCTGCTTCCCGAACTGACTTTCTCCTTTCCGTCCCGATGCAGTGAGAAGGCTCTGCAGTCCAACTACTTCGAGCTGAGCATCAAAACCGAAGCCACCCAAGGTCTTATCTTGTGGAGCGGGAAGGGCCTAGATCGATCGGACTACATCGCTTTGGCCATCGTGGACGGCCGGGTCCAAATGACCTATGACCTCGGCTCCAAACCCGTGATCCTGCGGTCTACCGTCCCAATCAACACGAACCAGTGGATTCAGATCAAAGCGTCCAGGTGGGGGAAATCATAAGGTCATCTATCCCTTTGGCCATTGGAAAAAGGATCAGAGCTTCATGTCCCTTGATGATGCCTGGCCATTCGGGGGGGGGCTCTTCCTTAGACGGGTGCACCAGAAAATAGGAACAATGGGTACCTTACAAACTAGTAGTAACTGTTGAGAGGGATCTTGGAGTCCTAGTGGACAACCACTTAAATATGAGCCAGCCGTGTGCAGCAGCTGCCAAAAAAGCCAACACAGTTCTAGGCTGCATCAACAGAGGGATGGAATCAAGATCATGGGAAGTGTTGATACCACTTTATAAGGCCTTGGTAAGGCCACACTTGGAATATTGCATTCAGTTTTGGTCGCCATGATGTAAAAAAAATGTGGAGACTCTAGAAAGAGTGCAGAGAAGAGCAATAAGGATGATTATAGGGGACTGGAGGATAAAACCTATGAAGAACGGTTGCAGGAACTGGGTATGTCTAGTTTGATGAAAAGAAGGACCAGGGGAGACATGAGAGCAGTGTTCCAATATCTCAGGGGCTGCCCCAAAGAAGAGGGAGTCAAGGCTTTGGTATTCTCCAAAGCCCCCGAGGGCAGGAAAAGAAGCAATGGGTGGAAACTCATCAAAGAGAGAAGCAACTTAGAACTAAGGAGAAATTTCCCAACAGTTCTCGGAGGCATCAACCGTTCACCTCTGGGCTTACCAACCCCCCTTGGATCTAAATAAAAATCTTCCAAGGGAAGGGAGCCAGGGCAAGGAAGGATGAGTCGTAGGCCCTGGTCTCCCTCCAGCAAAAGGGGCTTTTCTGTTGGGGGCCTTATTTTAGGTCCACAACAAGTCCAGGCAAGTATTTGGAGGGTGGCAGTCACACCGCCAGATGAGTCGGCCAAGAGCTGAGATGGATGAGCCAACTTCTAGAATGACACTTGGCAATCAAATTGCATTTCATACCCAAAAATAAGAACAATAATAATAGGCATTTAGCCAGTGTGGAAAAGGATAATAGAGTAGAGTAGAGTAGAGTAGAGTAGAGTAGAGTAGAGTAGAGTAGAGTAGAGTAGAGTAGAGTAGAGTAGAGTAGAATTAGAATGGAACGGAACGGAACGGAATAGAATAGAATAGAATAGAATAGAATAAAATAACGGAAGGGACCTTGGAGGTCTTCTAGTCCAACCTCAAGCAGGAAACCCTACACCACTTCACCCCGGGGAATTCTGGGAGTTGAAGTCCGCCACTTTAAAGTTGCCAAGGTTGGAGACCCCTGCTGTAAGGGACTGTGGCTCATGGCTATTGTTGAAAAACTCTAAGCCTCCTGCTGAGGATGTCCTGTTGAGTTTGAGATGCTCTACCAATATCTTATAGTTGCCAGGGCCCAGCCCCTTTCTGTTGGCCTGCCAAGGTTGCCCTATTTGACCGGTTGTTGCCACCTTGGGTAAGGGATGCGGTGGCTCAGTGGCTAAGACACTGAGCTTGCCGATTGAAAGGTCGGCAGTTCAACGGTTCGAATCCCTAGTGCCGCGTGATGGGGTGAGCTCCCGTGACTTGTCCCAGCTTCTGCCAACCTAGCAGTTCGAAAGCACGTAAAAAAGGCAAGTAGAAAAAATAGGGACCCCCTTTGGTGGGAAAGGAACAGCGTTCTGTGCGCCTTTGGCGTTGAGTCATGCCGGCCACATGACCACGGAGACGTCTTCGGACAGCGCTGGCTTTTCGGCTTTGAAGCGGAGATGAGCACCGCCCCCTAGAGTCGGGAACGACTAGCACATATGTGCGAGGGGAACCTTTACCTTTACCTGCCACCTTGGACTTCAAGAAGAAAGAATAGAAAGTAATAATGGAACTAGCAATAGCCCTTGGAATTATATACCACTTCACAATGCTTTGCATTCCTCTCTAAGCAGTTTACAGAGTCAGCCCTATTGCCCCTAACAATCTGGGTCCTCATTTGACCCACCTCGGAAGGACGGAAGGTTGAGTCAACCTTGAGCCTGGTGAGATTCGAACTGCCAAATTGCAGGCAGCCGGCAGTCAGCAGTAGTAGTAGTAGTAGTACTGCAGGACTGCATTCTAACCACTGCGCCACAAATGATGAATTGGGCACAATTGCCAACATTCCTAGACATGGTTAACATCTGGAGATCTTCCAACACGGAGAAGGTTGGTCTGTAGGAACTTCCGATGGGTCCTTCCCAATGCATTGTCTTGTGTTGTTCCCCCTCTTCCGACAGAGTCCATCGAGATGGGTCCCTACAAGTCGGCAACGAGTCTCCCGTTATGGGTTCCTCGCCTCTTGGAGCAACCCAGCTGGATACAGACGGGGCCCTTTGGCTGGGTAAGTGTCAGGATTCCAAGTAACACACCCCTCCATGAGTATGACCGTATCACCCCTGTGTTCTGACTCGGCTCCCAAATACGACAAGCCCTTTGTAGTTAACGAAACGTTCCCTTTATTAGGAGCGCCAGCAGCCGCTGTCTCACAGCAGGCTACGAAGTGTCCTGTGGAAAGGGACGCTCGCTCCCTTTCCATCCTGAATTTGGCCTCAACACACCTGGAACCTCCCTCTCTTTCTTCCCACACTTGCAAAGGAAGACTTGGAAGGTGATCTCGCTTTCTTCCAGCAGCAGAGACACACATACACGCACAAAAAGGCGCTGCAGATTCCAGGAAGAATTCTGATAAATTTCCAAGCAGGAGTCAGAAGTGCAAGCTATCCGGCAGGGAGATGAATAATTGCCTGCCACATCTATTCATTTATTTATTTTTATTTTTATTTTATTATTCATATTTCTATGCCGCCCACTCTCCGAGGACTCTGGGGCGGCTTACACCAAAGACAGTATACTAAATAGCATATTGCCCCCCAACAATCTGGGTCCTCATTTTACCCACCTCGGAAGGATGGAAGGCTGAGTCAACCTTGAGCCGGTGAGATTTGATCCGCTGATCTGCTGAACTAGCAGTCAGCTGAAGTAGCTGCAGTATTGCACCTTAACCACTGCGCCACCTCGGCTCTTTTCATCTGCTCCCCCTGCCTTTTATCCCCATGTGGCTTCTCTAGCAGCGTTGGCTCTTCCATCCCAAGGACCGGCCCATAGATTTCCACTGCTCTCCTCTCCTCTGCCTTCTGCGCGTCAGGCACTGGACCCAGCTGTTCCTCCTCTTCCTCATCAGCCACCTCCAGATCTGGGGGCTGTTGACTCTCCCTCTGAGTGTCAGCGTTCCAGAAAAAAAAACCCTCTCCAAGTAAAGACTCTGAAGCAAGCATTTTCAAATTTCTATTTACTAGAATAGATAAACTGGCACATCTGGGAAAACTCGAATCTCAGAGGTCCGGGTTTCCCCTCAGTAAATCAAAAGCCCCAAAACCATCCCCTCAGTCCACAATCGATCACATGCTCCAATCAACCGCCGTCCCATCTCGAGACATCACTCCGACCACTCCTTCTCCAAATGCAGGACTGTCCTGACCTTGACCGACAGGAAGAATGCTATTATGTCTACAGACAACCCCTCTACTAAATCCCCACCGCCTCCTGCTTTCCCACACAGGAGAAGGTGGCAGCATGGAAGCTTCCGGCTTAATATGGCTTCCAAAGCTGACATTGAGGGCAGATGGACAGCGAAGGCTACACCTCTGTCTCTTTCTCTCACAGCTCCATTCCCTCTTCGGAGCTCTCAGGTTCCTCAATACTGACCCTGATTCCCACATCTCCTCCTCCACATCTGATTCGACTGCCGAATTCGGGCGTAGGCCACAACACCCTGGCTTTGACCTCAGCAGGGCCTTCTAAAGAACCCAATCGTCTTAATACAGAGACATTAGCCAGGACGTGGCTTGGGTTCTCCAGATGGGGTAGAGCAGTGATGGCTAACCTTTTTGCCATCGCATGCCAGGAGCGGGGGGAGCTCAGGGGAGGGTCATGCATGCGCGTGCCCACACCCATAATTCTATGCACTCCGCCCCCACGCATGCGCATGCGATCCCCCCACACTCCCCCCGCTCCTGGCAAATGATAGCCCGGTAGGCCCGTTTTTCTCTCTTCTGTCCCCGTCCCACACGCACACACACCAATAGACGTCCAAGAGTTAAAGACTAAACCAGCCGACAAAATCCTTTTCCTTATGATAACGGAACTTGGCAACAACCTAGTGGCTGCCTGCCAAGAGTTTCCCCGCTTCTGGTACATCAAAGCAAACAGCTCAATAATTACAGAGTCAATCAAGTCCAAAGATAATCCAGCAAAGTCTATAGCAAAAGTCCGGCAATGCAGAATGGCGTGGAAGCTTTCAGCTTTGTTCGTCACAAGGTTTGACTGGTCACCACGCTCCTTTTTATACCCTGTGGGGTGTGGTCCAGTGACTCAGCCTAATCTCGGGCACGCCTTTTCTTCTGTTGCGCGCGCTTATCTCTGCGACGCTGGTGTGGATCCAGCCAAGACTCATTACTCTCATCACTGTCCACCTGTGGCTGCGTGGACATGCTTGGCCCCGGCCCTATCTCTTGCCCTTTGGCGGACACCGAAGGCATTGCCAAAGAGGAGGGTCCTGGAGAGGGAGGCCTTGCCAACTCCTCTCCTTCACTCTCGGAGTCCTCTCCTGCCAATGACACAGGCTCAGGTAACGGAGCCACAACACTCTCTCCCCCAGGCTCCAGAGCCTTTCTAGGAGTCTGGGGAGGGCGAAAACAGCCTTCCCCATCCCCCAAGAGGCCCTCCGGAGGCCAGAAATGGCCCATTTGCCAACTTCCGGTGGGACCAGAAGGCCCGTTTTTTGCTCTCCCCAGGCTCCAGAGCCTTTCTAGGAGTCTGGGGAGAGAGAAAAACAGGCCTTCCCCATCACGCCCCGAGGCCCTCCAGAGGCAGGAAACAGCCTGTTTCTCTACTTCTGGTGGGCCCAGAAGGCCCGAAAATCAGCTGGCCGGAGCTGAGCTCGCGTGCCCACCAATATGACTAGGTGGCACGTGTGCCATAGATTCGCCATCACGGGGGTAGAGCATCTCTCAGCTCCAAAGTCTGATGGGAAGGTCTCCAAGTCATCGATGAAAGAACCTGTGGAGATCCAGACATGGTGGCATAGCTTGGAGCTGGGACCCTCTTGTCTTTAACCCTTTCCTCTCTGTCCTCTTCTCACAGGTGGGTTGGAGAAGCTCAGCCTGGCCCACAAGCTTCCCAAATCTTTCCTCACCGGCTTTGTGGGCTGCATACGAGACGTGGTGGTGGATCGCCAAGAACTCCACCTGGTAGAGGACGCTTTAAACAACCCCACCATATTACACTGCGCGGCCAAATGAAGACATCCTGCCTCTCTCTCTCTCTCTCTCTCCCTCTTCTATCTCTCTTCCCTCCACCCGGCTATTGCTGTAATTATTTTCTATTTTTGTAAAACTTCTTGCTTTTTTATATTTTGGGGGGGGCGGGGGGGAGGGACAGGAAGAGGAGGGGATAGCAGGGAGACGAGGAGGAAGAAGACGAGAAGGATCGCGAGAGGATTCGGTTGAAGGACATTCTTTGGGGTTACTGTTTGGTTGCAGCATTTTCTCGCCCATCGGACTCTCAAGGAGCCAAAAACCTCCCCATTTTTAAAAACCCGGCGAAGCTTCGGAATGTGACCAAGGAACAAAGTTCCCCCATTTTGCTTCCGGATGGGGGGAGGGGCGCGCGGGGTCACCGTCCACTGTAAATGTCACTCATACTTGAAATCATTCTTTTTATTATTATTATTATTATTATTATTATTTTTAATCAGGTTTATTATTTGTTTTGGCCGACACCAATATTAAGGGGGGAAACGGAAGACCAGAGACGGAAGGGTTGTCCGAGCCGTGGCGTCTCTGAACAAAGGAACAGCAATTGCCCTACAAACTCAAGGCGGGGGGGGGGGCAGATTTCCCACATGTCCCCAAAATTGTCTGCATGAAGCAGACACCTTGTTCCGACAAAAAAAAAACCAAACCTGTGAATTCCTCTCATTCACATCCAGCAAAGTCTTTCAAGGGAGGATTGACAGTCACAGACCTTATCTGGCTTGGAGAGCTGCCAGCCCGATATCTTCAGAACTTGGCAAGAAGTCTCGGAGAGTCAGAGCGAACTAATTGTCTCCTGCAAACTCCACTCCCCTTTCGCTCCTCTTTTATTTCCCTCTGGGAGGGGCCGTTCATTGTCCACCTGTGGCTTTACTCCTGAGTCGACCCTTGTTCTTTAGCTGTTCCCTTCTCCTGGCAGCTCACACTGGAAACAGGCTCCAGCTGTTCTCCTGCCTCACTGATGTCCGACTCCGAAGACAGCTGACAACTGTCAGAGGGCCCTGGCTCCCTCTCTGCCTCCGACGCAGAGCCCTCATCAGAGCCGTCCCCAGACTCCACGACTGACCCATGTTCCTTCCCAACCTCCTCACTGTCTGAGTCTGCCACCAGCTCCGCTGGCCACTGGCGGGCTACAACACTACCTCCCCTACCCCCCAAGACTCTGCAGCCCGTCAGGCCATCCCTCACCTGAGCTCCACGAATCCGTTCACCAGCGCCAGGGAGAGGAAGTCCTTCCCACGGTTCTGCCCTTCAGTCTTAACCAGGCTCCGTATGATCTTTTCGTACTCACCCTTAGAATGACAATGTGTCTTGTATGTAGGTGTGTGTGTGAATACACACAGAGACACACGCATATCTATCCTTTGTCGTCTTTTGACAGAAGCCACAGGAGATTTAGTTCTCGGTAGCAGTGGTGAGAAACGGACAGATGCAGAGTAGAAAGGATGGTCAGATGGTCTCAAGAGAAGTAGGCCAAGGAATTGCGGAAAGTTAAACCCGGGGTTGTGGGTGGCCTGGAGATCAAGCAGCCTTCCTTAAACCTTCAAGGCAACGAGCTTAACTTTCTGATCCAGAATCTTGAATCTTCAAGGAAACGAGCTTAACGTTTCGGATCCAGAATTCATAATTCACCAAGAGAATTAGCGACGGGCTCAGGACAACATTTTTCTCTAGCCCAGACAACCAGATCTTTGATGCTACCTAAGATCAGGACCAAGCTGATCATCCAACCTGCAAAATAATTTTGGAGACATTCCAGAGCAGTAACCGTGGTTAAATCCAGACAAGGTTGTCTTAGGTGCCTGGTCTTTATGGAAGAAAAACATTTTAGAGGTTTAACCGTTACCCCACTCATCCGGAGAAGTGCCAGTCAGGCCTAAAACTTGACTCCCCAGTTTTACACACATGTACATAACCCACACATATCCAAACCCCCCGGTCCCCAAATTTGTTTCTCATGACTCATCTATGAATCTCTTGGGGAAGGGGGAAAAAAAATACATGCCTATCTATCTTATCTATAAATATATACATATATATTTCTATGGTGTGATATGTACAGCCAGAATCCGGTGACTTCCGTCACACCCACTCCTACATTCCAAATCCTTGGGATACTCTTTCGATTTTGAGGGTGTCCTTGGCAGGAAATTTGGAACGGGACTCTCCTTTCCAGGGGTGGGCTTCGAAAATTTTAGCACGGGGTTCTCTGCCTGGTTGTTGCGTGGGCGTGGCCTACTCGGGCTTCTCCACCATGGCGGGATGGTGGTTTTGCCCTCTCTGGGCTCCGGAGGCTTTCTTTGAGCCTCCGGGAGGGCGAAAATGGCCTCCCCAGGCTCCAGAGGCCCTCTGGAGGCTGGAAATGGGCCCATTTTTCAGCCTTTCAGTAGGCCTGTTTTTTTGGCCTCCCCGCGCACCCTACACTTACCTGCATCCAAAACGGGCCGCGTGGGGACTCCAGGGAGGGGAGGGGCGGGGCAGAGTGGGCAAGGCCAGCCAGGAGTGGGATTTGGGAGTTCTCCGAACTTCACAGAATCTCCCGAACCCCCAGCAGCCCACTCCTGCTCCTTTCCCTTGGGGGACGGCAAGCGGTGTAAAATTCACAGAACGCAAAACCCCTCCGTCACGGATGTCCTACAACGTCCTGAATTGGATGGTGGGGAAACTGTGGCAAATCCAGGTCAGGTTGGCTGGATGGAATAGCAGCTAGTAAGCTGCTAGTAAGGGCGGATTTGGAGTGTAAATGTCTTTGTGTGTCTGTTTTGTTCCTACGGTTCCTGTTTCCTCGCATCCTTGGTGGCTTACGCGAGAAGCCGCGAGACCAGTAGCGGGATTCAAATTCCCGTCGCTACCAGTTCGCTCGTGGGCTCATGCGGGCATCATGCTTTGTGCATCGTCCGGGCGGGTGGGTGGAGCCTCCCACCCCTACCGGTTCGCTCAATCTGGGATGAACCGGTAGCAACACCACTGCGCAAGATCCTCTTTTTTCTCACGTTATTTTTATCCAGCTCGGTTCGTTCTTAGTTGAAAAACCACCTACTGAGAGAAGCTTGTGGCTCGGGTGACTTATTCAGGCAAGAAAGGGAGATTTGGGGAGGGTGCGGTTTGAATTTTATTCCCCTTGGTCATTCGACCCTCTCCCAAAAAAAAAAACCCCAAACATTTCCCAGGAATTATTGCGGCCATCGTAAAGGCGCTGAAAATAGAAACACTTCCTATTGCTGTACGGGCCTGTTTTTGCAACCTTGCTCAGTGTAGAACTAAGACATTTCCTGACAGCGAAAACAAGTTAATCTTGCCTTCAAAAGTTGTGGAGGCTTTTACGAAGAGATTGGACACCCGGAATAGTGGAGAGACTCTTGCTTGCGCAGAGGGTCCCTTCCAACACTTATTCTGTAAGATGAGTGGACTTCAATGGCCAGAATCCCCCAGCCAACATTTTATCCTATGTTTTATGAGCCACGGTGGCGCAGTTGTTAAAGAGTGCAGTACTGCAGCCTAGTTCAGCTGCCTGCAATTTGGCAGTTCGAATCTCAGCAGGCTCAAGGTTGACTCAGCCTTCCGTCCTTCCAAGGTGGGTAAAATGAGGACCCAGATTGTTGCGGGGCCATAGGCTGATTCTGTAAACCTCTTCGTGGGTAAAATGTATCCTTCCTTCCTCCCTCCCTCCCTCCCAGTGGTTAGAATGCAATATTGCAGGCTAACTCTGCCCGCTGCCAGCAGTTCGATCCTGACCAACTGGCTCAAGGTTGACTCAGCCTTCCGTCCTTCCGAGGTGGGTAAAAATGAGGAACCCGGATTGTTGGGAGCAAGAAGCTGACTCTGTAAACTGCTTAGAGAGGGCTATAAAGCGGTATATAAGTCTTATGTGCCATTGCTATTGCTATCCTTCTTTGAAAATGGCTGGAAAAATCTCAATTTTCCCACTGAGCCTCCAATGGGCCGAACAGCTTCTGATCAGGTTGCACACTTCCCTTTCCACCTGATGGGGTGGAGTTTAATCCAGTCCAGTTTGGTAGTGAATCTGAATGTCGGGGTCCCAATCCGTGTCCCCCCTCCCTCTCCTGGAGACCCAAATACAGACATGCCTTCAGCTGGAATTTTAAGACTGGATTTGAGATGCTCTTCTTGATGTACTTGGAGAGGAATAATATCATTGCAAGAACACATTTGCTGTATTTCTCAATGTGGCCTTAACTTTGTGTCCTGGGCTCCATCCTACACGGTTGCCAAGACCTGGGAATGCTAGGAAAGGGCCCCCTCCCTAAATGTGAATGTACTGGGCTAGTTACCCTCAGCCAATCGTTACTCCCCGGGACTGAACTCCGATTATCGGGGACCCCTTTTTACCGATTTGATCCCATTAACGTTGACGTTTCTGTGGTGCTAGGGGAGAAACAGAAAAAAAACAGGACCGCCGTGTATTTCAAACGAAAATAAACATCCCAAAAAACATGGGAAACGAAGCATCTTCATGTTTCTTTCAAAGCAAGACAAACTCTCAAGCCAACTTCTAGATGTTATGGGGGGGTGGAAGGGGGGGGCTTTTCGGCTTCAACACCTGCAGGAAATTTCGATCCAGAAGCAACTTTGAGAATGGTTGTTAAATGCGATGCGGAATCTCTGTCCCCGCAGGGCTCTCTGGAACCTGGCTAAAATGCGCCAAAATTTGCAACTCCGCTAAATGAGTAATCGGTAAGGCATTTGATAAAGTAGACCATAAATTACTGCTAGATAAAAATAGAAAAATGTGGGTTAGGCAACATCACCACCAGATGGATTCGTAACGGTGTGACCAACCACAGTCCTCAATGGAACTGCATCTATATGGAGGGAAGTATGCAGTGGGGGAACCCCAAGGCTCTGTTTTAGGCCCCCGGACTCGTCAACATCATCATTAATGATTTGGACGAGGGGATAGATGGGGAACTCATCAAATTTGCAGACGACACCAAGCTGGCAGGGATAGCCAACACTCCAGAAGATACAGAAGGATCTTGACAGACTTTAACATTGGGCGCTATCTAACACAATGAAATTCAATGGTGAAAAAAACCTAAGGTTCTACATTTAGGCAAGAAAAACAAAATGCACAGGTACGGTATATGTAGTACTTTGCTCAATAGTAGTAACTGTGAGAAGGATCTTGGAGTCCTAGTGGACAAACCTTTAAATAGGAGTCAGCCGTGCGCAGCAGCTGCCAAAAAAGCCAACACAGTTCTGGGCTGCATCAACAGAGGGATAGAATCAAGATCACGTGAAGTGTTGATACCACTTTATAAGGCTTTGGTAAGGCCACGCTTGGAATCTGGCATCCAGTTTTGGTCGCCACGATGTAAAAAAGATGTGGAGACTCTAGAAAGAGTGCAGAGAAGAGCAACCAAGAGGATTAGGGGACTGGAGGCTAAAACATACGAAGAACGGTTGCAGGAACTGGGTATGTCTAGTTCAATGAAGAGAAGGACAGGGGAGACATGATAGCAGTCTTCCAATATCTCAGGGGCTGCCCCAAAGAAGAGGGAGTCAAGCTATTCTCCAAAGCACCTGAAGGCAGGATGAGAAGCAACGGGTGGAAACTAATCAAGGAGAGAAGCAACTTAGAACTAAGGAGAACATTCTTGACAGGAGAACAATGAATCAGTGGAACAACTTGCCTCCAGAGGTTGTGAATGCTCCAACACTGGAAGTTTTTAAGACGTTGGATAACCATTTGTCTGAAGTGGTGTAAGGTTTCCTGCCTAAGCAGGGGGTTGGACTAGAAGACCTCCAAAGTCCCTTCCCACTCTGTTATTTTATTCTTAAATAAAGCCCTTTGTTGAAGGTGGGGGCTATTTAGGAAGGATCTGGTTTGGTCTCGGAGGAAGGGAAAGGGCTCCGGATTTTTTTTTTTAAATCGATCCCATTTTTATTTGCCCTTGGGGTTGAAGTGCAGCTTTGCCCCGTCCGGTTCCAATGTCATCTGCAACGAAGGAGAACAACTTGGCTTTAATTTTTCCTCCTTTTATTTCCATCTCGTTTGCTCAAGGGAGGAAAAAAAAATAGGAAACAGGGAAAATAATCGTATTTTGTCTCCGGGGAATTGCTTCAAGGGATTTGTGTGAAATTGGATAGTGCCAAAGGCACTGGGATAAACAGTGCAACACACCGACCTACTTATGGTTAACTGGGCCCAGATCGACTCGAGTCACTTAGGGACATTTTGTGGGTCCTGTTGACTTGCTGGGGTGGGGTGTGTGTGGAATTAATAGAAATGTAGGAATGCTGGACAAACATCAAAGGACGTCCACCCACATCTTTTGAGGACTCGAATCAAAGACGTGACGAAGGCAGATAATCTTCCTTGCCATTCAACCTGCTCTGACCTAGGCTTCCTGAGTCAGTCAAACACACGAGTAGTCCCAAAAGCATTCTTTTATTGCAACAGCTGTGAGTTCTGTTCATTCACAGCTGAGTCCCAATTAGTTGTAAAGAATCCTTCGGGATAATCACCCACCTTTATCTCCCTTGACACGCTGCCAAAGACCTAATTGGCACATGGAGTCCAGAATCAAACAGAACTTCAGGCTTTAAACTGCATAGAATTAACAATGTTGCTTCCTGCAAAGACCCACGTGCCTTTGCTCCTCTTTTAAGCCTTCTGGGAGGGGCCAATCATCTCCAAGCCCTACTCCCGAGTCGTCCCTTTTGTTTGAACTGTTCTTGCCTTCTGGCAGCTCTGCGCACGCGCGCACTGGGAACAGGTTCCTCTGCCTCGCTGAGGTTCGACTCTGGAGGCTCCGGAGGTAGCACGTACCTCCCAGATGGCCCTTTCTCTGTCTCCGATGCAGAGCCCTCGTCTGAGCCCTCCCCAGACTCCAGGACTGGCCCATGGTCCTCCCCAGCTTCCTCACTGTCGACTCTGCTGCCAGCTCCGCAGGCTGCTGGCGGACCACAACGCAACCAGAGTGTTCAAATATTTAATTTAATTTAATTCAATTTATAGGATTTCTCAGACTCTCTGGTCTCATTTGGCAACCTTAATGCGTTCTTTTACGCGGCCAGGTTGATTTTTGGTATCAGCTTTGCAAGTGGGCAACAGAGAGCATGTAAAATTAAATCAATTTAATTTGTGGGGGAGGGAAATCCATAGATTGGTGAAAAAAATTACAGAAGGCCCCCGATTTGGTCATTTCTACATAGGACTGGAAAACCTCTCTCCGTGGAAAATCTAAAGACAAATAGATCAGTTGTCCAGCTTGTTTATAAAGCAGCTTCTTCTGTTCCCGCAGCTCCTCAGGCTGTGTTCCAAGAGTGCTAGCTTTCTGCTTGCAGAGAACTCCCATTTTTACGTTTTCCTCCCCTGTTTAGCACCCTCCTTGAATTTTGCTTCTCTCCAGCTTTTTGGTTCTCACGACTCAAAGCAGAGCCTTCCAACTTTGCAGGTGGCTTGTTGTGAAGTTTCCTTATTTCCTAAACCGAGGTGGAGCCCGGAGGATAAGAGATCTAAGATCAAATCTCACTGGTGGCCCGTTTTGTGGAAAAAAAATCTGTTTCCCCCCTAACAAAGAGTGCCTTGTACTACCAGCTTGTAACATCCAGCGCCGTTTTGTGATCAATGACGCAAAGCAGGGTGGGGAGAGGCGGGCAGCAGCTGGCCTTGCTGGCATCAGAGGAAAACATCTGGCTCATGCCAGGGCAAAAGGAGAAGAATGGCAGCGGGAGACGGCAAAACGATCCATCTCTGGGTTTTTTGCTCTGTTCGGTACAAAAGCGAAGTTTTTTGGCATTGTCTTGTTTCCTTGGAAGGAAACGAGACAAATTTCCCCTTTGACCATCGTAGATTTTTGCATCCAAAGCTGCTTGAAAAGGACAGCACGAAAGGAAGATGCGATGGGGACGGAGAAGGAAAACAACTTTCTGGCCTAAAGTCTTTGTGATCAACGAAGCAGCAGCCTGAGATGGAAAAGGGAGACTCGCAAACTGGGGCTGGGAGTCCATCCGGCTAACAAAATTGGTCTTGTTGAGTGAGATGTCACCCTTTGAGGGTCGCACCTCTGTATGAGTCACGGTCCTGGGCTCTCTTCTCCAAGGAGCCTTGGGAATAGAATAGAATAAGAGTTGGAAGGGTCCTTGGAGGTCTTCTAGTCCAACCTCCTGCTTAGGCAGGAAACCCTACACCACTTCAGACAAATGGTCTTCTTAAAAACTTCCAGTGTTGGAGCATTTACAACTTCTGGTGGCAAGTCGTTCCACGGATTAATTGTTCTCACTGTCAGGAAATTTCTCCTTAGTTCTAAGTTGCTTCTCTCCTTGATTAGTGTCCACCCGTCGCTTCTTTGGGCTGATAGATTGATTGTTTCTGCCTTAAAAGTGCATTAAAAAGGTAAAAGTTCCCCCTGCACATATGTGCTAGTCGTTCCCGACTCTAGGGGGCAGTGCTCATCTCCCTTTCAAAGCTGAAGAGCCAGCGCTGTCCAAAGACATCTCCGTGGTCACGTGGCCGGCATGACTCAACGCCAAAGGCGCACGGAACGCTGCTCCCTTCCCACCAAAGGTGGCCCCTATTTTTTCTACTTGCATTTTTTTTACGTGCTTTCAAACTGCTAGGTTGGCAGAAGCTGGGACGAGTCACGGGAGCTCACCCCATTACGCGGCGCTAGGGATTCGAACCGCCGAACTGCCGATCTTTCGATCGACAAGCTCAGCGTCTTAGCCTCTGAGCCACCGCGTCCCCATAAAAGTGCATTCGAATCATTTAAATAGGAACAGCGTTGAGAGGAGTCTGCCGTTGTCTCTCTAGATGAGTTTCTGTTCATTAAGTGCCCAATGCAAGCAGTTTAGTTGCCCGACTCCCCAAGTGTTTAAAATAGCCGGTTGGTTGGACTCAGAATATAGAGACGACAAGCCGGAAGTCCAGTGAGATTCCTTGCTCCGGACAGTTTCCATGCAGCGTAGCCCTGGGCGGTTCAGACCGCGTGACTCAGCTGCAAAAATTCAGAAGGAGATAAAGAGAAAGGAGCTATTTTATTCTGCTTTTGCTTTTAAGAAAAAAAAAAAAGAGAGAGAGAGAAATTTGGAGACACAAAGGAGCTTCAGTTTGGGCCGAAAGCGTTCAGAAGTCCCTGGGGTTGGTCTCTGGGTAGAAGCTCTCGGCCTGGTCAGGACCGAGGAGCCATCCTGATGTCTCACGACTGCCAAATTGTCTTCTGAGCTCATCGCCGCCTCCCTTCCTGGGGTTCCCCTACAGTCCCACGCTTGCCTTAATATAGCTCCCATGAGGTCCTTGGGAATCCCTTCCAAATTTCAAAGGATGGGATAACGGTCTGGTTTGGCTCCGCAACCCAACAAGACGGACGCAAACTTCAGAGGATCATTAGGACTGCGGAAAAAAACCATGGCTACCAACCTGCCTTCCATGGAGGACCTGTCTACTGCACGAGTCAAAAAGAGGGCTGGGAAAATATCTACGGACCCCT